ACATTTAGGTACCTAAAAAATAAGTTTTTTTTTGGAAATAACTCACTCGAATCTCAATATTTTAAAAAATCAAAAACATACTTTTGTAGGTTAGATTAAGCTGAATATATCTATGCGGCTCAAATTTGCATTTTTGGGATACTGAGTGTCGTATTTCGCCATCATCGTTTGCATCCAAATTGGGTTAGTCTGTCGCGTCACACTATGTCGAGTTTATACTTTCCTTACCTTAGTTGATGAGAACCCGAACTGCTTGACTGCTACCCATGTCCAGGCCCTGGATGATAAGGTTTCGAGTAAAGAGACCCACGAGGCAACATCAAAAGACAAAGACCTCAAGCGCCCATTTTCCAAAGGCTATTTTACGTTCAAAGACATTCGGGATTGCCCACGCCCGCCTTGACGACGGCTGGTTCTTCCCTATCCATGTCGTATCCCCGTTATCGATCGCAGAAGCACCAGAATGTATTCAGTTTAATTCCGGCACCTACTTCATAGAGAAAGCGCGGTGTCCGCTTTGCCAGCGGGTACACGCTCAGACCTGGAATGTGTCCGACTTCCGCGACGAACGCTGACGGACATTCATGTTGTTCGCGTCTTCGCTTCGCGAACCGAGATGGTCCATGGGGGCCAGCGACACGATTTCGGACCTTGTTAAGTTTGAGCTTGCGTGATGCATGGCATGGACATGCTCGGCGAACGTCCCATTTCGGCGAAAGGAAATAAGATACGTGTCAAAGGCATACGCGCTGACATCATGCATGAGACAGCATCTGAAGTCACACTGACGAAAGAGGCTTTCAGAAAGTGCGCCGGAACAAGGCTGTGAGACGCTTCGCGGAGCAGGCTAACAGGAAAGCAGGGCACAAGTGATTAAGAAGGATGATTTGTATTCAGATGGAGAGGGGTCTGGTGATGCACTAGATCTGGGCACTTCGTGAACCCAATAACGCTACTGATCATCTGCTGTTTTCCCACCCAGGTCGCAGTACGGCAAAGAGATGTGTTATGCACAGCCGACGAGCTGGGTCTTGAGTAAAAGAAAGACATGTTTTTGTCAACGACGACGACGAAGCTTGGAACATAAATGCCCCTCGGAGTAGAGAAAGCAAAGAGAAAGGTCGAGACCCGGAAGTTCCGGAACCGAGCCGGTCATCTCCGAGCGGAGGATGCAGAAGCAATTATTACGCGCTGCGTGATGAGACCTGCCTGATCTGGCGAGCCCAGTTATGTACTGCATGACACCATCTAGAAAGTACTAAAGCAGCCTGTGCTATGGGGCAAGATTTATGATCTCCTTCTTGGTTCGCCCCCGTCTGTCGTCTCGCGTGCCACCCGCCCCATGGCCATCGCTCCCTCCGACGACAGCGACAGCGCTGCTAGCGCCTGCTTCTCCGACTCTCTTGCCGACACTGACACAGACATAGAAGTTGACCTCCCGCCCACCTCGCATGAACCCAAGTCCACTGCACCTATGGTCGAACAGCATGTGTCACTCGCACATTCTGCTTTACAGACAGAGTTTGTCGGTGTGTGCCACCGCGCATCGCATGATGCCGCCGAAGTGCACCAGTTCCGCGGTATCAAGTACGCGACTGTCCCTATGCGCTTCCGTAAATCGGTCATGCACGAGACTTTCTCGGCCAATACAGACGCGACTAGGAACGGGTACGTGTCCCATTGTACTACTCTGCAACAAGTTTCTGAACCAGTTTCTCACACCCATCGACTTTCAGACCTATCTGTCCACAAATTCGGAACCACCGGCTCGAAACGCGGCTTTACGGACTCCCTCACGAAATTATTCCTGAGAAGGAGGTGCTGCAGGAGGACGAGTTCGAATGCACCAATCTTACAATCACCCTTCCCGCGCCTGCTTGCAAATCCAAAGACGGCCTCCTACCCGTGATGGTTTGGATTCACGGAGGCGGGAACGTCACTGGTTGCGCGACGGATTGGATCTGGGACGCTGGTGCCCTCGTTCGTAGGAGCGTGCAGATCGAGAAGCCTGTCATCATTGTCTCCGTCAAGTAGGTGTTCATTTCGCTTCTCCTATTATTATCATCACATTATTCCAACTCTGTCCATACCCTGTCCATCGGGCTTCTCAGTCCCACACCAGTCTCATTCTAGACTTCATCTTCTACCTGCACCGAGAGCCGCACTGCATCCTCTCTTCGCATTCTCTGAGTTGCGCCACTCTTCATTGTTCACTTCGTTTCTCATTTCCCGCGGTTGCATCCGTGTCTCCTATCTCGTTGATGTGGATTATTGACTTCGCTTCTTTTGCTGCGCCGATTGAATTGCATAGCTTCCGCTTGGGTCTATTCGGGTTTGCTGCCAGCGAGCTCCTTAGAGAGGATAATACATCCGCTGGCGAAGAAGGAGTAGGGAATTATGGTACGTCTAGAACTGAACCTTCGAGTACAGTTCCTTAGTCTGTGCAATGCAAACATGCGAATAACTCATGTGTTCAACCTAGGGCTCCACGACCAGCGAATGGCTCTTCAATGGATTCGAAAATACATATCGGGGTTTGGAGGGGATCCATTCAAAGTCACTCTATTTGGATCATCCTGGGGCGCGGCAGATATACATGCCCACCTTCTTTCATCAGCTAATCAAGCTGATGTATTCGCCCCCCCAGACTCGGAAGGACCCCTCTTTCACCGTGCAATTCTCCAGTCTGGGGCACTTGTGCCGTCGTCTTCCGTCGTTCAAGATATCGGATCGGCGGGCCATCACCTCGGGCGAGTTATGTCCTCCCTTCATGCATCAACTATTGAGCAGCTGCGGGCCGTTCCTGCGTCCAAAATTGTCTCTGCACAAGGTGAACGAGTTCGGCCTGTTGACGATGGTGTATTTTTGCGGCCGGATTGGCGAACACTTGCACTTCCATACTCGACCTCGCCGGACACGCCGCGTAGCTGGCGCCAGGATGTTATTATTGGCGATGTGGCATGTGAAAGTGTCTTATGGGCTGCCCCGGCTCGTCTGTGGGCAGCCGATGCAGTTGCACGTCGTGCCCGAGCAGTTGTTCAGAGCGTCCGGAGGGCAGATGCACTAATGCGAGCGTATGATATCGTCGACGGGTCGCCGACGCGTGAGACTGCTGGTTTACATGGCTGCGCGCTTGATGACGACGAGACGACATCCAGCGGCAGCGAAGAGGACATAGACGAGCTCGCGGAACGTGTCATGGAGCTTATGAATGATGTTGCTTTTGCATGGCCAGTGGACGTATCAGCTCGTTGTGCAGCTGACTCTGCTTTTGTTTACGAAGAACACTCTCCTCCGCATATTAGCGCCGACGGTCATTTAGCGGTTGACACTGGTTATTTAAGTACCGTCTCAGAGTCATCGGAGTTATCATTTTCCTCTTCGCGTTCTCCTTCGCCCTCACCCTTGCCCTCACCAGGTTCTTCAACGGCAGCATCTACATCAAAGCGATATCCGAATGCGCCATATGTTTACCGATATGTTTTTGACCAGGCATCTCCCTACACGAACTCACCACATCATGGGGTAGACTTGCTCTACCTTTTTGGGAATGTTCCTTTCCCTGAGGATCCTGAGCTCACACCAGAGGAGAACCAAGAAGTAAATTGGGTTCACATCAAGGTCCGTGAAGAGATGCAGGAACGTTGGCTGTCGTTCGCATGGGGACAACGGCCTTGGGAAGCACCTCTTACCCCCCAGCCGCCCGCAGGCGTTGCGGGCATGACTGACCGCGGTATCTTTGCAACGGCAATGCTTGCACCCGTGTCGAGTTTCCCTGGTGGACTCGCGCCAACGCCGAGTACTACGAGTCCTGCGTCAAGTCGAGCATCGAGTTTCTCTAGCGCTTTCGGAAATGCGAATCCATTCGCCCTCACCCACCTTCATCAACATCAAACCCAACAACAGCAACAGCATCATCTACAACACCACGTACAAAATCAGCACCACCACCATCACCATCATCACCACCATGGAGCGGCGGGTCAACTGTACGGGTCCTCGCAGCCGCCGCCGATATCAATTAGCGAGGCGGACAAGGTCTTTGTGTTTGGACCTGACGGCGAGACGGGTGCACGGAGTGCAGCGATCTTTGCGGGTAGACGCCGTGTGCATGCTTGGCGTTCTGCACTTGCCCCACTTGGTCTTGCAACAGCACAGAAAGTCGGCTTGGAACTTGGAAATGGCCCGCCGTCTCTAGGCTCGCCCCGAGGATTTTAAATACCAGGAGTCATCGTGCACTTGCCTGCCGTATACGTGCGCTAGGATGCAAATATTTCGGTTTGTTTTCTTGCTTCCACTACTCAAGATACGCTTTCTCGGTCAAACCCACACCGGTTTTCGGTGTCTTTTCCTCAAAATATCATGCAGCATTATCACTGGGCTGTATAGTCATTTCCCCCCTTTCCCCTGGTATAGACATAGGACCTTCATAATCAATTCAGCTGTCCTTTGTCTGGGTCGTCAGCATGAACAAATTTGTATAACATATGCTCTTCCTTGCTGTAAAGTCCAGTGTTGTCCCAAATGAGGATTTATTAATTGTATTCTTTGTCTGACCTGTGTCGAGCGTTTTCGCTTGCATGTTCGCTAATAGTAGTAGTTTGTACATTAGTCGGTCCTCAGAGTTTAAATGGGAAATCGAGATAAATTTATGTATCACATATCCTTGATTCTATGCCGCAGTTGCAATTATCAGGTTCTATTCTTAAAGCATGACAGGCATCATCTAATCCAAAGAGTTTCAAACTCTCTAACCAAGAAACAAATACAACTCGCAATGACAAGTGCTCCTAATTAATTCACCCTCATTATCCAGCATTCCACGTGTGCCGGAACAAGTCTCAACGAGCGTATCTATGTTCAGCCTATGACGCGGGTCGTAATTTGCAAGCTTCCTCCCAGTCTGCCGGGACGAACTCCCGAACCCGTTCCCGGAACGCAGCGAGTGAACAGAACTCGGGGTGTCCTTCGAGATGTTTGCCCTTGGCGGCGCAGAAAGGAAGTATCATAGTTTGATTTTGGTATCGCATGCGAACGACTGCAAATTTGGAGATGAAAAAAAAAAAAGGTTGATATAATCCATAAATTAAATGTTGAGAAATACGATGGTGGATAAGAACTGGAATTCCGACTTACAGTGTTCAGTAGGTTTAGTTGTCTTGAACGGTGAGAAGGTGCCGAGAACAGTTTGTAAGTATGACGTTTGCCCTTGCTCCACTGACGCTTTCTTAAATAGTTCAAAGGTGATTGAAGCCGTGAAAGCGGGCCATCTAAATGCTTCACACTTAGCCTCAATTCTACAATAGCCAGCAAGAACAAAGAAAGGATACACGTACTTATCATCGAATACGTCAAAGGTCGCAAGTAGAGCTGCTAGAGCAGTGTCGTGCGTGCTATGCACTAGTATTCGCGGTTTGTTTGTTTTCGCGGTTGATGCTGGTGCTGCCTTGAGAGCCATTTTATGAGATAGATCGTCGAGAAGGCGACCCATGCCTAGTCGTCTTACTTCCTCCGTTTTATCTGCTCGGAAAATTGTGTCAGAATCGATCTCGAGGGTTCCTTTGGGTAACCTGGATGCCCTTACATCCTGCAATAAAATTGCATAAATTAGTTAATTAGCCATGCATATGTTGATAGTAATTTGTACTGCTACTGACCTGAAAACCACTCTGTGACGACCGCCCGTTCCTGGCAAGTTATAGAGTAAGCTTCAAAATGAATTAATATAAAAAGCGAGCTAAATGCCTACAATTAGATCCAAGACCTCCTTGTCCTCGAATTCTGGAGGAACTTTGATGCCGTTTGCCATACTTGCTTTGATCTAACCATATCAGTAATTTTTGGTTTGAAGGGAAATATGATTTGAAGAGAATTCGCACCGTGTCGAGTATCCCAGATGCTCTTGGTTGTCCATCCTAGATGAATAGCTTGAGCCAGAGAATACTTTTATGTACGGGCGGCGTACGATGCGGACAGGTCTACCACCAATATATTTTGAGAGCTTCTCATCGAGAGGCTCGAGAGTGTGATTATACGCAGCGGCCGCCGCTAGAAAGCATTTATTAGTGTAAGTTGCAGCCTAAGAAGTGACTCAAAGAACTGACCCTGAGCAAAGCCAATAAGTAGATGCTCCAGACGCTTGCAAGTATACGAATTCGCGATGAGGTTTTCATCTACACCGTTCCTATGAATATATATGTATATTCCTGCCAAACTGACAATATCTAATAAGTTAGCACATACCTCACACGTAGTTCTGGAGTGATGCCATGTGCAAGTTTTGCGCGGGGATACAACCCATGCATGACCTGTTGTAACGACTCAATAGTTCGGGGAATGTTCGTCGACCTAGGCACGGGGGTAAGGAAACTTTCTTCTTGTTGACATGGTTGATTGTGAATACCGGAAATATCCTTCTGTGTTATCCGACATCGTATCTGGAAGAAACCCGAGCCTTGTCGCAATTAAAACGTCGAAGTAATGTGAACAATGTCCTTACTTGTCGACGTATAGCTTTCTCAGAGAACGACCTAGATTAAATGTCGACTAGGGAACCAATCAGCACGTACAATAGCTGTGAAGACACAGAATGTGCACCTGTCTACCAACATCTGTGAGCTCTCCAAGTAGGCTTAGAGGTGCGGTAACTCTTTCAGACAAATTGTCCATAACTATAATATAAAAATAGCGCATCGGCATACCATTCACCGTCAAGAACATTGCCATCTGCCTGCTCTACAAGACGTTTGGCGGGCAAGAAATCCACTCTATCCGAAGACCGAGGTGCATCCAAGACCGCTTCACCAAATGTTGCCACGGCAGCATGGAATTGACGGGCAGTTCTACATAAAGTCCAGTGAGCTGGAATTGAAGCAGGTGGCTCCGCCATCCGCACCCTCACAGGCGTACGTTCACCTATGTGCAAAGCAGCAATTCTCGTGAGATAAATATAACAAGGAAGTAGACGAACAACCCAATTAAATGCGTACCGTGCCGGAGGTAGACGTGCACTTGTGCAAGAGCAAGTTCTGCTGGTGCAACTGGATAGCCATCGACATCCAATACCATTTGTGACGAATGAGCGCTGTCTTTTGACGGCGCCATGGCGGCAGTGGACATGAGAGTGGCGGAAGCCAAGAATTCGGTGGCGAGGAGCAGGACAAGGAAGAAGGTGAAAGGAGGTGTCCGTGATATGCACGGGAGCATAGATAATGTATATGAGAAAGTACCACGAGGAGACAGCGAGGTCGGCAATTTGTACAAAGGACAACTTGGACAAGACGTGGTCACAAATTGCACGCGCTCCCGTTTATTTTTATTTAGCGACGCGAGACGGGACCGCACTTTATTACCAAATTCAGTATTATTACATCACGATCACGGGACTTATCCTGGACTCAAGGACGTCCCGTAAGTACTAAGTATTGACGGTCTTCCGTGCAGAAAGAGCCGTTGTGCACTGACACTTATAGCGTCATGGCCATTGACCCGCCTCATGGAAATCGTCCTCCCGTCCCTGCAGCTAAGCCGCCTTCTGCAGAGTCAAAACCCCGAGGCGCAAACAGATCAACAAAAGTTGCTGGCAAGCTCCAAGTTCTTCCCGACCAACCAGATGTCCCGACGCAATCCACAATCCTCCAGGGCAAAGCAAAGCCGAAACATACACAAATAGCGGAAGCAGCTGCTCAAACTGAAGCATTGAGTCCCAGTACTGCAGACAGCGATGAAGACGATGCAGATGACGAGGAAGAGGAAACGGAGGAACAGGACGCCGAGGCACGTTTATCTCTTACGCTTCGCTTTTAAATGACGTGCTTAATTAGCAGATCTGATTTTAGGTTTACACACAAATCGCTCAGATCCCCGAGGGGACAGCTCGAAGAGATGCGCTGCGGCTCACCAAGAAGAAAGCAAAGTCTTTGCCACGAGTTACCGCATATGCCACAGCCGCGTATGTCAAGTCCTTTGAATGTCAATAAGAAATATACTGAATGACATGTAGTTCATATCGCATGGCTGATCTCATGAAGTTCTTCCAAGCCCGCGGAAGTGCATACCACACAAATCCACGCCTTATTGACGAAGTGCTCTATACAACGTATTCGTACAATACTTCTTCGTCCGATTCCAAGTCCCACGCCTGGTCTCCATCTCAAGAGGCATCACGCACCAAAATTGGCGATTTGCTGAACGTACCGGATATACTCATACAACAGCACGATGGGCCTGCCGACAATAGCTCGCAAAAGAAGAAAGACAGGAAGCGACGGAAGTTCGACGCTGGTGGAAGCAATGATGCCGAAATCTTTATGTTCGAATATGGAACCGTTGTTATCTGGGGTATGTCCGAGGCGGAGGAGAAGAGATTTCTATCGTCGATGTATGCAAAGTCAGCCATTGTCTTGACAAAGCTAACCCTGTTATAGAAAACGATTTGAAGTGGAAAGACTCCGTACGTGTCTTGTTTTACCTATGGCAAATAAACGCTGAAACGGTTTTGGACACATAGCTCCTGAAGACATGGAGATGGAGGATTTAAATTACTACTATGCGAATTATAGTCGGTGCGCTTATTCAGGACCTTTTTTTGGATAAATATTAAGTCGACATTTAGGATATTCAACGATGTGATCACCCTGCGGCGAGGTTCGGGCTTCATGTGAGCATCGGCGAATTAATGTCATGTCTCCGCAGCAGATTCTGAGTTGGAAACAAAGGACAAAGCTCTCATTATCGCACGCATTGGCTCAGTCGGTTAAAATATCCTTGGTAAATTCTAACGTTATAATTCTCTAACACTTCTGATACTGCTTTTGTAGTTTGAAATGCTGATTTCGTCAAACATTGAGCATACAAAAGATGTTCCTGAAATAATAAGTGAGACCGGGAAAGTGGGGATGCCGCACAAAGGTAATGACATTTCTACTCAAGTATGGATGGCGAACTAGGCTAATTGCCACCGACAGAGATCATGCAACAAATCGGCGAATTGTTCCTTTTACGTATGAATATTAATCTTGTGGGCTCGGTTTTGGACGTGCCGGTGAGCGTGAAGTTATTTCCCCTAGTAACTTCCTTATTGACTAGTCTGTTTTAGGAAATATTTTGGGTCAGAGGCATCCTTTGTATTAGGTAGCCTTAATGGGGTCACTGACGCTTCAGACCATAGAGTTATCCCGATCTACAGCCCCTGTACGAGGCGGCTCGTAGTTATCTTGAGATCCCACAGCGTGTACATCTTCTGAACACTCGCGTTGAGGTGAGGCATAGACCCTTTTTCTTGTCCTAGTACAGAGTACAGCTCTGTTACTCATCTTGTTCTTCGCTTTTATCAATTAGGTATTACAAGATATGCTGCAGTTGCTCAAGGAATCTGTGTCAAGTAAACATTCTGAGCGCCTTGAGCAAATCGTTATTGCACTCATTGGTGTTGAGATTGGTGCGTCTCTGCTCCTTCCGGCGACAGAGAAATGGAGCTGACTCGCTACTATCCAGTCCTGGGTATTGTCACGATTATCGTAGACTTGTTTTCGTAGATGCTGGTGCAACAAGTCTTGATGCCGCTGATGAATTGAAGTGGTAGTGTTCAGTATCTGCCTATTACAATGTTTTCTCATAATTGTCAATTGTATATTAAAATTGCATGACAATAGATTATATTGCCTTTTGTCGAGAGCATTCGATTTGTTTTTACTCTGTTGTGCCGTGCTTCTGACGATCATTACGTTATGTATGATTATATTCATATTCAATCGTTATTTCATACATGGTGCCCACGCTCCCCGGAAGAACGGATTCTGACCTAAAACTTGACGTCGCGGTCATATGAGCGAATACACTAGCACAATGACCCTAACTTAGTTTTTCGTGCTCTTGCTATCACGGTGATGACTCCCAGACTTACTAGGCTGCGAGCTGCTCGTGCTTCTCTGTCGTGGCGGCGGCGTCTGACGAATCCGGTAAGGTGCCTTCTCACTCAATCCTATGTTGAAGGTGCAAAAACACCTCCATTGAGCGAGGCTACCTTAGCGAGTTATTTCGAAGACAAACTTCTTTCCAAGCTTTCGTCAAGGCCAGCTCTGATATGCAAGAAAGAGAGACCACAGGTGCACGGCGGTAGGCCGCAGGAAGATTTACGACGATCCGACTGTTTGGCTTGGAGTTTTCAAGAGTTCCATCGTCATATTGAAGGGCTAAGCTATGGCTTATTGTCATTAGGGATCAAGAAGGGAGATAGAGTCGCTGTTGTAATGGGGAATACCAGGTGAGATTGCAAATAGCCTCTTTGGTAGCGGGATCTACCATCTTACTTGGTTCTCACAGCGCGTATGCCACTCTACAATGGGCTTGTGCCAAAATTGGTGCCATACTTGTCACTATTAATCCTGCTTACCGAGTTCATGAACTTGTGAGAAATTGTACTTTGCCCAAGTTATCATGCTAATACGTCCAAAGATTAGTACATTAAAACTTGTCGGAGTTAGCACACTTGTCGTGGTACCGCGGATTCGGACGTCAAGTTATCTAACGGCATTGGCAGAAGCCATTCCAAGCTTGGCATCTTGCCGCGCAGGGGAAATACAAATTGAGGAACTACCCGAGCTACGGAATATTCTCATCGTAAACAACACGGAGGATGGCGAATTTAACAAGTTGCTGCGGAATGTGAAGTGTGCTGTAGACTTTCGCGAAGCATTCGAGTGGTACCCTTCTCCTAGTGAAGTAAAAGCGGTGGATGAACTCCAAAGAGCCGCTTCTAATGACGACATAATCAATCTTCAATTTACGAGGTAGGATGTGACATATACTTGCTGGCGGCTTAGCTGAAACCGATTCCAGTGGTACAACGGGGATGCCGAAGGCAGTTTCAGTAAGCGCTCATTCAATTTGAGTATTTGAGCCAGGTACTGACAGGGCTTGAAGCTCACCCATAAAAATCTCCTTAATAACGGCATATCCATCGGACGGTGTATGAGACTGACCCCGGACGATACTCTATGTGCGTGATAGAGACACTAGTGTTAAATGCTCAGAGGACTAAATTCTCTGCAGGTAACGTGCCACCTTTGTTCCATTGCTTTGATAAGTATCGTCTTGCTTTATCTTTGACTCTGTGGCTTATACCCGAATTATATACGCCTCGTCTTAGGTAACCTTGCTGCTTGGACACAAGGTGCTTGCATCGTGTATCCAAGTGATATCTTCCACCCTTCCTCAATAGTCGATGCTGTGGTGCAGGAGAAGTGCACTGCTCTCCATGGAGTCCCCACGCATTTCCTCGGTGTGCTGAGCGAAATGGAGAAGCGGAGAACGGAAGGAGAGCAATTAGATTTCCGACGTTTGAGGTAAGGCCGACGTAAGATCGATATCTATATTGGCTGAACATCTGAGAAAGGACTGGGATCGCTGCTGGTTCTTCTGTGCCTATAGGACTGATGCGTCGTTTAATACAAGAACTACATCTTAACGAGCTTACAATTGCATATGGGATGAGTGAGTGCTCTCGCTACGTATAGTGCCTGAGTGAAAATATGACGTTTCCTTGTATGCACAGCGGAAACAAGGTATGACCTCACTTTACCATCGGAATAAAATCAGCTAACCTGGAGCTCTGCTCTTCTGTCTTCAGTCCGGTATCCTTTCAAACTTCACCAGATGACCCACTAGATAAACGCGTAGAGACGGTTGGAAGAATCCAGCCTCATGTCAAGGCGAAGATTATTGATACGGAAGGCAAAGTTGTACCAGTAGGAACACCCGGTGAGATATGCGTCGCGGGGTACTTAGTGCAAAAGGGGTAAAAGCTTGTTCTTACACAATTGTCCGCTGGAAATTGATAATGGTGAAGGTACTGGGGGGACGAAGATCAGACGAAGGCGGCCGTGAAAACACATTCTGATGATCCTCACACCTTGTGGATGCATTCAGGAGATATCGGAGTTATGGATGAGGAAGGCTATCTTCGAGGTGGCTATCTCTTTTGGCATCTACTAATTTCTACTGACTTCGTGTTCTTGTAGTCGTCGGCCGTATCAAGGTATTTACAGATCAGACCTCCCGCAACTTGCCTTTTCTGACTTCACATGGATTCCAGGACGTCATAATCCGAGGCGGTGAAGTGCGTTGGTACTGCAATGTCAGCTTGGCGCTACTGACTGCTTCTATATTAGAACCTGTTTCCGGTAGTAATCGAGAACAGAGTGTCGCTCCATCCGAAGATCAGTGAAGCAGCAGCAGTTGCTGTACCGGATCCTAAATATGGAGAAGTCGTAGGTGCTTGGATTACACTGGCGGATAATGCAAGTCTGTCGAGAGAAGAAATACGAAAGTGGGTGGCAGAGGAGATGAATCCTCAGGTAAGTGGTTATCGACTTGCGGGGATGTAGCGCATGAGGTATGAGACTTATTGCACAACAAATGGTACACTCTAGAATGCTCCTGCATGGGTCTGGTTTGTTGGCGAGGATGGCGTTCCGCCAGCTCTTCCAAAGACTGCGAGCGGAAAGATACAGAAGCATATCCTTAGGGACTGGGCGAAAGACCTTGTTGCTCGAGGTATAGGCAGAGTACGCGAATGACGTGCCGTCCAAAAGTAATTATGATTCCTAGATTTCCTGCAACGCCATTCAAATTGTTGCACGTAAGTCACCATCGTGAAGCACTTTAACTGCTTGTATTCTCCGAGAAAGCTGTGAGGTCTTATTGTCATTGATGTATGTGTGAGTTCATAAATGGTACTGGCATAGCTCTAGCATGTCGCTCTTGCGTGTCAAGTTCGCGATTAAATCGTCAATGTATAGAGTGCATGGCATATATCGTTTAAAAGGAATATGAAACCTATTTGAAAAATAAAATACACACGCTTCGCGGTCACGTGTTGTTGATTTGTCGTGATGCCTGGCGAAGTGTCCCGAGTCTTTCCCAAGAACCACCACCACCTGCGACTCCGAGCCGCATGAGCAGTGAGGGCAACATGTCGTGCAGTGCCTACGAGTCTGTTATCGCGTCGCCAAAGACCATGCGTTCTACGTCTGCTTCTGAGCGTCGTCCCTTTGCTCCCGTCACTCCTCAACGCAATGGTCGTGCGAACAGAATGCGCGTCGCGTCGTCTCCGCTTACTCCCTCTAACTCCAATTCCAGCGTCATTTCCAGTCCATTCACGCCTATTACGAATGTCTACTCATCATCTTCATCTTTTGTCTCACCGGACTCGTCTGTCTCGACCAAAGTCGGGTCTTCACCGGAATACCTCAAGTTGCGACAGAAGAGTATTGCTGATGCCACTCACAATTGGAGGTCTCGTGCAAAGGAAAACGGAATAAAAGTAGATAGCGATGAAATCTCCTATGGTATTTACTTTTTATTTCACCTTATCGCTGGTTTCTGATCCGCGATTCATAGCTGATACCCTTGCCCTTAACTCTTTCAATGGTGAGTATCGTTCCATCCACGAGAAGATGCATATTAACCACCTCACCGCCTTAGACTCCGTTCCTGCTTCTTTTCTCTCCACCCACAGACGCCCTCGACAGGCGTTATTTCAAGCCAACTCGGCTGATGGCACGGCTTTCATTTCTCCAAAGACCGCTCGTATATCTGCTCACGATGGGGCCGTAACTGTCCCTGTTCCTTCAAGTCTCGCATCCTCACTTCTAAACACTCCTGAATCTGGTCAATCACAATCATCATCTTTTTCTTTGACTACGCCTTCTCCTCGCTCTTCACTTGCAATCGTTCAGCGACTCCGTCAACGAGGAAGCGTGACCGATCCCGCGCGTCCCCGGAGACGTCACATTTCTGGGCCAATTTTTGTGCGTTTAACAATCGACTTCTATAGCATTCATGTATTTAAAGCACCACTACAGGGCGAGACTCTCTTTGACATCGACGAGGACGCACCCTTCAGTGCGCCAATCCCTGGAACATTCGGATCTCCAATAACTCTCAGGAAGAATAACGATACCTTCACCGCAACTAAGAGAAGTGTTTCAGCTCCTTTCATCGCGGCGCGATTTTACGGGGGCGGCGTGGATGAAGATGAAGATGACGAATTCGAGGACGATGGGTTGCCCGCAGCGCCAAAGAGGTCAAGAGCACGTACACAGTCCGTTCCATCCTTGCCGACCATTGCGTCGGTCTCGGATGTCACCATACAAGAAAACCTGGCTGAAAATATGTGCTCAGTTTGTTCTGCGACCTCATCACCTTTGTCTGTCCTCGTGCCTTGCGAACACCTGATCTGTTCTTCATGCCTTACAAGCTCTCTGAACATCGTCGGTGAGAAAGACATGCGATGCGCGACCTGCGATAAATCTGTGGAAGACTTCAGACTTCTTTCACCATTGAAGATTGACGCCCAGACTATTGAAGAAACGGAGAGATGCAATACGAATAGCGATCTTGCAATAATTAGAGATGAACCTATGAATCAGCTCCTGCCTAGTGCAATCGAGAATCTTTCTCTTGTCGACAGTGACGGGAAGAAACAGACATGCAGTGATCAAGCGATGCAAAACAAGGGTGCAGCGCCTGTCGTCTCTCCCATCACTAAAGACAATAGTAATCTCGCTGTTCTTCGTATTGACAACGTTCCTTGGGTATGTATATCACCTATGTATTGTGGATAATCCGGAACTGACTACTGTTGCAGGACGTCACGCCTGCTTCGCTTTCCGAGTTCTTTTCACCTCATGCAGTTGTTCGCGCGCATGTCCTGTTGGATTCCAAAGGCAAAACACTTTCGCATGCATACGTCGAGGTTCCTGCCAGTGACGCCCGGAATGCCCTCAGGAACGTCCAGAATAAGAGCCTCGGAAAGGGTCGGAGATTGCGAGGGGTTACTGTCACCTTGAGTGGCCAGGCTGAGCTCATGCGTGCTGTACGTCGAGTTTTACGCAAGCTCTGAAAAACGTCGTTGACCTATTCGTGAATCTTTCAGTTGTTCCCCAGTTGGCTTGGAAGTTTTGACGGCAGTCACCCAACTCTAGATGGCCTTGATCACCCTTCAATGATTAGAACGCTAGAGAATGGTCTTATCACTTTGCCAGAAATCGACAGTCTCCTTGCCCTTATGAAAAATCCGAAGGTAAATGAGTAATAACTATCTCTAATGACACGGAGCTCACATCTGCTTCGATCAGTCACACTTCCTGAAAGTTCCAACACTTCCGTTCTACTTGCTTGCATCAGTTCTGTCAAAGTTCCCAATTGAAGGGGACAGTCGCGTCTTTTGGAGTGCAAATCTCCGTAATGTACTCTATGGTATGTTCGATATGTATATATGCCTTTGTTGCAGTGCTAATGTTATATGATGAGTAGAACTTGCAACTGGTAAGCATTTTATTATACACAAGAACCGGCGAAATCTGAGGTCGGCCATTAGCTGCTTGCGATTTACTTGTCGGACGTATCCAATCGGAGTATCATGATCAACATGCTTTGGAGACAATCGTCTCGACAACGGTCAATTGTCGACGTAATAGCCATCCGTTTTTTATTTCGCGCAGCAGGACTAATAGAACTTTGCGACAGTGTTCACTGATATCCAGCGCCGTGGGCTTTTTGAGCGTGTCTTGAAAGCGGTCTCTTCTAAAGGTGGTGAAATAGCTTGTGCCACTCCCGATATTGCGTCCGCGGCTACAACCATGTCGCCTCAGTCAGATGAACTTATTCTCGATGACGAATTGTCCTCTTTGTCAGCTTCAACAGCATCGATTCGAAGCGGGTCCAATTCCCGTGGCCCTCATTACGGGAACCTTGCAGGATTGCGCCAGAACGCTGCTCCATTTTCATACAACGGTGCTGTGCCGTATGGGACTTCTCTTCAAGCAACTCTTTCTGGATTGGCATCGCCCCAGATGATGAATACACCTCTAGGATTACGATTCTCCAATCCCACTATGAGTGCTGGGATGCAATTCCCTTCGAGAGGCCCGATGAAGGCGCCATACGATATTCTCGCACGCGAGTTCAACGTCGATCCTGATTTGGTTGCTGCACTTGCACAACGACTCGCTTATGCGGGACAAACGCTGCCTCCTCAAGGCTTAGGGTCGTTCGGATACGTCAACGGCCGGATGTGATTCTTGGACTGTAATACGAACCCGAACACGACTTCTCCACGATGAACTACGACTAGATTGCCGAAACTCTGTTCCGTTTTACATCAAGATGCATACTTATTCTTACTCATCGCATGTTTCACGTCGTTGAAGCCATCAGCGGCGCTTTCTTCCGTGCTGAAAAGTCCCAAATGGGCTACTTCTGACTCTTGTTCCTTTGCGCTAATGACCTAAACCAAGTGTCTAATTCATAACCCACCCATGTTCCCATTTCTCAGTCAACAGACTAGCTATTAAACCAAACATCACTGCGCTCATCATGCTTTATTTATTCCTGTTGTACCAGATGACAAAATGCTGTATCACATGCATGTTTATAACCAGCAATAATTAAGAACTTTGTGATTAATGTTGTTCACTCACTTTTTGATGTACTCACGCGTCTTATGTATAATTGGGGGAAAGGTTTGTACATCTTTGTGAAATTTCACGTGCGTGACTCTCCATCATGATGGGCGTTGTTGTTCTCTGTGATCCAGTGTTCACAGCTGCATGTCTGTACTTCACCAATATGACAGCCGTGAATGATAATGTGATTACCAGTTTCTCTTGCTGTGCATGACCGAAATGCCCAGTGCCCAGTGCTGGCGTCTTCCACGCCGCAGTTCTTGTACGTGTCGCACTTCAAATGGGCTGTGTCTGCGGATCGACCGGTCAGCAACTGTCGTTGCGGTCAATTACTGCTTACCGAAGCGTATTCACGACTCAACTGAACCGTGGAAGTAAGGCGTAGGCTGTGGACGTGCCGAAAATATGTCAGCGCCGCCTCTGCGCCGCTGCCTCAGTTGCTAGACGCTCATATCTCTCTTATAGCCTCATCCGAGTCTCGCGCAAGTGCTATTGTTCGTCTGAGATACAAAGCTCCCGTACAAAACAGCAAATTCTTCATTTTTTTCTCCGTTCCCTGGACTATGGTGCGTCGTCCCAGCCCCAAACCCAGCGTGGTCCAGGCTGAACACATGTCCACAGGCCGACGGCGACCTCCCTGAACCGTCATCTCTGTATGGCTACACTCCCACGACTACTGTCTGTGTCACCTTCATTGCATTATTCGGAATTACGACTGGTACGTTTGTCTGTACTCTTTGTACGCGTTCATGGCCTGATTCGCCACTTATTTTCTCGCAGTCATCCATGGATGTGAAGCGGTTGCCTTCAAGATGTGGTTGTTCCTTGCTCTTCCTACCCTAGCGGGCGTGCTAGAGGTTGTTGGCTGGTTGGGCCGATTCTGGTCCAGCTTCGCCCCTGCTGACCTATTACCCTATTCGATTCAGTGGGTTAATGTGGTATCTAATGCAAATCTCTGCAAAATAATTGACACAATCATGCAATAGAACTGTCGCCACTATAATCGCGCCAACACCACTTCTTGCAGCGAACTTCATTATTCTCGCGATGCTTATTCGATATTTAGGAGAGGGATTCAGCCGGCTTTCTCCAAAGCTATGTGAGTCTGGTAACTCTATCGCTATTTTCTCTTGACTGAATCTCGACAGATTCCATCATCTTCACTTCAGCGGTGAGCTAATGACAGCATAATGGAACATGGTCAATCGTTGCTGACATGCCTTGCAGGATATACTGGCGCTCATCATTCAGGCGTTTGGGGGCGCGAAGGCATCCCATGCCGTCAGTAACCATGAAGATCCAGAACCGTGAGTTGCATAAATTGAGATCCTTCCGGAAAGAATTGACTTGTAACGCATGATTTCATCCCTTGTGTAGGGGAGCGCACATAATGCTCATTGGGATAGTTCTCCAGATGGTAGCGATTACGTTCTTTGTTCTCCTTGCGTCAGAATTCTTTATCCGCTACTACACGAGAAGACCTATTCGGCTCCGCAGTTATCTCGCAGTGGATCCGTCTAATAGGAGAATCGACCGAAAAATGCAGCTGATGATAATGGGGCTTGGGTTTACCACTGTTTGTATCTTTATAAGGTATGCCTTCTGCTATGAGTTCTGGACAAGAACTCAAAAAGTTTTTTGGTAGAACTGTTTACCGGACAATAGAGCTCATTAATGGCTTCACGGGAAGAATCATTCGCACGCAGATTTATTTTAGTTCGTGCTCCCATCTTGTTGAATTGAAACGAGACTGATATTGTCTCACAGATGTTCTCGACGGTGCCATGATCATCCTTGCCAGTTACACGCTCAACTTCTTGCACCCAGGCTACTTGTTGAGGGATGTTATTGAAGAAGGAGCCAGGGCGAAGAGCTTGGATCCGTTAAAAGACAATGTACCGCTTATGCCGGTAGGGAAGACAGTAGGGAATTATGACGAGGAGGCCGGGGCAAAGATCACAGATCCGTTTAAAGACAATGTGCTGCTTGTGCCAACAGGGAAGCCAATAGGGAATTATGACGAAGAAGCACGTATCAAAACTGGATCCACACCACTGACATAGACGACCACGCTCGATACGATATGGACTATAACTTTATTATCACTTCTTGTCACGGCTGTTTTAGACTCTCACGAATCGCAGGACATTTTTCTTACCATAATTAAGCCGCTTTATTTAGGGTTTGAGTGCCGACCATTGTTTATCCTGCCTGGGTTCGAAGTTCTTCGGCCGTTCGGAACGACCTTCACTATTCAAACCATATATAATCCACGGCACTCTTCAGCTACGGCTCGGCATTGTCGGACTGCGACGTTGAACTGCTTCATCAACCGATCGCCTACCTGACAGATTAGCGCCTCGTTCATCACTCTTATTTCAAATGGTAGCGATGTCTAACGCCGACTCGAGAGCTTCAGAGCCTGAGCTGCCAACATATGTGCTGGATCCAAACTTGTACGACCCCACACGAGAGGAAATAGATTTTCTCAAGAGCCAAACAGGGATAACGGATGAAGAGGAACTCAAACAACATGTCTTGGCTGTGCAGAAAGAGGCGTGGGCTGTGAGTCGTGATTATCACCTCCGTCCCGATACATACCACCAATAAAGGAATACACGGATTAGGTTTTCACCTACAGATGTATTCAGGCATTTGGATTCATCACGTATGTATCATTTCAATTCACTCCAGTGCAGTGCGGCGCTAACTGATTGATAGGCTTAAAATATCCCATTTGCCTGCGTACCAAGATCTTCTGAAGTTGGGCAAGGAAAGGCCTGGTGCCATCTTCCTGGACTTAGCTTGCTGTTGTGAGTTGACCCCTGAAATGCCGCTTGCAATTCGGTTTAATTTGCATCAGTTGGAAATGATATCCGCAAGGCAATTGCAGATGGTTATCCCAAGGAAAACTCGATTGCCTCGGACCTAGAAGGAGGTAATTCGCCACCCTCTGTATTAAAAAATTAGTATACTCACATAGACCCCTCGAAGCGTTCTGGGGACTAGGGAACAAACTGTATCGAACAACCGAGGAGACCTTTCCGGTTCCTTTTGTCCAAGGAAACGTATTCGATGCAGAGCATATAGCACCTGCTCCACCACACTATTCATCACCTACCACGCCACGTCCAGTGCTTTCCTCGCTTACCTCTCTGACGCCTCTCCAAGGACATGTGTCAGCACTTCACGTCGCCGCATTTTTCCATCTGTTTGGGAAGGAGGAACAAATTACAGCTGCGCATCGACTTGCGTCATTGCTTTCTCCCGTTCCTGGTTCAATGATCTTCGGAACGCATACAACGAGAACTGTGTCAGGGGAGCGCATTGCTGCCGTGCGCCACGAAAAGGTGTACTGCTTCAATCCCGAGGATTGGTGCGCTCTTTGGGATGGGGAAGCTTTTAGAAAGGGAAGTGTTCTTACTGAAGCAACGATTGTGGATGATTTTCCATGGGTTGGGAAAGGGTTTGGCTCGGATATCGAGAAGGTCAGAAGGGCCACTATGGTGTGGAGCGTAAAGAGAATTTGAGTTTGAACTAGAAGGCAACATGTATATCTGACTGAAGTCTTGCATACATTAGTGTTTTGCACCTGGTCTACCTATGAGTGTTTGGCGAGCACCGGTTCAGGGTTATGGATTGCTTCAAACTTTCTATGCGCATACATGAAGGTAAATGTTAATGTTTCATTGAGCAACGCGGCCATTCTTCAACAATTTCGGTTTTGCAAGCAATAATATACATCATAATATTTTGTATTGATTAGCGTCGAAATGAATAAATGCCTTAATAATTAATAATTTGCCCATTCCCGACTCGAGGCGGAGGAATTATTGAACTTCTACCATTGACCGACAAGTGGATACCCAGGATAATTAATGAACAGGGGGGGGGGGTTAAGAATAATGAATTATGTTTGCATTTTGTACTGAGATAGTTATTGGGCTAGCTGTATATTCTTGAAACAGTTGCTGAAGTGCTTCAAATGTAGTAGGAAATGTTTGCGCATTACTATTGCTCCTACTAGTAGGATGGTGCTTTTAATATCATTTGCTTTCTTAAAATTACAACCTTTGAAAATAACGATACAACTTCTGTAACAATCGTTTGTGTTTAAGACATCTACCAGTAGAAAGTAAGAAATCGTTTTACTCAGCTCAGAGTGAAGCAAGTCTGTTAGTAACACTGTGGAAGACTGCGTGCTCAATCTTTTTTTGGTCGCGGGGGGTGGGGTGTAAATAAGGCGAGTTTATCAAAATAAATCGATAAATGGAAAATACCTTGAAGGGAGAAGCTGTAAAGAAACCGTACATAGATAGAGCGGTATGACTCATTACATTAAGTCTGTCTGACACAGTAAACGGACCTGGGCATCTGTAAGCTAGCAAAATATTATTTTGGCTCATTATCGAGTCATGATATCTAATTGATTAATTTGCATTACTTTGTCTGGACTAGTGCAACAACTATACCAAACAATCTTAACTTCCCCCATCTGATTAATACTAGTAGCGTCTACTGAACTTTTTCTCTGATGCTCATTACTCGGTACTCAGGAAAAATCATGAATTACAAGTACTTGTTAGGTTGAACCTTCCGCTTCTCCCGTCATAATAGATAACACAGATTTACTGGAAGGTAATGTTCTGGCCACATTGCCCAAACCCACACCTGTTGGTAGAACATTATTGCCGATTCATGCCACAGACTGGTATCCTAGTAGCAACAATGGAAGTTGCAATGAAACTGCTTCCGCACTGTATACGTGTCCTTGTTACATAAGCACTTCAGAAAAGGCAATTTGAACTGGCAACAGCACAGGGCGCGAAAGAGTTGTCTTTCTTTTACTCCCTCCAAAGCCCGGTGCTCATTATTTCGCCATGACCTCCCGCATCAACATTGCGCGACCAGCAGGCACGTCTGCCTATAGCCCGAGCTATAGCCCCGATCCCCATGGGTTTGGCAACTCCCAACCCAGCAGCGGCTTTCGCGCGGCAAACGCGACGGACCCAGACAGTCCTCTTGCGAAGTTGCGCGCTGTCTCCGCGCAGATTGAAGACTATATTGAAATCTACTCGCAACCTCTAAAGCCACATTTACCTGCTATTGGTCGTTTTCTCATTGTCGTTACATTCCTGGAGGATTCGTGGCGAATCATGACACAATGGGATGACCAGTTGTGGTATCTGCAGAGGTCCGTCAAAGTTTGAATTTGCGCCTCTCATTGGGTACTGAGTCGTCTACCAGACATCGAAAATTCCCTTGGGGGCTGTCGCATATCTTCCTGCTGATCAACATCATTGTCAGTCTTCTCACATTTTGTTCTGTTGACAAGTCACGTTGTTCGCTTCCTCCTTCATGTCTGTCCATTGTGTCTCGAATAGCTTTCGCTCAGAATGCCCTTTGGTATAAATATAAGCTGACGCGTATTTTGCGTAGGTAATGCTGATTGCATCGGGTGCGGTTATTACCAAACGACACACGGAATACGCGGTAATGGGCCTCCTGGGCGTCGTCGTCGTTCAGGGATTCGGTTATGGGCTCATTTTCGACTTAACGTTCTTCCTGCGTAACTTGTCTGTTATCGGCGGTCTGTTCATGGTCTTCAGTGACTCCATGATCAGCAGGAAGAAGCCGTTCGCAGGTCTTCCATCTATTAGTGAAACCGACAGGAAAAAATAGTATGACGCTGTTATTGCGATTTTTTCATGAACGGCTTGCTGACCTCTACCTAGTTTCCTACTTGCAGGCCGTGTGCTGCTCATTTTCCTCTTCCTAGGTTTTATCATCCAGGGCAAGTGGAGTATTGCACGTGTTTTCGTGTCCATAGTTGGTCTCGCCGCATGTATCATGGTTGCTGTCGGCTTCAAGGCCAAGTGGTCGGCAGCCTTCCTTGTCTTCGTCCTCAGCGTCTTCAACGTGATCGTGAATAGCTTCTGGACGGTACACTCTGCCCACCCACAGCGCGATTTCCTCAAATACGATTTCTTCCAGACTTTATGTAAGTACAAAACCTGATCCCAATCGCAGGATACTCATCGTTGATTTATAGCAATCGTCGGGGGTCTGCTTCTACTCGTTAACATGGGTCCAGGTGGCCTTTCGGTTGATGAGAAAAAGAAGGTGTACTAGTGTAGTTAAACATACTGGACACGCATGTTGGACATAAAAGCTTTCATCTTATGCAAAGCTGTTGGGTAGACAGAGAGATGTTATAGTTCACGTGTGGTTCACATTCTCAATTGAATTCTGTGTTTATGCATGGTGGCTGTCGGACAGCAGTCGGATTGTCAGGAGTTGTATATATACTTACATGACTGTTCTATTTCCGGTATCTAACACAAACTGACAGCCTTGGTAACTATCAGCAGTACACATTCTTTTGGCTCGGTGGCGCTACGCTAATTTCAACAAGAGCAGGTGCAATTATCGAGTTATTGCAGGTGATAGAATGCTGCCAAGACACAGTATACGCGTTAGCAAAGTCCACTAGATATAATTAAGCTGTCTCGTAAATTAGTTATGCTGTGATTACTTTAAGACCACACAAACTCCAAATATCCATGCAGCACAAAAATGCAGGAGGTGAAAAAGGCAGTACTAGATCACATGATCGAATGACACAAGGACTGTTACCTCTCGACTCTCGAGTCTTGACTGGTGCGCATGTACTCTGCATCAGCAACTTGAACACACAAAATGGCCAAGGGCCAGAAATCCTCTGCGACGTCTGCCACGCGTAAGAAGCATGCGCTGAAGGCCACTGGAGGCGCTAAACAGGAGCTTCCTCTACCCAAGGAAAAGAAGAAGGACAAAGGGAAGGGAAAGGGCAAGAACAAGGAACCACGCGTTAAAGTCTTTATACCACCTTCCAAGCCTGCTCCCATTCGTCCAGACCCACTTGATAGCCTCGGAATCGCGAAGCGCCTTCCTCCTGATATCCTTATCGTCCTTAGACGTCTTGGAAAGAAGGATTCTATTACGAAGAGGAAAGCCCTAGAGGAGTTACAGAGCGGTTGGCTGGACAAGATATCGAAGGGAGACGATGACAGCGGTACGATTGAAGCAACTCTCACAACTTCGCTTCCTGTTTGGGTGAGTTTATCTTCCGTTGACCTTCTAGGTAATGAATTTAACGATTTGTTCTGAAGTTACACCATCTCCCCTCGTTGCTCCTGAACGTCTCGCGCAGAATCAGATTGCTTGCTGCTGCTATTCACACTTCACTCCTCCGCATACAATCATTACACGAGCAGTTTGTTTTCTTCCTTACAGAAACGGGCGATGTTTCCCAGATTGAGCCGATCATTGGGTCGTGGTGTATGGCCGCAGAAGACGTTGATAGAATGGTTTCGATACAAGCGAAACAAGCTTGGGACCTCGTTTTCCAGTCATTGCCTACGTCTAGTTCTGGAATAAATCTGGATGACAATTATCTGAAACTCTTACTAAGGTTTATTAGACGTGCATTATTTGATCCCATGGCTGTCTACTCGGACTTGAATCCGATACAACCGTCAGTCGAGTCTTCGCTGCCAGCTCATGCTTCACCACGTAACAAAGGTGCTCCAAAACGGCCTCCTATCCCACCTATTGTCGAAGAGGATGCATCGCTCCGTAAGCCGGAAGAGGAAGAAGAAAGCGACGATGATCGGAAAGGAAGGTTCCGGGTGGGAGCTCTGGGCGTATTGCGATGGCTATTGGGTATGTGTTTGTCTGCCTTCATAAGTATGCAACTGAACTGCTATAGAGAAGGACAATATTTCTATTTCTGAGCAGCTTTCTGAGCTCCTCTCATACCCTCTACTTTGGACGAGCCTATATCATGGCTCAGCTCCTCCATTTTGCGATACACATTCTTCGTCTGGTTTCATAGGCGACGAGCAGCCTGCCGCTCGAAAGGCAGGGTGGTCCGTCCTTCGGATCCTTCTTAGAAAGCATTCTTGTAGGTCAAAGTTCCTGACTTCGAAGAGTAACACCCTGATTTGTTATAGCCTATGTTGACGAGACGATTTTGCGAATCCTGAGTTCTGCTGTGCTTAGGTCGGCGTGGGTAGAGCCTGATTCCGGGGTCCAGAGCAGCATGTGGGAGCCACTACTCAAGTTTCTAACGAGTAAGTGCTAGTGCTCGTGATTGCTCTATTCTATTAACTTTTGTGAAGGTTTCCCTCAGGCTTGGAATATCGATACGTCTGCTAGCACGTTGGACAACGAAGCTGGGGAAAATGATGAAGAATCCGACGATGACTCATCAGAAGGGAACAAAGACACAGAGGATAACGAAAAGACGGAAACGACAAGCCAGAGCCATTCTGAAGCATTTCGCGAATTTCTTCTTTTCTTAGAACTCGGTTGCTATGGTTCACCAGCACAAGGTTATCCGACTATAGTGATCATCCTGTCGACGATCCCTCCCCCCGTAAGTGTTTTCCGGGCGAGGCATAGCAAACCTTATACTAATTCTCCTTCTAGATAATTGGAAAGGAGCCAGATTCGTGGTCGGACTTTCTCACATCCTTTTGGGCTGCACTTGATGGTCGCGCGCTCACATCGCTTGCCGCAGAGCGTGCTTTGGCATCATCAGCCTTCCTGAGTGCTCTGCTTGAGTGTCTTATTCTACTTATCAAACGCTCTCGGGTGTTCTCGGACAGCACATCAAATAATGACGAGGACAATCGTACAGCAGCAAAAACTATTCTCGGACAGCAGTTCGGCCGGGTGTGGGAGGAGCTCATTAAAGATCGACTGAAGGTACAAGATAGAACTGCTGGTAAATTATTTACACAGACGTTTGCTCGCCTAGCGGATATAAACGACGGTATGTTCATTATTTGACCTTCTATTAATGATCTGAGTGATGCACACGTTATATTTTATAGCTTTATTTGCGGCAGCATGGGACCCGATTTCTTCAAGTGTTACTGCTGCCCTATCGCCTGAGCATCGCGAACCGCCATCAGCAAGTATCAAGCGATTCACAGCGCAATTCTCGTTACTCAGGTCAATCCTTAATGAAAGTAAAGGACTTCCCGATGCATCATCTTGGAGTACAAAAGTCTCGGTACTTGTATGCACAGCTGCCAGAGTATTGCTCGAGCAGACGGACGAGCAATTGGGCAATACAGGAAAGACTAGGTTAAGGTTGGCCGATACGACATTAATTCAACGCCTTGTAGAAACGTTGAGACTCTTCGGAGAACTACTTTTAAGGAACAGTGACCTTACTCCGGTAAGGTCTTTCTCTTTGCGATTTTAATTATTTCTCAGACTGGTCCTTAGAGAATCGATGCCGTGATGAGCAAGAACATTTCCGGTATTCTGCAATCGGATGTAACTGTGCAGCTTCTCATTGTGTTTCTTCGGCATCGTGGTGATAACAATGCATGTCTATCCCTGTGGCATGATACATTGAAAGTAATCTCATCTGATACGGTTCTCCAAGAAGAAGCTCTGCCTATACTCTTGGTTGCCGCAGAAAGGGATGACTTGCCGGATTTCCTAAAGCCAGAAGATGACGAGATGGATAGAATTGCTTCTAGACTCGTCCTTGACTTACTTTCTTCTGACGAACAAAAGGAATCGTTGAAAACCACGGTGGAGCGACTTCTGAAACGGCCATGTAAGTTCTCATCCTTAATTCGGAAGCATATATCTCTGATAGTTACCTATTGCGCTATAGGTTTCTTCATCTCGTCTCGCGCTGCGTCTGACCTGCTACGTACAATCGCGTCCGTATTTGCTGAAAATTCGAGAAACCTCATTCGAGATGCAGAATCATCTGCATCACTCGTTCCTCTGCGGACCCCGTTAATGCTATTGAGTTCGGTAATAGATACGCAACCGACTGTTGCGTTATCAGAGGAAGTCCGTGCCTTTCTTCCAGACGTATTTGTCTTTGGTTACATTCTGCCTCGAGCGGAACTTCTGTCGAGCGAGGCACGGATCCTCTGTACGCAGGCGAGACAGATTTGGACGACTGCTATTTCTCTGGAAGGTCTCAGTTCGGAAGAGCGGGATGCATTACAAAGTTCTGTTCGATCATTGCTCCGCGATCTACTTAGCGACATTAACAGCCGTGCTCCGTACGTCCTTATACCTCTACAGTTTTGACTTCAGACTTACTAATGTTTGTTCAATTCTGCAGGCCTGAAGCAATACTCGAGATCGTATATGAGGGCCATGCAGGCAATGCAGTGGATTTAATGAGCGAACTCTTTCCTTCTCAGGATCAATTAGAAGCTTTGCTCTATGATCTTCCATCCAACCCAGTTGATCCTATTCTCGCAATTGTTGACCCATTAATCCCACCGCAGTCCATGTGGAAGGATGTGCCGAATCGTGTGAGGCTGCCGTACGATCGATCAGGCTTATGCGAATTTGCTAGAGTCGTGAACTCGTTGCTACTCGTCGCCTCAAAGAGCCGAGATTTTGCACGACAGAACATATGGTTATTACGACACTTTCTTATTCTCTCGCTTGCGGCGTCGGAACGACGCCTTGTGCCTTCGGCGACTTCAGCATTTTTCTCATGTAACGTTCCAGAGAGCATATTGGAAGAGATCACGACGCGGGTGAAGGCTTTGACTGCGTTCCTTCTTTCGGACGTGGGCGACGAGGACTGGCATGCATCATTAATTCAAACGTATGAAAAGGGTAAAAACGGAGATCAGACGGTATTTGCCTACAGAAACTTTCCCTCTTTCGTACTCCATATGCTTGAATCGGCGGCACGACGCGATGACTTGCAAGAGTCCAGAGCTTTCTGCACAGTTGTCCAGTATGTTCTTAACGGCGCGGTCAGGAAGGATGCCGAACAGTGGATGACTTTGGCAAAACGTTTAGAAAACCGATGTAAATACTTTCATACGTAGGCCTTAATTCTGTTCAGCCCTGCTAACTTGCTTTGCCACCAGCTCCTAATACTGCGTTGGCCATCGCTCATGCAGTAAACAAAAGCGGACTTGAGCCTCCCAGTCTAGATCGTTATCGGAATGAACTCGCTGCGAGTGCGCTGGGCGTCGGGGCCTCAAAAGCTAACACCGATGGCGTCGCATTGCTCCATCGCTTGAATCTGGTTGCCCCGGATCCAAATTCTGATGTTGTGTTTCTTCCACAGAACCGTGCTATTAACTTTATGAAAGCTTGTCAGAGCTGGATAGCATCGGATGAAGATATTTCTGAGGACGTGGAAAGCGAGATGACGCTTGTTTTCCAGCACCTTGCTCCGATACTTCAAACCGTATCTGGTGCACATTGGGATTTCGTCTTCGATGTTGTCGAGAATAACTTGGAGGTCGGTGCTTACCTTCAGCGTCCCGTGGCGCAGCTCATTCCATTTCTCAGAATTGTTCATTTGTGGACACGTCAAGTCTCGTAGCATTGACACGGACGCTTAAGCTTATACTCATTATTCAAGACTTGTGTGGTTCGAATAAGTCCTTACGTGCAGCTTGGCAGGAACGGGAGATGCAGATACTGTCGCTCGTACGAAACATCGTGCAACATGCTTCAGGTGCGCTGGTCATTCGCATGCCCTGAACTAATCACCTTGAAGGCGTCGACGCATTCTCACTTGTTTGTTTACTATAGGATCTTCCGCATCGATTCCTAGGTCTATATGCTGGGAGATGGCTCTGAAAATTGTGCAAAATTTACCCTTATCGCTAATTGATCACGAGACACTACCGAAAGTGAGTATCTAGGACAAGGTTCCGCCTGGTAGTTATTTACCGATGTCCGAATTGCAGATGGTGCATCTTATCCTTGACCCTTCACCAGAGGTTGCGAAAATGGCCTACGAGCCGTTATTCAGAGCTGCTCGGAAGAGGACTGAGTATCTAGTTGTGGAAGCTGCAGTAGAAACTTCGAATGAAATGTCAAGTTACGAAATACCACCAGAGCTACTACAGGTGCTTCAAGATGCACTTGAACCGGATGACGGATCAGATCCGGTGAGTTGATCATGAATCGAGTTTCACGAGTTTCATATTTATCTTTTTCAGAAAACGTTTGCGTATCTACTAGGATGGATGATCATTTTCGATCTGTTTGACGAAGCAGTATGTTTTCAGAATTTTCTTTTCTTGGGAAGATCGGGCTGATGTTATAATGCGCTTGTCATAGTCGCTGCGCGTGAAAATCGGCTATGCTACTCAACTGCGGAACCTGGATTTAATTGGATCGAACTTTCTCCCCTTTATCTTTGACTTACTTGAAGTGTATCGTGGGAGGGGTAAACCATTTCCCTTAGAGCAATGGTCTGTGGAAGAGTACTTTGTCCAATGTAAGTAAAACTGGGCTGTTGTGCTGAATGGCCCGTTTACTAACTGTGCGCAGTTTACGACACAGAGACCCGCCTCAGCCCACGACTCCTGGCTGCACATCTATTCTACCGGGCCCTTCTAAACGTGCCTTCCCTCATTGCAAGTTGGTGGACAGGTTGCAAGGATCGGCAGCTTGTTATTGCTGTGTCAAACTTGACAACGAAATATTATTCCCCTGTACTCATTGCTGCTGAACTGCAGCATGTCAAGGATCCGGCTGGTGTTGCAGAGCTTTCTGGAGAGAATTGGAATGTTAAGGTCGCGGCTGGGGTTGGCGAGGTCGCTGCTTCGTATACGGTCGATGAACAGGTCATGGAGATCGCCATCTGCCTTCCCCGTGATTACCCGTTACATGGAATTGAAGTTCGTGAGGTGCAAAAGCTCGGCGTTGAGGAGAACCGGTGGCGTGGATGGCTACTTGCAGTACAACAGATTGTCACTTCTCAGGTGAGTGTGGATTACCTGACATCCAGCTGGAGGCCACTCGTGAGTGCTGACCGATGGTTACTCCGTGTAGAACGGACGGATTGTCGATGGCCTGAGCATATTCAAAAAGAACGTGACCCACCATTTCGAAAATCAGACAGAATGTGCTATTTGCTACTCGTATGTCGCACTTTATTATGCACGCGATTAATTTAACGGCATTTTCTCCATTAGAATAATCAGTGTCACGGAGTTATCATTGCCGAAAAAGCGCTGCAAGACCTGCAAGAATCGATTTCATGCTGGCTGTCTATTTAAGGTAGGACTAATTAAGCTGTAGCCCAGTATATTCAACGCAAATTGACGACTCCTCTCCATAGTGGTTTAACACGAGCCATACATCTTCGTGTCCGCTTTGCCGTTCTGACTTTATTTGAAAAGCTCCAATAAATCATTACCATTGCATTACATCAACCTCCATAGATTCACAGTTCATCCTGTAGCTTCTGACTAGACATGTAGCGAAGTAAATTCAGTGTACACTGCTAGTATATTATATGCCATCTTTTCATTTTACTCCCCAAGGACTCAATCCAAACCCACGTGTACTTATTTAGCTATTCCCGTCAAAGTAATAGGGATCAGGAGAAATGCTCGTTTAAGTTTTGCATGCAACCGATGCGTCGATGAGTTAAAATATAGGTTAGTTCAATTAGAGACGAAGTACACAGCACTGATGATTGAAACAATGGAAATGAAGGATAAAAAAGTGCACAAAGATTAGTAATGGCGTAGGCCACAAACTTTCCGACCATGTATCGCTGATTGCAAGTCCCAGAGTGAAACATAGAAAGACGGGTTCTGGCCGACCCTGTGGACATTTTGAGAAGAGAGTAAATACCTAGAGATAACATTACAAACCCGATCGGAAAAGCATGAATGGAAATTACCCACTTTCATAGCAAGTACAGCGGATTTGCAAACACGTATCGCACCCGGCCGAGCAATACCAATGCAGCGCGCGATCTTTGCCAAGAACAGCAACAATGATCTTAGCCGGTAATTGCTAACTGTGTCCATCAGACTCGGATTGGCAGGTGGTAGGGCAAGCAGAGGGGCGGTTGGTTCCTCCTGCTCATCCAGATAGCTGTCCTTGTCCGGTATAGGAGGTCGAGGCGTATCCAACTCAAGTTCGCTTGGAGCCTGCGCATCGTCAAGGCTTTCATCTTGTTGAACAGCGGTACCATTGCCCTCGAGAACTGTGTCGCCGCTGTCGCCTGAGTCTTTCTCAGAGTAGATGGGTGGTGATTGTCCGCGTGGGCGAGGCACTAAAGTACCTGCACTGATAACTCCAGCTCGGATAGCCTGGGGATCGAACTTCAGGATGACGAATACGAGACGAAAAAGAGTTAAATAACTTGTCAGGAAAGTTACGTTGATGTTTCAATACTTACATTGCCTTCAGCAATAGCACGCAGCACCTGATCACAAGTTGGTCTTTTCTTCGGCAACCGATTCAACAAACTCTCGAGGAGGATGAGATAAGCGGCCGGTAGCCCGCGTCTTTCGAAAGAATCCATAAGAGTTGCATTCCGTTTAAACCTAACCAATTAAAGTGAATGGGCGAATTGTAACGTAGAAGTAACTTGGAATACCCTTCGTATTCAAGCACCTCTTTCTCAAGCTTCTCAATATCGCCGTTTCCGTTTCCGTTACCCTTGCTATCTCCACCACGTGAATAGAGATAGGGTAGACGGAAAAACAGCAGTGTATGGAGGATCATTCCAAGGGACCACATGTCTGCCTTTGAATCAATTTGGCTAAGAAGACCTGTCTGTGGAGAGCGTAGGGCTTCCGGTGCTGTAAACTCTAAGCTGAAAATTAAATGCAAGTTAGTTGAACCAATGTATCTGGGTCGGGGATCGAGAGACGTACGTTCCGGTGTTGCCAGTTCGGGATTCTGAAGGTCGGATCATGTCTCGAGACGTCCCGAAGTCTGACAGCATCGCACGCGGTCTATGAAAAAAAAAAAAACAGTTGGAGATGAAGCAGAGTGAAATATTTTAGTACACTTACATCAAGGCATCGACATCCCACGTAAGCAAAACGTTTCCAGGTTTTAAATCCAGGTGTAGAATCGATTTATCATGCTAAAAGAAGTGTAGCGTATTCAGTTCTCAGGTCCAATGGTACCAGAATTGGCTTGACTACATACTAGAAACGCTAGACCGGAAGTGACATCCGTGAACAACGATTTCGCTTCTTCCGCGCCAAGTAAATGCACTGCTGTGCGAATGCCACGAGCTCTCTCTGCTCTCCTTCGTTCGCGTTCCTCTTGCGGGCGGGCCCGAGCAGCACGAAAGGCACGTATACGATCTGATCGTGAACGAAACGCATCATCTAGCGGACCATCTGATCCAGCTCCAGAGTGGCTCGGCGCATGGTGCGGATGACCGAGACGGGCATCGATGAAATCGTCAAGACTAACAAAAAAAGATACTCTAAGGAACCGCATAATCGTAAAATCTAGAGTACTTACCTTCCACCCTCGGCCCATTGCATCAATACACTACATTAATCTCATATAATTAACAGCCGCCAATTCTGATTTAACCAAAACCCACAAAAGCGTCGGGATTTTCGGTCCGAACGAAGAGAACTGATATGTCTCGAGCCATGCATGATGATACGTAATAATGTTCGGATGTCGGAGTTGCTCGAGGAGGCGAACCTTCACGAAAATTGAGGACATGGTAAACGGACAATCAATAAATGTCTTACTTCTCGGAGAATTTTCAGTAAATATGAATGGGACTGTCCAACCGCGATTTTCTTTACGGCGAAATGCCCTGTCGAACGGGAAATAGGTTTAGGTCTGACGAGGTGTTGATTGAAATACGTTTCTACCTAAGGGATTCCCATCAAGAACGTGCTGTATAGGGTTGTTAGTACTAGCCCGCAATGACAAGCAACCTCATCTTACCTGGCATAGGAACACGCTGCCATTTGCACCCATGCCAAGTCTATACTCCTCCTTGAAAAACGCGTGAAAGTAGCCTTCAGCCATAGCGTCTGTTCTGAAGGTATTTTCGTCTTCCAAAAAACTGTGTGATTCACTCTCTTCTTCTGAATCCCCTACTGATCTGAACCTTGACCTCGCACGACTGGAAGGGCGAGAACTCGATTCGTTCGCAACCTCAAGTAGCTGGAAGTAATTGGAAGCGCGCATACGGTTGTCATCTCGGAATGGTGGGGGACCAGCGGCGCCCTCTAAAGGTCTGTTGCAATATGGGCAAGACCCGAGTGGCTCGGACCTGGTGTTAGTATCGAGCTGACGCACCGAAAGCGCGTGCGAGTCCGAGTTGTATAAAACGACCTGGTGTGAGTCGGAAAGAATCGTACGCCATGCAGGCTGCGCCGAGTCATGGGGATCGTCATCTTCGAAAGGTAAAATGGCGAGAACACTTGATGGGGAGGCAGAATTGCTAGTACCAGGCGAACTAAGCAACGGCGTCGATGGCATTATGCTGCGTGAGTGTCCGGAACACGGATGCAAGTAACCAACTCTTGAATCGTGAAGGTTGGTTGCAGAACTGGAATAACAAAGTTGACTTATTTATCGCAGAGTCGCTGACTGCGGCTGACAGACACAGAACAGCATTATCGTTCGAAAGCAAGAGAGGCAGCGCGCAGCTTCCACAAGTTTCAGTGGCGGCACTAATTTGAGGCACGTGAGTCACGATCGCGTGACCGTGACCAAAAGTAAAATATACTTTTGTTGCTCTCCATTCCGACGCCACGTCCTTGTCAAGGCTCTGAGGCTTTTGCTACCGTCTGATTCTTGAGCTCGACGCCCTTATCTAGATGACTAGCAAGAAAGAAGTGACCACCGAAGCGTCGAGAGACCGCCTGGTTGCGCGCTTTCGGGAACATCACTTACAAGAGGTGTTTATGATGTCACATCCAGATGACTGTGAATACTGAACTTTGTGGTGGTGAAAGCCTGATGAAGTGGACCTCGCTTCTGATGTAACTGCGATTCTAACTCAAATTGTTCATGATGAGTCCCCCAAGTACTCTCTTCAAGATGTTGCCTATGCATTGGCTACTTTGGGCGCATCCTCTAGCTTGGTAGATGTTAGATTATTAGAATCCTAAATCACAAGTTGATTGTTCGCAAAAGGACGCACTCCATGTAATACCACTTCTCCTGGACTACCAAGATGGGGCCGCCGATGAAATCTTAGCTCTTCTGGCGGAATGCGGGAATGCGAAGGAAACCTTAATGTCTGTGCAGGAATCATTCGAAAAGCTGTATCATGATCTCCGTTCAGATGACACACTTAGAGAAGAACGATTACCTATTCGCGTTAAGCGACTGCTTTATCTATGCATTGGAGGTTTGTTGTGTAGTCATATATAATGCGCTGAAATCCTTAATTGATTCTGTATCAAGCGATCCCTCGACTTAAGCTTCGTAAGAGGACCGCATCGGAAACACTCCGACCTCTTTTCGGTACTATAGCACCGGTATTAGAGTTGCTCCAACCGTCCCTACAGAAAACCGATGGAAGGATTGTAGTGCAGTTATTATGTAACTTGCTGTCCAGCACTGTTGTGTGGGCCTCACAACGTGTTGAGGCGGACCTTTCTGCTGTGAAGGTACTTTAGTGCTGCTCTGTGAAGGTTCAATCTATTGACTGAGATGATATTTAGGAACTATGTAGAAGGATATTTAGTTCTACAGTGGAGAATCTTTCTTCTTTCCTCGAGCTGGACTTGGCTCGACAGAGCTTTGAAGCGATCAACCCCCGGCTGTCCAAAAACAAAACAGGAACAATAAATTCCGAAACCGATGCCCTTCTGCAGCAGTGTATTGTAGGTACCCGATTTCCATTCTTGTCGAACGTTGTGTCCTAAGCAGCCATGCAGGACGTCGCACTGGTGCTATCATATTCAATCGACGAGCTGCTTCATGAAGGCACTACGGCTTCTCTCGTCCTACTTTCTATTCTACTCTCCCGAACTTCGTTGCAAGTACCATCCCCAAACTCTGTGCTAACAGCAGTGTTTCCTGTCCTTGTTGCGGCGTTGCAGTCCGGTATATGCGTCGATTCGTGTTTGAATATCCTCCTACACGTACTTCATCCACCGAACCGTAACGTGTCCATGGACATTGATCCAGACTTACTGGCTCCGTTAAGCTCGACACTTGGTCCAATTGCGAGTACATCTCCCGATCCAGTCGTACGACATATTGCCTTTCGCATATTAGGTACATTCATCTCTCGAGCGCCAGCTTTGGAGCGAATGAGCCTATTACGCGAGCTACTTGTCGAGTCTCCGTTTCCCTCACTTCGTGTTGCATCCGTTGGTCTTCTCAAAAATGCTGTCATGGAAGCGTTGGCGGCTACCTCCAAAGGTGGTGTCAACCCGTTCGCGAGTTCTGCTTTGCTTCGTACATTTGGCTATATAGTCTTAAGACCCGATCCACCGGAATTGTTCAGCAAACCGCCCGATCGCGCGTCTTTAGTGTCGTTTTTAGAGATGCAAGAGCCTCGACGGCTTGTGGAATGTCTGGGGTTTTATTACGTTTTACTTCTTTCCGACACACGTAACCTTGTGAGTCTTATTTAAATAACTACTCGCTATCTCGAAATTTACTTGAAGCGATGTGCATAGACGGGCGTACGGGAGCAAAGTCATATAACCTCTGTTGAAAGGGAGTTTTTGACTCCGCTCAGAAATACACTGCACACATGGGCTGAACTAGAAGAACAAGAGTCAGGTAACCCAATTACTGACTCACATTATATTCTTATCTTACGTGGTGCAATTCTAGTTGGCGAACACGACGGAATGGCTCTTGCTAGTCTTGAAATTAGCCTTGAAAGGATAGATGAAGCATATGAAAAACTAGGTCTTAGACCATTGTAAGGCCTTATGGGGACCGACTCGTCAAGGCTTCCTGTGATGCATCCTTGCTTTTATTTAATGCTCTATCATTGTACTGATGGTATTGTAGAACTACAGTAACTTTATATATTATTCTCTCTGAATATTTATTGACTTCTGCTTCCACGAAATTTAACAACTGGATCGGACATACTCTGTACAAGCTACACAGCTACATGCTTTAGAAGTAAGACATATTTTTCGCGTCCGAGGTGAGGTATTCTGCACTACGCCTCAGTTGGGGATGCATCGCCATGTCTTCTCCCGTCGGTACGTCTGCTTCCTGACCACCACGTAATGTGGTACAAAAGATAGAGATCGCAGAGAATTAGACTCCATAATCAGTTTGTTTGGGTAATGAAGGAGCGTACTGAGAAAACCGTTGAAAAAGGAACAGGTATCTTGACCGAAATCGGCATTGCCACTGGTACTGGCCGGTACGGAAACGAGAGAGTACCTATGCTGCCGGTCGGGCCATTAGGTACACAACTCTGAAACCCGTCACTGACTGGCACCAAATTGGCAAAGCCGGAAAGAACATGCTGGACACAAGAGGCGTCCAATTGTGCGTCTGTGCCCATGCCGTTCCCTCCTGAAAAGTGGAAGTCTGGTTGTACGGCGTAATTACCTTCACGAGATTCACTGTTAAGCATGTCATCGACAATTGAAGTAATTAGCCCCAAAGAGAAGCACTCATGAACTCGAATAGTTCAACGTACTAGGGGGATGGGTGAACAGCAGAGATCTGCGTTATGGCTTCCTTACGGTATTCTGGAAGGTTGGGTGTAAGGGGTGACGGAATAACTAACAAAACTCAGCTAGGTGATACATGTTAAAACGTAAACGACTCACAGGACGTAAAGCTTTTACTCTCCTCACATTTCTGCAATTGCAGACTATTGAGAGACTTGCGGTTACTATCTGAGACGCGTGGATGAGAACTATCGTTCGCCTCGTCCGGATCATTGCCAGCACGAGTGGAAGAAGGCAGCGTGCAATCAAGTCCTCGTCGCGCACAGGACTGACATGGCCGCTTGTCACCACACTGGATTTTCTGCCGTCTGCGTAATTTATCAATTGAGTAATGCACGCTGAAGTAGTCTGAACCAGACTGTACATACCTACAATTAGCGCACGCTATTTTGGCCTTGGAAGACAGGCTTCCTTTTCGAGACCCATCAGTGCAGTTTATTACCGCGTCTACGCAGAAGCGGCAAGGCCTGTTATCCTCGCACTGGAAGGACGAGTAGTGAGCGAAAATATAACCGATAAGTTTTTCGGAATACCCACCCGTTTATTATCCTTCCTGCAATTAAGACATCTATATTTGACGGCCCTCGGGCTTCGATCAACGTGGATACATTTTTCTTGTCTGCTGATACATCGCAAGCACGGTCTGTCATCATCACATTTCTTATTATCCCTGCATCGTGAGAGGAATAGGTAACACGGTATGAGCAACGTCATAATGAAATGCGCACCTTCTACAAGCCTGGCAAGCCAATTTTGCTCTCCTATGAACGGAAGATCGAATGCTCCGCGCTTCTGGAGGTCGCGCAGACCCATTTACGTTTACACGCGGCGGTGCAGCCTCGTTTTTGCATTCTATTCCTTTTTCTATGCACTGTCTACACGGGTCATTGCCATCACATCGCTCATGAGCCCGGCGACAAGACAGGCAACCGTCGGTACAGACTAGACCCGGTGGATCTTTTTTGACACAGGCTGCATCCGACGTGGAGAAGATATGAGAAGTAGCAGTATACGAGAGAGTACATTAACAATTAAAAATTACAGCATCATTTGCGAAACCAGACAGATTCGTACCTGAGCAAGGACGCTCGCCATTGCATTTGACTTTGTCACGTCTGTCCAGAAGGGGGATTAGGAGGATCATATCTGAAACAATGTAATGCCTTCGGAGGCTGACCTGCAATTACAGCAGGCCCTAGTTGTCCGTTTCGGCAGGGGAAAATCGAAAGCCAGTGTCTGCATCGGATGATCAGGCAATATTACCCACAACAATATAAAGAGCTGCGGTTGCACAGATGCACAGTAGTCTTGCGCCCTGGATAGATAGCAGGCTCCTGGTGGGAGTGAGAGAATTGTAGTTCGACACTTGACTCTTGAGGTGCTCCGTCGAAGCTACCTTTTGTTGGTTGGAAACTCAGCGAACTGCAGAACCAATGCCGCCAAACCTATTCCAATCCACAGTAATGACGTCATGTAGTCTTCACGTTGTAGTTGTATCCGATTTCTCAGTGAATATGCCTTTCCTCTGCGGTAGGAAATCACAGCTCTGCGACAGTGGACACTGGACACAGATCCACTGGGCATCCTATTAGCCCCATTTATCTCAATCAGTGGATGTCGATGGGCCGATGTCGAGATTACATATTGAGCTTGGGACTAGAATGCACCTGGGTTAATAGCATACGATTCTGAGTCTATTTTCGAGCTCACCTGTAATGCTGTTGACCTTGTGATATGGAGGATTCCGCGCAGATAAGGAAAGGCATGGATACGGATTTAACAAAATACAGCCGAACCCGAGTCACATCCATATTTGGTCTATTAAGGTTTTCCACCTTATACCCTTTCGTACCCACCGCGGCTGCCTCCCACCGTTGTCGACGTTGCTCTCGGTCATCCTTCTGCGTTGTCTTCCAGCCCCTCTTTTCATCCACTCCTTCATCCCCACAAGCGTGCTCAGTACAAAGCAGTACACGCCCCAGTCGTAATGTCGCAAACTACGTCGTCTGCGTCTGGATCTGCTTCGGGCTCAGCCTCGGGTAGTTTCATTTCTATCCCACAAACCGCCGCCGCAGGAGGCCTCACTTTCACGCAACCCGCCACTTCGAGCAATGCATTTTTCAAAATTGCCTCGGATGCACCTATTACATTTGGCTGGAACTTTACAGGGCTCTATGTAACGCCAACACATTTGACGGTCAGCGCCATCTGCGACAATGGGAACACATATCCTGTAGGACCAACCGATGGTGTCATTGATGGAAAAGCTACACAGGTCGTTTGGGATGTCTTTTCATATCAGCAGGCAAATCCCAGCCAGCCTCTCGCCGTAGCTTCATATACACTTTCAATCTGGGACGACCGTGGACCAAATCCAACTCGGGCACCCGGATTCTTTGCACCAAATTCGAACTTGAAATTTGCCTTGTATACACCCCAACCTTACACCCCTCTTGCAGACGGTGAGTTGAGCTTTGTGTCTAATTCTCGAACTGTGAGATTAAACCGAATTCCTTTCAGGCTGGAATTGTCCAGGGTGTAGCGCTGCCGAAGCAACGTTGGCGTCCCATCCAGCATTGGTTGCGTTCTTCGCCACGTTCGTGATAATGCTGCTCAGCGGCTGGGGTTTATTACGCCACCAGTGATTTGTTGTCATTCTCGTGTCGTCTCGTTTTTGGTAGATCTTCAGGTTGTTATATTTGGACTGTACACGGACATGGACTTCGTTGCTAGCTCTCTCAGACATTATGTCAATCACTTTAATACCTTCCCACGTCTATCCGCTCCTGTCACACATCTCATTGCTTTCGTTCTTCAGTAGTTCCTTTTCATATCTCGACATGCTTTACAATCATGCCTCTTACGTTCGTCCCAGACATGTCGTCGCCACTCTCCTCCTTCACTTAGTTGTGTACGCGTTGATGTTTGAGAAATACATCACAGTGCTACCTGTCCACCTACCTCAGCACCTGCTGAAGGTCATGGTCGTAGATGCTTGGCCGATAAATCCGGTTCAATCTCGGGCCGATCAGCTTGAGGGAAAAATTCCGTCGATCACTCGTGCATGAATCATTTTCTCTGCTGATGGATGCATATAGTTTAAACCGTTTTTTTTTACTCCCCCACTATCTCAACCCATCTTTCACGGCAGTGTAGTGCCCGCAGACGCCTGCTACAATGGCGGTAGACCATGAGAAACAGACTGATGCTCGAGTCTGCGCAGCCGATGTATACGAGAATGGTCATGATCCCTCGAGAACGGAAAGGCTTGGACTGGGCAGGATAACTCGCAGGTTGCTCACATTGGGCGTAGAGACAAGGGGTAGCTATGTGTCTCCTATGTGACGTCGTGTATGTGTGCGTTTCTCTAAGAGTATTTTGGCATTTAGGAATCTACCCTGTTCCGCTTCATCAGCGAACAGACAGGAACTTCCATAAAATATTCTTTATGTGGTTTTCCATGAACTTCAATATTCTGTCGTGCGTGTATCATCTGCAGTTGTGCAGGAATTTGTTTGAAACTCCCGCAGTTTCTCAGCTGGTACAGCTGGTCCTCTTGTCTTTTCTTTGAACCTACGCGATAGCTGCCTCCTGATCCTGTTTATAAACGTGCTGTGTTGTGTTCCACCCGCATACATGTATGTATATCCATACCATTCCAGTTTGCAACCACTGACCTATTCGTCTTGATAGCTCGATCTGGGGACCGAAATTAGGTCTAAGAACAATGTGCCAATCGCGCTACAGCTTCGGGTTCGTGAATTTATTATTCCTGCAGAGCTCATGTGTCGCCTAAATTTGCTATCTTCAAATAAGGTTTTATGGAGCGATAGTACCGAGTATATTCAGCCTGCTTACAATGACTGGCTTCATGATCCTTAATTGTATTCTTGGTGGACAAACACTCGCTGCTGTCTCTGAGGGTCATCTGGACTGGACGTAAGGATAGTTAATGTAATAGGGGAAAGTGACATTCTAAAGCCTCTCTTGCAGTATTGGAATTGTCGTTATCGCCATTCTTTCGCTACTCGTTAGTAGGGATGGTTTATCGGAAGTACCTGTGCTGACTTTATAGCAGGTCTCGTTCTGCGGCTATAGAGTTCTAAACTGGTCAGAGTCCAGTCATGTCCAGGCGGTCGGCTCTCCATACTTACCAGCCAGATTACAGGTACGAGCGCCTGTCCTGGCTTCCAGTACTTATAGTATACCTCGTCGCACTGGGGGTTGGTGGCAAGCACCTTTCGAATCCTCCTCCATCAGAGCCTGCTACTGCTGCGACAGTGCTTTCGTTTGCATCTGTGTTAGCGGGTTTTGTCTTGACATACGCCCCAATGGGCTGTGATTTCACAACGTATATGGACCCGAAGGGTTCCAGGTCAGATTTCTGCTTATTCTGAAAGTTGATGAAATTGATTGTCTATTTATACAAGCTGGCCGCTGGCGACCTACTCGTACTTTGGCTTCCTCCTGCCTATAGTAGGTCCACCTATCTGTCGGATATGTCCTTACTCAATATACTCGTGAAGGTTGCGATTCAGTGTCTCGGTGCTGCGTTTGCAGTATCTATTCCTCTCGTCCCGTCTTGGTCAGCTGCATATGCAGACCAATCTTTCGGAGACCTCTTCGTCGCCGTCCTCAGCCCAACAGGCGGATTTGGAAAATTCTTAATAGTGCTCTTGAGTCTAAGCGTCACTGCAAACATCGCACCTACGATGTACTCGTTTGGCCTAACGTTCCAGGTATTCTTCCCCTTCTGCGCACACTTGCCGAGATATGTGTTTTCTGTCCTTGCTACAGCCATGTGAGTTATTTCACATATCACAAGTTAGTCGTTGTTGACGGGTATTCTGCAGAGTTATCCCTCTGTCAATCGTCGGCGCACATCGCTACTATACAACGTTGACGAATTTCCTTGGTCTGATCGGCTACTGGGCATCATGCTTTATCGCAGTCGTACTTATGGAGCATTTCGTTTTCCGAGCACTTGCTCAATCAATCGTTCCCTCCTCTTCTTCCTCCCCGACAGTCGACCCCAAACTGAACCCTGCCGCAACCGACACTGCCAAAGATGGACACCAACAATACAGTACAGATGCATTCTCCAATTATGACATCTCCGCCTGGAACACACCCTCCCGACTTCCAAGTGGCCTCGCAGCGCTCGGCGCAAGCGTGTTAAGTTTCAGTCTCGTCGTTCCGTGCATCGATCAAGTATGGTTTGTCGGTCCGATCGCAAAGTCGACGGGGGATATTGGGTTTGAGGTTGCGCTTGTGTTGACGGCATTGTTTTATTTGCCTTTGAGGTATGCTGAGGTCAGGTGGAGGGGTGGTTTGTGATAACTTCCTGAGTCAGTTTGGAAAGCTTTGTAACCCAGTCAGATAGCTTGATGTTGTAGAGGAAAGGACTGGTAGGAAGGACTGGTTAAGTCAGAATTTTATTGCCTCATCTTAACAGATCTGTCTGATTTGTTGCTGCCTTGCAAAATTTTGTTCTTCTTCAATGGCTACTTTGATATAGATTTTAGAAACAAAGGTCAATCCTAACTTCTGATATATATCTTGTGAATTTCTGCGTCGACATGGGCATGCGTCTTTAGCACAAGACGACAGTTTGAAAATGACGATGATGTGTACAAATTTTATCTACAGACTCACACACGATCAATTACTTACAACTAAACTAAGTTTTCGTGTGTCGTTCGTGGCGTTCGTCCGGTCAATAAAAGTGTCATTATACCGCGTCCCTTTCAGGAATGTGTTCGATTACCCATTTTATGCGATGATGACACCTCCGTTCGGGTGCAGAACTTGGCCACTGTTGTGGTAGTAGATGTTTTAGAAGATGTTCATACCGACAATGAGTTACTTACCTCATATAGCTCGAATCCGCACTTGCGAGAAACACAAAGCATGTTGCGATTTCGACGGGCTGACCGGGGCGTCCAATCGGTGTGGTGACACCAAACTTCTCTATGGAGCCCTTTGACATGGTTGCCGGACTGAGAGGAAATCGAAAGTGAGAAAAATCGAAGTCCGACTGGACTTTGAAACGTACATGAGGGGGGTCCAAATAGGGCCAGGTGCGACGATATTGACGCGGATACCGCGCTCACCAACGATCTGATTGCTAAGTGCCCGTCCAAAGCCGACGATTGCTCCCTTCGTAGCAGTGTAGTCTACTAAGCCTGGGTGACCGACGCTCGGATTGACGCTCGCGTCGAAGACGATTGTACCGCCGCCATGATTAGGCATATGCGGAAGGGCAGCTTTTACGATGAAGAAGAAAGAGTGAATGTTGGTTGTGAAGACGTCGTTCCATTGTTCTGTGGGGATGTCTGGGAGAGTACCAATCTCTTCTTGTGTACCGTGATTGAGAACACTGCATAAATGCGTGAATATAAGGAGTATGAAAGAACTCGTGCTGTACCTACAGTGAGTCCAGCTTCCCATTGTGTGCCTTCAAGTGAAGGTCCACCAGCTTTTTACAGTTCTCCTCGGAACGTAAGTCGAGTGGTGCGTGGGCAATTTTAGCTTTGCCATTCGTTTTGGCAGCGATATATTTTTCGACGGCAGCAGCGTCTTCTTTCTCTTCAGGCTTATATGCAAGCGTTACATCTGCGCCTTCTAAAGCTATATAGGGAGTTAATAGGAGTTCTTCATATAAATCCTAGGAAGCTCACCAAAGAGTATAGCGACGGCTCTGCCGATGCCACTGTCCGCACCGGTAATAAGAGCAGCTTTACCCTCGAGCTTTCCAGAAGGCCTGTATGGTTTTCCGTCTGCGGTGACATCGTCGACAGGCTGGGGTTCGAGTGTGCCTTGCTGCTTGCCTGGAGCGCCTTGCTGTTCTTGGAAGGGCGGCTTCCAGCCTTTAGTGAATACTTCAGGAACTTTAGGGTTCGACATTGTATAGTTTCAGAGTCGAAAGGAGGTCTAGATGCATGTTGACTCTAGCAAAGCACCGTGATTTATAAGTGCAGGACAAGTAAGGTGACGTCGGTGAAGACGTATACTTCGGAGTCATCATCGGGGACTCGGGATGCGTTGGAGAATCAGATTCAGGAGGAGGAGATAAAGCGTCATCATGATCGACGCTGTAGAGCTTATTTGATTGGTAATCAACACAAAGCACGCGAGCAAACGACCGACGTTGTGACACTTATTACTATTTAGCACGCAGCGTTGTCCTGACTGATTTTGGAAGCCGCTGCTAGCATTGGTTCTGCCCCGCGATTACTACAGCTGACTTGCAGATCTATCTACTAGGCGAAAAATCTCTGCATTATGGTTGTTGCAACTCGTCCTCTTCGCGGTTCGCGCCTTGCCTCGTTTTTCCCGTCCGTACCTGCTGAAGGTCCATCTCTGTCCGACCTCGACAGCGCGTTTCAGCTTCAGGAATATATTGCACTCCTTATTCGTAAAAACCCTCATGATGTTGATACCATTGTCTCGCTTCCTGAACGCGTCAAGATGTCCGGAAAGGAAGACGATAAATCGGACATGTCGCAGGACAAAGGCGACGTTGTCGTCGACGAGGCCTGTTGGATTTATGAGCAGCTTCGGTAGGAATTAGGATGCCATTTTTCGGCGTGTTTATTGACTATTATTCAGGCGACTCGCTCAGGACCTGACACATCCCTTAATTACTCTACTTCAACAAGAATGCTCTCGCGCGTCGTGTCCAGAGATGAAGGCCGGAGAATGGCTTTATCTGTGTGTTGCACATGGAAATGATGGTGCAATGGAGGTACGTATTACTAGACCAATGTTTCTTAGCCCCAAGTCTTGCAAGTATGGAAAGCAATATCCTCTTCAGTATGAAAGAACCCGGAAAGACATTTTTCTTTGTTTGCTTCCCTGTGTGTACTTCTTGTTTCTGACTAGCTTCCCTAGCAATGTTGTGCTATAGACTATATCATCCATACATTGGACAGTGCAACTGCTCTTCTCAACTCTCCCCGTGCATTCCCATCTCGGTATGTATATTGTGAGCCTGCAAGCAGCTATGATCCATCTGATATACTTGACTATCAAGAATTTCCATCCCACAACCATCAGTACGGCATTTCTCCTCTCTAGCGCGCCGGTTGGGACGTATTTTCGCACATGCGTATTTTCACCATCGGGAGGCTTTCGAATCTGCAGAGGCAGAGAACTCACTTTACGCCCGTTTCTTGGCGCTCACTTCACGCTTTGAACTCGTCCCACCAGAGTTCCTCGTCATCCCTCCACGCATGACCAATACAGATGCATCGTCTACATCCCCTGCAGAAGCGGAACCACCACGCCTTCTTGGTGCCGCTCTCAATCCACAACCTCCAAGTCCTGAGAGATCTGGCCTTGCGGGTTACGAAAGTCCGCGCAAGGTTGGTCGCAACCGAACTGATACCATGGTGTTCAGTGAGGCAGAAGCGTATAGCGAAGCGCTGCGTGGTAACACCGGCTCTCCTCCCGACCCAGGATCTTCTGACACTTCCGAGCATAGAGTCCACCAGGGATTAAATCTCGATACAGCGGAAAGTGAGACTACGTAGAGGGGAGTCTAATCTTTTGCATGAGGTCGACAGTGACAGGGCATTGGCGTACGTCCTCCTAGATGCCTGTGGACGATCAGTCATTTTGAGTCCTATACTATACCATGATCCCTCTTTGCCAACGATCCCTCTTTGCCAATTTGCATTTACACACAAAACACAACACCTAATACTCTACAAAAATTCATGGGGGTGTGTTTTTACTATTTAAAACACAATATCTCTTTTTTTCTACAAAAAAATTGATAGAGGAATTAAAACCCTGTAAATACTGCTATTTCCACTAGTTGCAAACCTTATAATTAGCAGTTTTAATTTTTTTAATCAAGTTAATAAGTTGATATTACTACAAATGTATATGATTTATACACAAGTACTTATAGTATTTTTCTTGAGAGATTTAATGGTGATTGTAAATTAAAATTAAGTAAAGATTGTTTTGAGAGTGACAAAAGTGACAGATTCCCAGAGCTTGTACTGCGTCTTGCCAGAGCCAAATTTCTGTGACAGAATGTGACAAAGTTGGCAAAGAGGGATCGCATCCCTCTACAGCTCATAAAAAATTGTAAAAATTATTTTGAAAAGATATTGTGCTTTATTATGCTCTGATATACATATATGCAAATTTTCAGATCAAAATATTAAGTGGTTTTGGAGGAATAAAAAATTGGCAAAGAGGGATCATGGTATAGTAGGTGCACCTAGATGTCAATTGGACTTCAATAATTTATATATTTACCAGTAACGAAGGGAAAAGGCATTCTCTACATCCATCCTAATTTTCATTCCTTTAACGCCTTCTCGACGTCCGCAAGGCCCGCTTCCAGAGATGTATTTGGGCCGTCGCTTTCCGTCTTTAGCTTCCCGTCAGACTGAGTCTCTGCTGTCGCCTCACCTTGTGACTCAGACTCAGACGGGGTTTCTGCAGAAGCGACTTCCTCCGACGAGGATGCAGTGGAAGAGCTGTCGTCTTCTGCCGTGTTCTTGGCCTCCGTTGTAGAGGCATTATTTTCATCGGATGCGACTTCAACGGTATGGTCCATCTTCCTACCAGTGTCGGGTTCTTCCGTCGCCGAGGATGGTAGCTCCTCATGTGGTTGTATGGGGGAAGACTCTTTTTCATGCACCTCTGAACCGGTCTCCGCCTCTTCATGCAACTCATTTTCGCGCCCACCGACTGCCACCTCTTCTTGGGAAGCATCAGAGTCCACCTCTCGTCTTGCCGGAACCTCACCGATTCCTCCTCCTGCTGCTGCTCCGACTCGTTCTATGGGTCGGGTAGCATGTATTCTCGACGCCCATTCTGCAATATCGTCTTCATCGTCATTTGCGCCCATACCTTGCACTTTCCCTTCAAGTACCTGCTTCCTTGCCAGCAAATCGATAACTGAACGGTCACTATTGCCATCTTCGTCCTCTTCCTGTGCCAGAACGGTGTCCAGAGCACTTTCTTCATCGCCGTCCGCTGTCGGCACGCGCTCTTCAATCGAATCTCTGTATTCCTGTGTTCCGATTTGGGAAGCACCTTGATTTGGGCTGACGAAGGAAGGCATAAGGCCGATACCACTCGTGGAGGATGAAGACGGGGACACCCCAGGAGGTAAAGCGGCTTTCATCGTCCCCGAAGCGGAGAAAGTGAGTGTGTACGGTTTGGATTTCTCGGCTACGGCAGGAGCTGACAGACAGGCCTCTTCCGAATTAGCCAGGATTTCCAGTTTGTCAACAGGCGGGATGCCTTCAGCGGTCTCCTCGACAGTATTTTAACATACCCGGAAACCTGATTGCGTGGTCAACTTCAAGCGCAAATTATTCTAGCATAGAGCGTACCACGGGAGGACGCGCCCACCAGTGACAGACAACCTGGTCCCGCATGTGAGACAATGCTGTCACGTGACTGATGTCTCATGGTGTCGATCGCGGTACACACTGTACAGGATTTTCATCCGTGCAGACCAGTCTAAATTTCACTTTCGCATCCATTTGGCGTCTAGACTCACCTCTAGAACTTCTCAAAGATGCAACAATAATTCCAGCAGACGATAGCACTGGCTCTTTCTTGCCTTGACCCTTGAACGGTAATGGAAGACTTGCACTGGAATAGGACTTATGTTTTCTGAGACAGTGAGGGGGAAACAACGAAACTAGGCTAATCGTTTTGTTTTTTAATTGTTAATGACTTTGGCTATGTCGCTGATCTGGAGCGCTCCACTGGCGCTATTACTTGTTATCTAGTCAATGTATTCTGTCTTGAAACACAGCCATTATGTCGGCAGTCGTTCGGTGAGCACTTTATTGTTTTATGAAATTTATTTAAGGAGGGAGAAGTCTTCATAGTCTACAATCACTCTTACACTCAAACCCACTTCATCACCTCACCCAGCTCAACTCACCCTATCTAACTCACGCAATCAATATGTCTGAATCCTGCCTTTCCGACTACGTCCCCAATTTTGAAGGTCATAGCTTGACCATCCAAGAGAATGGAGTTCGTCGTAAAATACGATGTATCCAGAAGATTGGGAAGGGCGGATGGGGGGTTGTCTACCGTGCCGAAGACATTGACAATCCTGGAAACTTCTACGCCGTAAAGGTGCTCGCTATGCATAGAATGGACGCTGCGCAGATTAGGCTCGTCAAGAAGGAAATCAACCTGCACAGGCTATGTGCTAAAGACAATTCGTCGAACGTGGTTCAGATCATTTGCACAGTCTATGACGATGACTACCACTATATCGTTACCGAGTTCTGCGAAAAGGGGGATCTCCGTAAGAACATTTGGAGTAGCAGCTATGTGCGAGACGACGATGCTATTAGGGAGATATTCCTTCAGATCCTCGATGCCATCGAGTCGTGCCATAGCTTAGGCGTATTTCATCGCGATCTCAAGCCAGAGAATATTCTGGTTAGGAAGGACGGCAAGGTCGCTATCGGCGATTTCGGATTCGCAACACGACGCAGAAGGTCTAATCAACTCAACCTTGGCACTACGGCATTCATGAGTCCTGGTACGTAATTTAAACTTCTATCATCTGTGAACGTTCTCTCATTATTCCATATCCAGAGCTTTTCGGTGGGGTCTACGGCGAAGCGAGATCGTACTCCACGCGTAGAGTCGACATCTGGGCACTTGGTGTTACCTTGATTGAGCTTATCATGCGTCGAGTGCCCTGGGAACAAGTCACGCTTCCTCATGTGCAAGCCGTCCATGCAGACAAATTCGTTCGCAAGCGTAGGATTTCTCGCGCTGCAAATGACATTATTAAGGGCATCTTCCAGCTCGACCCTGCCGAGCGACTTAGCATCCCCGAAATACGTAGGCGGATTTGCAACGTGAAGACGTTTAGACCCGAGGGTCTGGTCAAGCGTGTTAAAAATGCAATCGTTGAACGCCGTGTCCGTGAAAGCTCAGAACGCAAGGCTGAGCCTCTTCGTGTCGTTAACGGCGCCGCTTCAAATTCCTCATCCAAGAGTGAAGCAGCTGGCATCAGCAAGCTCATCAACGAATTCCCTCTACCACCAAAACATTGTCCTCTGCCCCCATCCTCATCGCCCGAAATCGGGTCGTTGTTTCTCTCCACCGACGGTACTCCCCGTGTACCCATCGATGTCGTGGATATTCCCGGGGACGATATGGCGGACGACATCGCCGTTGTCAACGAATCAAGTGATAGCGAATCCAGTGACAGCGAGTCGAGTGATGGTGGATCCAGTGGCATCGTATGCAATTGCCGCGACTGTGGTGGTAACGAATCTAGTGATAGCGATACAGACTCAAAAGGGCCTATCACACCTGAGACGCATGCAGTTGATGAGCTTAACGAAGGAAATACTGAGGATTTCGGGGCATTTGACCTTGCGGATGCGATTGCAATTGCCCTGGTTGTATCTGATGACGAAGACGACCAAGTTACCGGAGACCAAGTTCCTGCACCAAAGATGCACAACGAGCAGAATGTTCAACCCGCACGGACGCATCAGGATACTCCTGGCATCGCTGTCGACGTTGGTGTAGTGCAACAAGTTGCACCGAAACTACCACCACGAAACCCTGCTCGTGGATCGCCCGGTCCATATCGCTTTGAAATTGACTGAACAAAGCGGTGAAAACCTTCGTACGTATTTATGATTTATTTGGAAGCAATTCCAGCTGACACGATCCCTTTATTCTTGCAGCGAATCAAAATTTCATACTTCTTCTCTTCCATACCCTTCTTCTCTGGAGACGTATTACGCACGCGAGCCGGGAAAGACGCACACATACCACGTTTCGTAATAATTCAATCCATCCCGCTCGATTTCAGTCTTTGTTTCATTATCCAAATACCCCCACCCCCCCTCCGCCCGAAACCTACCATTTTTGCAATTCCTTGTTGGCGAAACGGACTTCATTTTTTCCCCTCATTTCCTTTTTGCATCCGATTGCACACTGTATCAGACATCATCATACCACGGACTACCACAAATACATGTATCGATAACCATGCAACATCTCGTGTAGCACAATGGAATACGACGCTTTTTATTGCGCATATACTTTCACATTCCATCTCGCTGATTTCCAGAAGTGAAATGGTGTGCGCTGTAAAGAATCAGGAGGTGTTCAGACATCCAGTTGTTCCCCGATGATGCAAAGTCAAGACTCAAGACTCAAATTGATTGCTGACTGTCCTGTCACGTGATGTAAGTGGAGAAACCATTTAAATTCGAAAATGGCACATCATTGGTGTTGTTATTCACATTATAACAGCTATGCGCACATTTGCGAGGTAAGTTCCCTTTGGATACTCGAATATCTGTCGATATATCTGGAAGATGCGATATCTTGCGTACTCTGGGCCTCCAGGAATGGGTTTGAAGCACTCGACTTAAGCAGAGTGCCTTTATGTTTTTCTGGCGAACTTCGGTCTTGTGGGGCGCAAAGTGGTTCCGTTAGTAATTTTGGAAGAGCTAGCATCTGCCCACGGAGTATTGCGTTTGGCTGTTTCCTGGGCTGCTTCTCTCGTCCAACCAATTGATCTTTTTAGATGCCTTGGGTACCGGCGCAAGACACTATTTCCAATGGAACCAAAGCGACGTTCTCTCGTCCTGTGTCATACATTGGTTGTACCTTTCTGCTCCTAGTTAAGTTATTCGAATCCGTCTAATCAGGACTGACGTATGCGTGCCATGCGAAAACGACATGTCGGTGTGTTGTAAAGCCGGTGCACGTCCATCTCATGGTTCTGGTTGAATCTCGACTACGATATGGACGCACTTTGCGGTCATGATCTAGGTGTGCTGTCATAGACTCCCTTGTAGTTTGGCGGGATGATTGGCAGGGTTGGTTTTTACCGCGCTGAAGTCCGGATCAGGAGTGTTTTGAAAATTAAAAAGATGCTTCTTTTCCGTTATTGAAGATCTACGCTCCGTCACAGTGCTTCTCGAGTCAAGACATAGCCATAGATGGCAGGATTGCGGCAAATCGTTGCCTCTGACGCTGTCAACTCCGCCGTCGGAGTCAAGAATGGGATCGTCAAAAATATCAAGATATTTGACATCGAAGGTCTGTGACCACCCATAAGTACTGGTTGCCACCCGCAAACCGTGCGTCCAAGCATCGTCTAGATCCGGTCTCTCTCCCTCTCTCTCTGCCACCCTCCTTTCCTTCACGCTACCACCATCGCGGACTCCCCTCCTTTGTTCCATCCCCCACGACCTCAATCTCATATCCCGAGATTGACGACAAGACTGTACACTCTCTTGCTTCTTACTGCTCGATTTCTGCGCCAATGACCACCATAGAAAGCATCTTCCCGTCGTCACCGCGCGCGACGTCGGGTGGCACACCTGCTGCCCCTTCCCATTATGCTCCACACGATGACAACAGCCACGTATTGCGACAGCAAAGCTCGCGAGATCTCGTCCGAGCCATTGCTAGCGAGCATTTGTCTACTGCCACTTCTACGAACATAGAACAGCCGCATGTGGCCATTTACTCTTCTCGTTCCTCTCGATCGTCTTCTTCGTCTTCTATTTTTCAGCGTCAGGACTCGTCCCTTTCTTCAGATTCACAGCAAATTCATTCTGAACATTCTGAAATTTTTGGCCACATGAACATAGATTCAACGATTATGCCACACGAGGTATGATCTCCTGTGCATCAACTTCAGTCATTACATTTAAAATCACGCTTGTTTTAGCCCGATGTCAAGTCTCGCGACCGTGCGCGCGAGCTATCTGCCCCGCTTCCTTCTGTTCCACCATCAACCCCAGCTAGCGCTATATCTCATCGATCATCGTTTTCTCAGTCCCAGCATCGCCATCCCGCTATATCACCGTCCTTCTTGCGTCATGGTTCACCGATTTTCGCGTCTCCGTTGACAGAGCTTTCCGACTCTGAAGAAGCGGAACAAGATTTGACTGAACTGAGCGATTCAAATTCGATAGAAATTATATCTGGGTACGTTACAGATCCATTCGTGACGGGACGCTACAAGGACTTCAAGGGCAGCTCTCAAGGCAAGGTCCATAGGTCTGACTTGTCTTATTTCGGCTCAATTTTATCTCGTAGATATCCCTCAACCAACTCAACCGTCTTGTTCTCCAACTCCTTCGTCATCTCTTAGTCTTATTAACACGTGTACTGCAACCCAGCAAGTGACGGAACAACCTTCTTTAACAGCCGCTGCTTTATCTACTTCTCAGACCCCTACTCCGCATCCTCTTTCTCAAAGTTCATCTTTGCCACACCACATACTGGACAGTGAGCTGAAGTCAATGACAGAAGCTTCTGACAGTTCTCACATTTCTTCTTCCGCTAATTCAATGTCTCCGCATCGTGCGCAATCCCGACCAGGCGCCAAATGCGAAAGCCGGCTCTCCTCAGAGGAATCATCTCCAACTACGGCGCCTGGCATTATGAAGCCTGTATATGAATTACGAGACGGTGGCGAGCCCGAATCTGTTCACGACAACGATGCTGCTCCTCGGACGCCAAATGTCTACATAAATGGACTTCCGCCGCATTTTGCGGACGAAAGCCTGTATCTTATGACACGCGACTTTGGGAACGTCCTTAGCGTTCGAACATTCACTCGCTGCGTGGGAGAGAAGATGAGTGGCTACGGCTTTGTACTGTATGTGTCCTCGCTTTTTCCAGCCACGGCTCTTCCGTAAATGACTCCTGTTGCAAAAGTTTCGACTCTGTTGAGTCAGCTGAACGTTGCATTGAAACCCTGAGGAAATACAGAAACCTGCATCCATCGTTTTCAAAGGTGATGCCTTTGCCTCGTACCTCAACTAACGGGAAACCTGATCGCCTTTATTCACAGCAAATCCACAAAATTCCTGGAACACCATATGCGTCCGGTACCATCACGATTCCTCCAACTGGCCCTCTTTCTTCGCTTGCGTCTCAACATTCCATGTCGACTTTGTCTTCCTTCCCTTCTATGACTTCAACTCTGGTTTCATCTACAACCTCTTCTTCCCTGCCCAGTGCGGCTTCGCCTAGCAAAGCGAATGATCATCATACTGGCGAATCGGTTTCAACCACAACCAGTTCCGATTTCAGCGGAAAAGAGATGAAGGAGCTCAGCTTCCGTGAGAAAATGGAAAGACTCAAAGATGAACGATCAACCAATCTGTACATGGAAGGGTGCGTACAATATTGCACTTCGATGTATGACGTTACCTAACGGTTTCGATATTTCTCCAACTGCTAGCCTCCCCCTTTCGATCGATGATGTGGTATGTGATTAATGCTCAACCAAGAATTCCATAGATTTGATCATTGATTTGCTCTAGTCCCTGTCAGCGCTCATTTCGCCTCACAAGATTATTAGCAGCCGCTTCTTTCAGACGAAGTTGTCGAATCCGCCAAGGATGATTGCCTTTGTCCGGTATGTCATCCAGAACATTGGTGGTTGCATGTTACCGAAACCATGTGCTTTAGGCTCGATACGAGAGTAGGCGCAGAAGAAATTATTGATCGTTTGCACGGCCGAGTCGTGAGGGGATGGAACGACAACGGTTGCCGTATTTCCGTCAGATTTGCCGATACAAATGAGCAGCGTGAGCTAAGGGTGTGTTCTGTTCGTCTTATCGTATTCCACGCCTAACAGTGAAATTCTACAAGAGGTCTGAACGACTAAATCGTGGTGAGGAAGAACTAAGCAACGGACACCAACTCTCAATGGCACATGCTGCCCTGCTGAACCTCCGCGGCGCTGAAGCTCAAGCCCAGCTAGGAAACGCTACGCTCCGCCAGCACATGCACGTTGCTAATCTCGATCACCGCCCTCCCGTCACTCTTTCGAGTGTTCAATCAGCTGATACTACGAGTACAGAGTCGAATGGAGCCAATACCGATTCCTTTCAACGACTGAATATCCTCCATCACTCTTCCCATGCGCTCGGAAACATACAGCCTGATATTGTTCGCACTGCTCAGTACTATCACCGTACACCTGCACTATCTCACCAGTCTCAGGCTGTTCCGTTGGATAATGCAACTTCGGCAATGACCTTGCTAAACGGAAGCACTGGTCTGGTGAGCATGTCAGCGATGTCATCGGGGTTATTGACTGATGCATACTCTTAACGAAAACGACATTGGATTTACATTGACGAATCAGTTTGACGCAAATCAATTCGCTCTCCTTCAGCAACAGACACAGTTGCAGCAACTCCAACTCCTGAAGCAAATGCAATCTATGGGCTTCGATCCGACTTTTGCCATTGACGACCGTAGTCTCAATCGAAGCCGTCCTCTGATGCCATCTGCTGATATAACGACGAATGAAGTAGATGGAACACGCGCGCAAGCCGCTACATCTCAACTGACGTCCTGCCAGACAGCACATCGACGGAATGATTCTAATCCTCATACTCAGCAGCACACGGGTTCTTACAGTAAAGGTGGTATCCCTAATTTCCCGAGCCCTGTACTGCAACACGCCACTCGAAATGGGCGTTATATGGAGCACGGCAGCAATAATGACCAGCTAGCAGGGAAACAACACCAGTACCCCCTGAATCACAGTCCGCTATCAGTATGTAGAATTTTGTCAAGTCACGAACGCTGAAATTCTCATAAGTTTTCATGTCAACAGCCTTCCTCTAGCCATGTCACGCATTTTTTACGTACGCGGTCCAGTCATCAGGAAGGCCTAGTCAGCAATTTCGACCACCATCGAGGTCCCGCAGTTGAGGAAAGTGAAGTGACGCTTATTTCACCCGCTCTAACATATGCCTCCCGTACACCATCCACTCTCAGTCCGGCTACACCGCTCTTCAATGCATTTGGAACACCCGCGTCTGTCCCGGCTACTGTCCCCCGTGGAAAAGCGAACGTACGGGAGCGCGACTTTTCACGCTTTTACAAGAATGATCTCCGGCAGTGAATTATTGATAACTTAATCCTTGTGGTCCTCTGGCTTTGCTTTAAAACGTTCTTGTTTGGTATGGGATGAACTATGTTTGACGAGTACATGACACCAACACCTTTTCTTGCTCCTCCCCCGTTTTTCTGTCCCGATCGAATACTCTCATGGACCAAGTTTGCTTTTTTTCAGATTCAAATACGATGGCGAACCGGTGATACGTCACATTTCCCACGCATAACCCACACTTTTTTTTTCGTGTTTGTTTTTCCATCAGTCCATTATTTCGAATTTGTGAAACCTGGACATCCGAACCGACTTGTCGTCACGTCTGCGAAACCGATTAGTGCTGCGCACTTGAGTTCGTTCTCCCCTTCTCTAAGTATGCTTATGTCTTTCTTCCGACTCCGGTATGATCCATGCTCTTCTAATTTCTGTTTCTTCGAGTTGCCTTCGTGGTTTTGTTAGCCGTTGCGCAAAGACGGCGGTCCCCTGTTAGTAGTGAAACGAATGCTTGTACCGCAGTTGTACGAACTCGTAAAAATTGTAATGTAATAGTTATGCATACGTCCAAGGGCACCGCGGAGCGCTCATGGGTGTACCGTTGTGCGCACTGCACGGGCGATTCGCACGAACACTAGGACTCTATCAGATCGATGACCTCTGGTAAGAGGTAGCAACGGGACGCTGGATGTTGAATTCGGCGCTGATCACTAGCGCTAGTATTAATAGGATAGGGTTTGCGAGGAGGCAAATTCGGACGACGATCAGTAATGAGACAGGAGATCAAACTTGCTCCTCCGACCAGAGAAGACGCGCCTCGATGACGCTGGACCGTGAGATCCTTGGCGACATGTCGAACGTCTGATGGGGGCACTGGTACGTACGAGTATTTTTGCCTGGGCTGCGAGTGCCTTTGGCACATGCTCGTCCAACTTAAGCACAACATGCGCTTCCTGTTCCTGCATGGGCGCAACTCCCGGCCGAGAACATCAGGGCTCCTCCTGTATATCTATATCTTTCTCTCCTCTACTCTCGCGGTTCTTGCCCTCCCTTCTCCCTTCCTCTGCATGTCTTATCCGCAGACCGCTGCAGCCGTGCTGCGCTCCTAAACCATCCACACTTAGAGTCAAAACATGGCGCTCCCTGATGACAGTCTCCAAGTCTCCAGTGTCATTTCCCAAATGTACGCAATGCTCACAACTCGTCTCTATTTTTTTTTCATTCCGAGGAGCTAAGAATAAGCGAGTAGTAACGTCAACTACTATGCATCTCTTGTCGCATTTGGTACGAAGTGCTCTCTCCGTTTCAAATTATTCCGTATGTAACACGGCTTATTTTCTATTACAGCGGTCTTATACTACGATTATCTGCTGACGTTTGGAGAGGAGGTCCGATTTTTTTGGCGTCGCAGAGCCAATTCCGTCACTGTCCTCTTCTTCCTCAATCGATACTTATCAATATTTGGCAACATCCCTGTCATCCTTCAGAGCTTTAGGAGTTGGTCACATACAGTGAGTCCCTGCTCATTGTGTAGACTCGACGTCACGAAATAGTGACGTTTATAGGGGTAAGCATACAGTTAGAGGAGCGCCTCTCCGTCGCTGAATTGAAGGCAAATTGGCATCTAGGTGCGATAGCCTGCAGAGGTTTCACCAATTTTTCTCGATCATTGTTCAAGTCATTGTTGGGAGTATGTTTCTAAAATTACAATTCTCCCTAATTGTTTAACAGCATTTGCTCATAGTCATTCTCATCCTCCGTACATATGCGCTCTACGAACGAAACCTCGTCATCGCTCTTATCATGGCAACCTTCGCACTCATAGTAATTTGCATCGGTATTGTAAGTCGATCGAAAGTTCGTTCAGCGGCAAGCAATGCCGACTTCTCGGTTGTGTTGTAGTGGGCTATTGTGGGAAAGGCACCAGCAATCAAAGAACCCTTTGACTTGTCATTTACACTCGGATGCCATCCGCTACTCTCAAGCCAGGAGTACGTCTTTCCTTCTTGTCTTCTCTTCTATCAGCTGGCTGAATTTTATCCAACACTTCAGGGGGACTCGTAAGATTTCATCTGTCGAGCATTGAAGCATCTCCTTCATTTTTAGTTTCTAGATCTTTCAGTTGCCTGGGGCGGTCTCCTGCTCTTTGACTCCTGTATCTTCACGCTCACGCTCTACAAGGCTATCGCGATCTGGAAGCTTGGAACTCGGAGGCTCTTCCACGTCCTCGTCCGTGATGGTGCGTTCTCACCCCATTCATCCATGCCGGAAGTTGTTTCTGCGTTTGCTCGCGTTCACGCTTCTGTGCCCTCCACATCTCATTTTCTCATACTACGCGTTCCTTTCTGCTCTTAATCTGTTGGCTGAAGGAAGATTCTTCAGGAACAATTTACTACTTGTGAGGAACTGCAGATCCCGCTTTCTTTTCGACTGGAGACACTAATGCCACGAACTCTCGCCCATTGATCTTCTCTGTCTTTTTATGATTTTCCTTTACTGTATTGTCTTCGCCTTTTTGCTCTGATGTTGCTTATTTGTCTGCCCCTATTCGTGCCCATACCTATTGACATCCTTGCTTGGAACAGAGTTCTAGCTATGGCGAATCTGTCAAACATACTTACATTTGTGGTGAGTTGCAGACTTTATCTTCCATCAATACTATTCCACTGTCTTCGTCTGCCGTCTGTCCGCAGGGGGTTGACAGGAGACAGCGCGGACATGGCGTTTCTATTTGCAAGGTGCTGCTAATATGTTGATACCTGGGCTCACAATTCTTTAGTTAGGGGAGGTACGCAACTCCTTCGCAATCAATGCGCACTGTTGTGCCTTGTTGATAAAACATGTGTTTGGCTATGGGATCTCTGCAGCCCCTTATTCGAGGTGTCAGCACCACGTTTGCCAATGCGTATGTATCAGAATTAGTCGTGGTCAGATGCATTTTGCTGAGTGTCCCTTTCTACCTTCCCCTATGCTGCATTACTGTGGATGGCTTTAACCCCTGCGGAACAATTCTTCTTGACGATGGGCCTGGTGGCGGGACCGTGCGTTTTGACATTCAAATGTGTCAATCCGGGCGAAACGGAATGATAATATCAAAATCAAATTTCATCAAAGTGAAACAGGATATCGGTAACGATGCTCTCACGTCTCATGCTCAACTTGCAAAATCCACTGCTCTTCGAGCCCAACTGGAAGTCACGGTCACGGGCGCAAGGAGATACTATCGGAACAGGAACGTATGTCGGACCATTTGTCACGACAATTATCGATCGAGATGGCACAACCGTCAGTGAGAGGCGCTTTGATTCCGGAACTGGGTCTGGAACTACTGGGACGGACTCCAGCAGAAGTGGAGTATGGACGGAAGAGGTGTGGGCTGGGGATGGGGAAGCCGAGCTCGAGACGGAGCTATATTCGCGTCCCCCTCGTGCCTTGTGGTACGATCGCGCATGGGTATCTGGGAGTGCGTCGGCTACGGCAACTCGAACCGGGTCTGGTACACGGGGTCATGTAGATGAGATAGTGGAGGAAGTTGGTGAGTATTTTCTTCCCCCTCATACCACTTTTGCCTTTTCGGTACGCCCTCCTTGATCCCTTGTCTCCGATGTCCCTGCTACATCGGGATAAGTGTTTAGAACCCTTGAGGCTCCCGATTTTCTCTTCTTCTATATTTGCATATCCGCGCAGACCGAGCTGATGTCTAATTTCACCGATCGTCGTGATAACGCATGCCACAGAGCTTTCTCCAACGCTCGGAGCTAGACACCACGTGTAGAGTTGAGCTAGGGCAGTCGAAGTGCCGGTGGCTCCATCGAGGCACTCATCGGCACGATTGGCACAACGTATTTATGGCTTCGTTTCCGGCTTCCGATCTCCGGTTCAAAATCTACAAAGTCAAGAAAAAATGCATTGTAATATCAAGGCAAACATTGTGGTCGTTGTTTTTTTCCTTATGTACGCTTTACCATGACTTGATGCCCACGTAATATTGTCTTTTTATCATCGATCACTGTAGCCTTTCTAGTGCTTCTGACCTTGCTGGACAATTTATCTCCTCAATTTCTTCCTTCTTCATACACAGTTCCTCCTGGCTATGCCCGCAACACCGCTATACTCGCTATACTTAATTCTTATACAGTCGTTTTTGTCTCGTCTTCCCGTATATAATGTATTTCATCGGATGAATAGAACATACTCGCTTGCACAATACGCCCAAGTACTTGTCTTTAAAGTAGATGGAATGGGCTAAGGATTACACGATATAGACTGTTTTAATTTTGTGGACCTGCGTCTCTGGTGTGTATACCCTTAACATTCCTTTTGTAGTGTTGTGTTTATTACCTACTGTACATACGTTTGACTCTCTAATGCTAAGACTTGCCCTGTAAGTATATGAATGTTTATCTTATAGTTTGTATAGTATACGAATCAGTGAGACTGAAACAGTGAATAGTAAATTTGTCAGTTGAAGTGACATTCAGGCCAGCAACCCTAACGCGTCGCGACGCGTAGAGTTGTGGGAGTTTCATTCGGCGCTTGAATGTTACGCCCAGTATGTAAGTCTCTAGAGTCTCCTAATTCAACTCTCCTATCTTCCACCATGACAGCCATACCTAGCAAATTTTATGCCTTAGTTGATAGAGACTCGATATATGATTCGCTGTTTGATTTTTGCACTCCTGCCACAATCTTCCGTGTAGCACGTACTTGTCGCCTTGCTCATGCAGCAATGCTAGACTATACGAGCCGCGTCTTTGACATTAACAAGCATTATCTGCGCTTCTTTAATGATCCCTTCTCGTTCCGTGTCCTGCAGGCACGCACTCATGCGATCGTCTCCGGTTCAAGTGCGTTGCAATTCATGGATCGAACGGTTTATGAGAAATCGGACCTCGACATCTTTGTGACGAATAGATGTGCTGCGGAGATCTGTGCCTGGATAGTAAAATGTGGCGGAAGAGGATACCGCTTCGTGCCAACAGAAAAACAGATCGAAAAGGGTATCATTACTGCCGCCATTGCCCTGCGGATGCACCGTGAGCAACAAACACATAGAGGTGATATTGACGAAGGAGTGGCGTTGTTGGACTTTTACGATTCCAACCGCCTTAGGTCCGTTCTCAATTACGTGTCAACGGATGGGGAAAATAGGAAGGTTCAGGTGATTGTAACTTATAACACCGCTATGGAAGGCATCCTTAGCTTCCACTCGAGTAAGGCTCTGGTACTATTATGCAGCTACATACACTCATTATTATGAATACAGCTGTAGTCATGAACTTGATAACTCACTTTGGGGCATATTCGCTGTACCCAAAAGGCACTTTCGAAAGACGTCTGCTGCTTCCTTGCGAGACACATGAGGTGAATCGAGATCCAGGAATCGAAAAGTACCTGAGCCGAGGATGGGGGGTCGCCAGTCGTAGGGCGACTACCTACTCCGCCCAGCGTAAACCTATTTTCCCTCTCGGAAAGCGATTTGTTGGCGACCATGCTACGTGGACAATTCACTTTGACGATGTTGAAGACGTACTTAAATGTGTCACGGATAATTCTTTGAAAGCGGATCCTATCACTCTGAACACTTTCAGCTTTGTGAAAACATCACCTTCCACAGTCGAGATGAGGTTCTCCATTATCAAACCACCTTTCTTCGAAAGCCGTTATACAGCATGCCCTGAAATTGTTCCGAAAATGAGGTTCTGGTTTGCTGTGCTTAGACAAATGCTTGAATGCACGGAAGAGTCCATCAGCCACCGCTCTCTTCCATTGTTATGGTGAGTTACCAAATAGCTCTGCATAGATGAGATGTCTGATTAGTTGTCCACCCTGAAGGTTTGACTGGATCCTGGTTCTCTGGATTACTGCACTCATGGGAGAATGCACTTGTATTCCTTGTATGTGATCATATAGTTAATCTCTTAAAACATTTGTCTGGTAACTGACATGCATATATATCTTGACAATAGCTACTGCTCGTACCAACTATCCTACTTGTCCGGCCTTTATCACTGGATTTTACCAGTACTCTGTCGTTGCAAGGCAACACCTCAAGCAGATCATGGCTATTGACGAGGCGTGAGTACTAGAAAATAATCACTGCGATGGATTGCCACATAAGACTGGCACATACCAACAAAACAGAATGCAGTATAGTGGCTATTCTTTGTTGGATGCTTTTTGCCTCTGGCTTGAAGGAATCTTGATTTCACGCTTTGTACCTGTTCCGAAAGTGCTATCTACTATTCTGCTTTGCACGCATTCTCCTGTCTAAAGATACTGAGACCACGAAACTTTGTTCATTGTGTCCCTGTTGTTTCTGTGCTGCTTTGGTTTGTGTTGACAAAAGTTATGTATGGCAAATAACCAATTTGTAAATTACTGAGTGAAATCCGTTGACCAAACAAGGGTCTCGGTAGGGAATGAGTCTTGCTTGCACTGCAGTATTTGAAGTGGGGCACTAGGAACGCAGAATGCAAAGGGGTGAATAATGTGCCTAGGTCCTTTGTCTATGTCCATATTGAAAATTTAGATTGTTGCAAAACACTGGCACGTCGACACGCGATACGCGATGCTATATGTCAGTTTACACGCGACGTGGTAAAAGCATCAGGCGGAAGACAAGCGAGAGTTCTACTCGGGATTACCAACCCATTAATTGTCCAGTATTACGAGGTGAAACATCTGCACAAGCGACAGACGCGATGGAGCCTTTTCCTCCATGATATTGCTTGTCCTAGTTAAAAAATGAGTAACATATATGCTTGTCCCGGAAACATCACGCGAGTCGGAAAATTGATCCCTCTCGAAGAGTATGTGGTAAAGATCAAAATAATAGTGACAAGATACTATTCCGATCATAGCGTTGATACAACTCGTACAATATCCCAGCCTTATATGCACAGGCCAACCTGACGTTGTGCCAAAGTATCCTCTCAGCATGTGTCAATTTTCATCTTGAAGGCGATAAACGACACGCACGTAATACATAGGCTTCAAGAAGCGAAACATTAAGTACATTCCAAAATTTCATCCAGGCGATGCAGAGGGGTGTATCCTATTATTTTCTCCCCGCTTCAATAGCCTCACCATTCTTACAGGCGATAATCTTGATTTTCTGCGCGGAAACCATCTCATTTGATTCCATTTTGAATGACGGATCCTTCACAATGAATGTCCAGACGTCGTCACAAAGCCGGTAGGTGTGTAGGTGCCCCTGAGTCCAGCCAAACTGTAAGTCAGAGGGATAGGTAAGGTATTGCTAAAGAGCCACCTTCAAAGTAGTCTTTGTCTTAACCTGCTTGACAAGGGTATCCGCCAACGATTTGTCAAACTATCCGCACCATAATAATAAACGAATGTCCCTCAACCACGGACTATTGATAGTGGATTCACCTGCTGTAAAACCTTCATGGCCAACTGTGGTGTGATGGAACCATTAGTGATCAGCTCGTCCAGCGAGTCTGTCAACGCCATTCCGATCCTGTCAAAAATAGGCACAAATTGGTCAGCCGCAGGCCCATCTTCGATACTCGAAGTCACGGTAAGAGCACACGTACGATGAACCACGGTAAAACTCGTAGTACGCCGTAGCCATGGTGGTGGTGCAGGTTGACAATGGTCGGCGAACCTCGACAAAGTGTTGGAGGTGACAAACAGCGACATCAAGCGATTGTGACTCAAGTCTCGTGACTCAGTGGCGTGGCTACGTCCCGTGATAAAGATTACGAACAGTCACGCGTTCCAGCATTTCCCTTTCTTGCCTGTGACGTCGTTGACGACGAAGACCAACGGAAATTCGTACGAATCGTAGAATGCTGCCTCATTTGTAACAGCGATTCTCAACAGGCATCTAGTTGAAGTAATTGCACTGGGAAGAGAACGATGTCATTCCGTGACATACATGTGTCGAGAGCTTCTCGGAAGCCCAGATCTTTCGTTGTAGCGGAACCTGCTCCAATTCTTGGAGACGAACCCAACGTGCAAGAAGCTCTTCAACCACAATCGCAAACTCAAGCAGGAAATACTTGCAATGAAAACACCACAAAGGAAGCCCAATCAACTTACGTTTGCGATGAAGAAGATCCTACTCTAGTGACGGTCCCTTCCGGATTGTATGCGCAGCTGCCTCCCATTCTATCGGTCAAGCGGTCGAAAGAAAGGGGTCGTGGGATGTGGACGAGTGGTATGGTACCAGCCGGTAATAATTCTCATCAAAACTTACAACTGCAATATTGATTGTATCACGGCATTCCAGGAACTGTCCTCTGTTCCGTGAAGCCGCACGTCCATGCACTCTCGCGATCGCAGTTGCATCTTTACTGCACTTCATGCTGCGCACCTCAGCCGTCGGTGGGACTGAAGAAATGTACAAAGTGCAAGGCGATACACTACTGCGGGACAGTATGCAGTTTCCTTTAGACGATACCTATATCTTGCTTGATATTGGCACAATGTTTAGACATGCCAAAATGCGGACTGGCAATTCCACAAACTCGAATGCGAAGCCCTGCAGAGATGGTCCGTCTCTGCTCCACCAGAATCGGATGATGCAAAATATGCTGTTCCTCCAGAGGCTGTTAGATGCCTTGCACGAACTATTTGGCGAAGAAAGAAGTTGGGGAGTGGGAGCATCTGGGTAAGGCCTATACTGTTCCAGTTGCCAAGTGATGAACTGATTCATTTATCATAAGTGGAGAGAGATAAATGAAATGCAATCTAGTATGCGATCCTGTTATTCGTAAGGACAGGGTGGAACTAATTATTGGGTCGGTAAAGAACGAGAGGGAGTTGCACAATCCATGATCGATGCACACGTACACCTCGCACATGCCACTGTTCGATACATGGGTATTTCTGGTCAAGAAGAGCTCAAAGCACACGGTGTGCACAGTATCAGTGAGCTTGTGGATTTGATTTCCAAGGTAAGATTTTGCCGTTTGCTGTGTCCCATCGTCTTACAATATTTTCTTCGACAGTTTACACTGAATTCGTATACACTTACGACGCCCTCGCTCAGCCCCATTGGTGTTTCCGTGTCACCACTCGCAGGCTTGCTGAACCATAGCTGCGACCCGAATGTTTCTGTCGTATTTCCACGTATATTGTCTGCAGACAAAGAACCGGCGTTGCATATAGTAGCCATCCAGGATATCCCTGCCGATTCTGAGGTGCGGTAAATGGCTCTCACTCTGTCATCAACTCGTCGCTGATACTATGTCTTGTGAAGCTGCTTACCAGCTACGTCGACGTTACGCTCCCGGTCCTGCAACGCCAAAAAGATTTGAAGGAGACGTATAGCTTCAATTGTTCGTGCCATTCATGTTCCCCGCCTCCGGGACAGATAGTCGTGGATTGGAGAGAACGCATGTGGTGCCCGAACTTTTGCGGAGGATCATGCTTTATTCCTGCTGGAGGTCTGCTTCCTCGAATCAAGATGAAGGCTGACTGACCGACTTCGCTCATGCATCTCAGATGATATAATACGTTGTACAAAGTGCCATACTTCTTCATCAGATACGGGAGATATTCGTGACTTGTTATTCGCTGGGGAACAAGCTCTTGAAAAGGCGACCAGTCTTCAGGCCTCAGGTAAGCGACCTTCGCTTTCTTCGGTTCTCACGACGGATTGATTCAACTTCCCGACAGACCCAGTAGCAGCGTTGCGTCTGATTCAAAATATGGTTCCAATACTAGGAAAACGTCTTCCACCCTCTACACACCCACTTCTCGCGCTCATTCGACTAGGGCAAAGTCTACTTATCGCTCAGTTCGCAACTGAAACGACTCCGTCGACACTTGATACGGCGATACAGTATGCTATGGCATATGTCAAAGGGCTGTCTTCTGTCCTGCGACCAGGACATCCGGTACGTGCGGTTGCGATCGCAGAACTTGGGAAACTCCTTGCTGTAGACGAGCCTACTTCGTCGTCGGATCTCCCATCCATCGAATCAGTCCCGCAAGCGGGTAATAACGCGCCATCTCAGGCCGCGACGAGTGAGTTTGATCTGCAGGTGCCGAAAGGCCCCGTCCGGCTCCAGCGGGCCGTCGAGGTACTCCAGCAAGCGTATAAGGAGATCTGCATCGCATTTGGCCGCGGAAATGAAGGTGGGGAAGCCGGGAAGTCTGTACGCGAGATGCTGGTGAGTTTGGAGAAGGAATTGGGTGTATGGAGATCTGGTATTCGGGACACGTTGGAGGATGCACTTACAGAGAAGAAAGGACATACAGCACCGGCCCGCTGACCGCTCTCACAGAGACTACGTTATGTTGTATGGCTGACACATGTAAAAGACAATAGGATAATTAATGCTAATTGTGCTTTATAGCAGAAGTTATAGCAGAAGACAGCTTCTGGTCATGAGGATTCTTATTATAAATCTATTGTGTCTGTGCGCAGAGTAGTTCAATGTTGCTATCTTACTTGCAGTACTCTAAAGCAAGGTCAGTAATAATAGCATGGACAAGTTATGTCTGCGCTTTACTAGCTAATTGGAATATTTTTTGCATGACGTAGAGTGCGGAAACAAAGAGAGCGAGATGAACGCATAACTAAGCTTCCGGCTGTTTATCACCAGTCTCTCAGCGACGCCGACAAGACCATCCTTAATACTCCACTCTCTACCCTCATAAACAATGTTCAATCAGGAATATGGACACCCACGAATGTTCTCCACGCTTACGGACGCAAAACACTCTCGGTGCACGCTCAGACAAACTGTCTCACTGAGGTCTTTATAGGAGATGCGGATGTGTGGGCTTCGGACGTCAATGCCAACTTAACACTTAAAAAAACAGGTCCATTAGCAGGCGTACCGGTCAGCCTGAAAGACAGCATAGCCGTTGCGGGGTACGATGCCTGCATTGGATATGCTGCGTGGGTTGGACGTCCCGTTCAGCGTGACTCGGCGATCGTTCGTCTGTTACGCGACGCAGGAGCATTGCTTTATGTCAAAACCGCCATACCGACTACATTACTTTCCTTCGAGAGCTACTCTGGGGTGTTCGGTCGTTGTACCAATCCACATAACTCGTCGTTCTCGCCAGGCGGTTCAACTGGTGGAGATGCAGCACTTATCGCAGCTGGAGGTGCACGCGTCGGTCTTGGTACTGATATTGCAGGAAGTGTCCGCGTTCCTGCACATTATAGCGGTATCTACTCTGTGCGATCAAGTGTGGGCAGGTTCCCAAAGTCAGGAAATGTGAGCAGTAATCCGGGAATTGAGGGCGTGCCATCTAGCACTTCACCTCTGGCGCGTACACTGGAGGACCTTGAAACTTTCTGGGCGGCGGTGTTCCAAATGGAGCCGTGGAAGTATGATCATTCGGTACGTGTTGCATCGACGATAAAATAAATGTTGTATGCATTTCGTTAGAATGAGACCTTGATGGTATCTCTCAGGTTCTGCGCATACCCTGGAAACCGGTTACGCTCCCCGAGGGGAAAGTGAGGTTTGGCGTCATGTGGGATGACGGTGCGTTCTACTCTAGACATTATTGATATGATTGCAGTGCTGAGCGTAATTAATTTTACGTTTTTAGGCGTTGTTCCTCTGTCTCCGGCATGTCGACGTGCTCTACAATCAGTAGTCGATAACTTGCGGCGCAAAGGATATGAGGTCTTTGACTTGTAGGCATTTCTTTTAGCTTTCTAGTGTTTAGTATCATTTTTACCTTCTTCGTTTAAATAGTGCCCCGTCCGACCCATACGAGGGCCTTAAAGTTGCTTCCCAGTTGATTCTCGCGGACGGTGGTTTGTTACACGATGAGTTCCTTTGATTTTCAATGTGCTGAAAATGTCTACAGGGGAGACTGTTCTTGGCCCTCTCCTTCCCGGAGAGCCAAATGACCCCGGAATGGTCTCAGCATCCTTTTGGCTCCGTCTTCCTTGTTTCCTCCGCAATATCTACATCTGGTGGGTGAAGTACTTTCGACGCGACTCGATCTACGCAGGCCTCCTCAAAGCCTTGTACAAGAAGTCAGTTGCGGAGGTCTACAAGCTCGTTGCAGAGCGAGAAAAGTATAAGGCTCTCTGGCATGAAGCATGGAACAAGTCAGGCATGGACTTCTTGTTGACAGCACCGAATGCGCTCCCTGCTGTTCCGCATGGAGGGATGAAGAATGGATGGAAGGTTTGCGGGTATACGTTCCTGTTCAATCTTGTAAGTAACTTAGACTCAATAACCGATGAAATGGGAAAATATCTCGATGACGCTTTGGCCATTAGCTCGATTACACTGCAGGAGTTCAGCCCATTACGCATGTTTCAGCTTCTCTTGATGCCATGACCAAATCGACACCCGTGGCTACGAACCAGATTGCGAAAGAAGCCTTTGCGATGTACGATGCTCGTGCAATGGACGGACTACCTGTTGGAGTTCAAGTTGTTGGGAGGCGACTAGAAGAAGAGAAGGTCCTCGCCGGAATGCGTTTGATCGAAAACATCATGAAGGAGAACGGTCAGGGTTACGAACTGCTTGAAGTCTGATGTTCGATTGAAACCATGTTCTCTTTCACTTTTGTTGGTGGCGTTCGACTTACTACGATCACGGAGATATGCTCTGTAAATTGGATATACGTGTATTATACAGAAATCTAAGAAAGAACACGATCAGAGACTATAAGGAACTAACCTGAAGGTGCTAGCTCCAAGTCAACATCTTCCGCCAGATCTGCCAAATCATCGCGTGGCAGCGAGGTATTCCTCAACTCAAGTTTGAACTGTCCACACATACGAAATACAATGTTTAGCTAACATTCGCATTGTAAGTACAACAGGATGTGATGAACGATCGGCTAGGACTACATAAAAGTCCGATTACAACTACTCCTCACCTCAAACGAAAAAACCTGATCAAATCAACGGAAATAAGCAAGAAGAAAGCAAGTGGGCAAATGAATAATTGGATACAACACTCCGGAAGCAAAATATAGAAGCGAGCAAAGCAGAAGGTGCAACAAACAATGAATGTAGGGGACAGCCAGTGTAATATGGAGGGCCGCATTCCGACAAGCAATGAGAAAGCATTGCAGAGAAAAACAGGTGAATAAAAAGATGAAACTTTGAATAAAGAATAAAGAAATGATAGAAGAACACCGAGAGTGGAGGATCACTTGAAAAAGCCGAATACGAGAAATAGAAACGTTGCATTCCCGCTCTACCAGGTAGCCTTCATCTCACGCAGCTGTGCCAAAATGTCGCGCACCTGCGCCGCTTCCTGTAATGCCTCTGCCTCGACTGCAGCGACCTGTCCACCTTTCGCAACTTCCACCACAATGCGCGCCAGTCCTGTCTTGCGCTTCCGTGATGACTTGCGGCGACGTGTCTTGCCGGACTTGCCGGACTTGGAGGATTTGGCGGATTTACTAGACTTCGTGGACTTCACGGATTTTATGGACTTGAGACTCTGCCGCGAGATCTGGGCTGCATGTGCCCTAGCGCGGTAGATCGGCGGTAGAGATTCCGGGATTGGCGGGATAGGTATTGGTGGGAGGGGAATGCGTTTAACCGAAAGGGAGGAAGCGGGGACAAGAGCTTTGCTGTGCTTCTCGTCGCACACGGTGATCGCCGTAGACTTGCTTTGGCTTGAGGCGGCTTTCTTGTTACTAATACCTCCACCGACGAGCTTGCTAAGTGTCAGTTCGAGATGCGCAAAGCGTCTCTTCTCCTTATCTTTCACGACATCCTTATCCTTGACACGTTCTTTCTTGGCTTCTTTGGCTTCTCGAGCTGGTTTCAGTGCGGATCTTAGTGGGGGCTTGTCCGGAGGTGGAAGACCAGGAGGAAGAAGAGGACGGTAGGATGGACTTGTATCTCGTGAAAGCTCAGCTCCTGACGAGTTACCGGAATTAACCGATTTATCGTTCGCCTGCCAATGCGATAGATCGGACAGGTCGAGTGGTCGAAGTTGTAAGTACTCGACGGAACGCGTCGTGACAGGCGGTGTGAGCGGTAAGGCCTTTTGAGGTGTCCCTGGCGGGGATGAGACCTTATTGAGCGATGTACCCATGGTAGAAGTTGGTCGTGATGTCACGGTCAAAGGTCGAGGACCGCCGGGTTTTGACCTTGATCGACCCCTGTCAACACCGGCTGCGGCTGTGTGAGTTTCAGCTTTCGCCTTGGCCTCCATTCTCCATTCGGAAACACCAGATTCGGTCTGTCGTGGACTGGATGGAACGCTTCGCTTCTGTCCTGACAGACGAAGGCTCCAGAAACCACTGATGCTCTCATCCTCACACATCGCGAGGCGGTCTGCGAGGCCGCGGGAACTCGTGGGCTCACTGCTGTGTTTCCGTAAAACAATACGTTTGACCTCTGTCGAGGATGGGTCGTCTACGGAATACCTATGTAAGCCAGAAGAGCCCGCATGCCTGTTAGGAGTGGAAAGAAGGAGTTGGTTTTGTCCCTCAGAAACTGTTCGTCTTCTGAAGCCAACGTTCGAGGCGAACATGGCTGAAGTGGAGTGGTGAGAAGCAGCAAGAGGACTGTGGTATCCATATGCACAAGTATTAAAAATTCATGCTACAAGTAAAGCACATCAATGAGTCGAGCCCGTACCTCTAGTCCAGAAGGGGTACCTAGACGGCCAACACGTAGAAGAGTTAGGGGCAGTGATGCACTCCCAGGCACTTTAACGACTTGCGCAAGTCGAAGAGTAATAATTCTCAGGCAGTTTCAATGGTTCGGACAAGGACAGGGAACAGCTTGAGGGACAGCGGACAGCGGACAGGGCGAGGGAAGCCAGGCAAGGAGCGCGCAAGATAGGGGAGAGGAGTGCCGGCACAGACATGATGAAGAGCACTAGCCCAGTATTTGAAGTTGTGCGCACGAGGACGATGGCAATGCAGATGGGGATACGAACAGTGATGGTGATGTGAATATTGGTCCGTGTTGACTAAGATAGGATAACATCGCAGACTGAGATCTGCTTCAACATGAAGATCATCAGAAAAATCCACGGTTCCCAATCCACCCGGTGCACGTTAGTTCAAAGCTGTCTTCAATTTTCCCGGACGCGAACTATGAGCGAGCAACACACAAGACACCGACCGGAGATGTCGGGCTGAAGCGAATATCGGAATAAGGAAGGAAGGCGCCATTTCCACAATTCGTGACGGACGCGTAAACACGTGACGTCACACTTGGTAATCATGAATTTGTTGTACCGTAACTGCGCGTATCACTGTCTCCCCGTCGTCCATGGCAAATTCGTTCACGTCTGTCCCACAGACACCTATTTCCACACGCAAAATACTGCATACTCATGATTACAGACCAAAGAAGTCGTCGCCACTTGCACCAGCACTAATGCCAGCCTCGTCTTCTCCTGGACCAATTTCGCCTGTATCAGAGGTCCAAGCGCGTCGAAGAGGTCAATATAAATCGCGTCTGCCAACTACCTCCTCTATACCGTCAATGAGAAGCGGTGCTAGATTCCGGAAAGGTCCTACGAGGCCAATTCCGTTCAATCTTGGCCCAGTGACCGCCGATGCCGGTCAAGCTGCGTTTCTACGGGAGCGTTTCAAAGCGGATTGCCTAGAACGCGCTAGACGCGCACGAGAAAAGGGTTTGGCTCGTCGCAGAGCATCAGCTTCGAGCGACGCCAGCAGTGATGGCCTCGACGTGGATATGAACGTAGATTCCGGAGAAGACGACGAAGCAGATGACAACTACAACAGTGGCTTTGACGACGAGGTACCATCGTCTGTCTTGGTCATTGTTCAATGTTATGCTAATTATATGTCTTTGCATTGTCAGTTATTCCATCGTGTTATAGCGAACGAAAAGCGAAAAAAAGCTCATGCATATGCTCTTTCGTACGAACTGGATGTCGGTTCATCGTTTGATCCCGACATGGAAGATCCAACTCTATGGGAGGAGCATCTCGCTCACGGTTCTAGCTCACAATCCTCCAACCACCGGAGTCAAGTGTATCCCGAAGACGAAACATCGTTATCTCCGGATGAACTTGGAGACATCCCTGATTTTGACGAGTATGATCTCGACGACATGAGCGCATGGGCCGACGAGTATATCGCGAGCCTCCCATTGGAATCTATTCCAGTGCATCATACAGCGAATTCTAATATCCACTATGACGAAGCCACACATCAACAAATGGACATTACCATGGGATGAAGAAGGCTCAGGTTGTTCGGAATTTTAAATCCACCTTGCATCTACTCTCGCTTTCGTTTCGCTTTATGTACGGACGCAATCATCTAAAGTCGCTACATCACCTTGCACATCATCTACACCTTTATAATGTTCGGTTCACAAGCACAGCTATCGAAATCTTTGCTATGACCTACGTTGCGGATCTAATGTATTCCTATGTATTTGTAAATTGATTCTTCGGTTTCCCACCAGTCTTGTATCAGCCTTCGCGGCGCATGTGCATGATTTAATCGTGCAAATTCAGCGTCTATTTGTAACTCTATTCATCAGGCGCTTAAGATAGTCTATGGGAGCGGCCCAAACTAATATTACTGCGGAAGCAATGCTCGGTCTAGCAGAACGCCTGAGAAGCTTGATTCCTGGGGTACGGGGTCAGCCCTGAGTACCGAAGAACAAGCACAATATCCTTAGAGCATATCAGAACTCTTACTGGAAGTACGTTGACACTCTTGGCCTTCTTTATCTTATCATAAACGTGCAATACACGGTTCCGGACTGATCCTGAGTTAACGCAAGTGCTGTCCATTGCTATGCAATTGAATCACCTTCTAGGTTGCACTGAGCCAAGCCTTGTTGATCATCTTGATAAGACTATTCGACGCAGTCATGCAGAGCATGTGCTTCTGATGCATTTATCATTAATCACTTCCCGCCGCCCGGATTCGGTGAAAGTTGACCCTCGGATCTCGGGAGATGAGGTAGAAACATAAATGTAGGCAATTTTCTCATCTTGGCCTACCCGAACTCACCTGGAGGCAATGCTTGCTGCAGCCCAGGCTGGCTCAAGTCTTTTATTACACATATGATGTGTTGTTGCGCTAGACAACCCGAGGAACAGAACGTTTAAGTACCGGATTGCAGTATTTGTTCTGTGAAGCGAGGAAAGAACTGCTGGCTAGTCATCAAATCACAAAACCTGGACTGTTGATAGACCATCAACAACTCCTGTGGAGTTTGTATTGCATCTTTACACAAACTCGGATTGTACCTAGCGCATTTGAGTAACCGGCTGACCAATTTCATTGTGCCCTTTCCTTCTGTTTCCCCATGACAGAAGAACAGGCACGCTTCAAACAAACATGCATCCACAGGTCTCATACGACTAAGAACACTTAATTATTTATGTTTTCATCCAATACAGGTACTGTCCCTGCTGAAATTGCTTGACAAGCTTCCACCGACTGGGCAGCAGCATCCTGCGCAATAGTTTGGTCTGTCAACTGCTGCGGGGTCCTAATTATGTAAATTGGACATTTTGGCAGGAAATAATGTGATCCAGAAGACATTTTCTTCTTTCGCAATTCCTCCACGATGATTTCCAAGACTCAAACGTGCGTTTCCTATGGCAAGGCCTCATTTTGCAAAGTGTCGTGCATGCCATGAGGACGAGGAGTCTGAAGTCATGGGTAGGTGAATAGAAGTAAGAGATGTGTCAGAGACAACGTTGTGGATTGCAGTGTACATGCGACGCGCAGCCTGCCCGCAGCCAGCATGCAAGCGACTATAAAGGATGCGAGGATGGGTGATTTGTGCAAAGAGCCACAGAGAGACATACTCATACACAACCTCAAGTCTACGCTACGGCTACGATGAGCGTGAAAGCCCAAGTCGCGTCGTTCCATGCTCGACACAACTCGATTACGTCACCGCCCAATCGGAGACCCTCATCGCCTCCTCCCGCACAGGGCGCAGTCCGCAGATTATTCCCCGTCCGCACAGGCAGCGTCTCCCTTCCTCTCGAACGTCCACGTTCACCACCATCATCCTCAGTGTCGCCCGCCATGCAGGCAATACGACTGCAGAAGAAATTCCCTGACGTCTCCCAGGAGGAGATGTTTGACCTTATTAACCGATTCAAGTCTGTGTCTCTCTCCATTTCATCGATATATGCGCCCGGTATTCTTTCTGACTGCGCTTTAGTGCAATCCCAACAGAAACACCAGGACGTGTGGACAAGGCTACAGTCATCACGACTCTCCAGCACAACGGTGAATCGTATGATCGGGTAAGAGAAACGCTCAAGGACGTCAGCGTCGACGCGAGCGGCAAAGTCGAGCTGGAAGATTGGGTCGAGGTGCGTCATGCAGAATGCGCAGCTCCACAAGCACTGGTCTAATCCCTTAGCTTTCCAGCTGAATGCAAAACTCAAGAAGCATACATCTGTGTTACCAACAAGAGGCGGAAAGGTCACAGTGAAAGGCTCAAATGCGAATGCCAGCCATACCATTAACGAGGATGAACGAAGAGAATTCACGCATCACATTAACAGTGTATGTCCTCTTGTGCATAGTGCTGCATGTTCAAATCTCTGACAGATCTGCAGGTCCTTGAGGGTGATCCGGACATTGGTTCACGTCTGCCTATCCCCACAGACACTATGCAGATCTTCGATGAATGCCGAGATGGTCTCATTCTTTGCAAACTCATCAACGACTCTGTCCCGGACACCATCGATTCGCGTGTGCTCAACAAGGGTACAGAGCGCAAATCTCTAAACGCATTCCAGATTACCGAAAATAACAATATCGTTATTACATCCGCAAAGGGTATCGGATGCTCAGTCGTCAATATCGGGTCTACGGACATTTCGGAAGGACGAGAGCATCTCATTCTCGGTCTCATCTGGCAGATCATCCGCAAAGGACTTCTCGCGAATGTCGATATCAAGCTTCATCCGGAGCTGTACCGGCTCTGTGAAGATGGCGAGACGATTGAGGACCTACTGAAGCTGACACCAGACCAGATCCTTCTTCGCTGGTTCAACTACCATCTGAAGCAGGCTGGTTGGCACAGACGTGTTAACAACTTTAGCAGGGACGTATCCGACGGAGAGAACTATACGGTCCTGCTCAACCAGTTAAAACCCGAAGAATGCTCTCGTGCACCACTTCAGACTCCTGACTTGAAGGAACGAGCCGAGCAGGTGCTACAGAATGCTGATCGCATTGGCTGCCGCAAATATCTCACGCCATCGTCGCTTGTAGCGGGAAACCCACGTCTTAACCTTGCGTTTACCGCCAATCTCTTCAACACTTGGCCAGGTCTCGAGCCACTCGATGAGGCCGAAGCCAAAGATTACGGCGTTGTCGAAGACTTCGATGCCGAAGGCGAGCGCGAAGCGCGCGTTTTCACACTCTGGCTTAACTCACTTGGCGTTGAACCGGCCGTGCACAACCTATTCGAGAATCTTAAGGATGGACTTGTTATTTTACAAGCATTTGACAAGGTGCTTCCCGGAAGTGTTATCTGGCGGCGTGTTAGTAAGCCGACTGGAAGTAAGCTGGGTGCCGTGCAGCGCGCAATGGATGATGAGGACGGAGGCGCGGAACTCGAGGACTCTACGCCGAAACTCTCGCGGTTCAAGAGCGTTGAAAACACGAACTATGCCGTTGAGCTCGGGAAGCAGAACCACATGCACCTTGTTGGTATCCAAGGCGCAGATATCGTCGATGGACGGAAGACGCTTGTCCTTGGACTCGTATGGCAACTTATGCGCCTCAATATCACTCAAACACTTGCAGCATTGTCCAAGTCTGGCAGGGGTGGTGGGGTTTCAGATACGGAGATATTGAAGTGGGCCAATGCAACCGCTGCGAAGGGCAACCACGGCACGCGTCCGATCCGTTCGTTCAAGGACCCGTCGCTCACCACCGGTATCTTCGTGCTCAACCTCCTTGAGGGCCTTCGTCCTGGAATCGTTGATCCGAGCTTGGTTGTCAACGTCAGCGAGACAGGCGATTATGAAGATCGTAGGCAGAACGCGAAACTTGCTATTTCGATTGCACGTAAAATGAATGCAACTATTTTCCTTGTACCTGAGGATATCGTTGATGTCCGCGCACGACTTGTACGTTCCCTAGTCTGCATAATCATGATATTCTTACAGCTAACTTCGCCCTTTTTCTCCTTCGCTGTTTACAGATCATGACGTTTGTAGGAAGCCTTATGAGCCTAGGAGGAAACTAAGTCTAGGAATTTATATTTGGAGGGATCGAGGATAATTAAAATACTGTCATGTTGTATTAAACTGGCTTTTCCGCGTGTGCAAAGTCTGAAATCTGAATGTTATGAATAATTTTTCTGTCTTTGATTCATAGGCTTTGCGCTAATTACTTCAGCAGGGTCATTATCATTCATGTACTCATTGTTAATAATCCGGTAACAAACTTCCTTATGTACAGATGTCGAAGAAATTAACGACTTTAGATCCTCTTCACGCTCCAGACCATTCCATGTCTCTTCGTCCCTTCCGTAGCATTATTAAACTCCTTTCCACGCCAAATTGGATTGTCAATCAGCCTCGCTTCGACGGAAACGCTCCCCTTCCTAAATATGGTTCCATCCCAAAGAGCACACCAATCTTCAGGGTTGAAGTTGTAAACGATATCTCCACTTCCGGGATGTGTGATTTCCCCTGAGGTATCCCTGGACGAGTGCGTACCGAAGATCATTGATCCTGGGAGAGGAGAGAGCAACGAAGCGAGTGCTTGAGCTGCGATGATTTGTTGTTCCTTTCCGAAGAGGTGAAAGAACGCCGATACGTGAATGGCTGATACGTGTCCTTGGAGTGGTTTGAGTGAGGTGAGGGTAGCAAGGTCCGGCCGGGGTGTGGATGGCGGGGAGTAGTGAGGTGGTGTAGGTGCTATGTGATTTGGATCAAATACACTGCCTTGGATGAAGGGAACGGGAAACTTTTCTGGAGTTGACTTGAATAGTTTATGACCTGCCTCCCAGAACCCTGTATAAAGCGATAAGAATAAGTTCATATATAGTCTCTTTTCAACAAAAATGGATATGGATTACCTGCTTGTAGGTCTGAAGCGATTACGTTTTCCATTGGATAACCATCTGCGATTGCCTTTCTAGCATCATTTCCAACTGAAATAGGAAATGAGATAGGAGTCGAATAGTGATGCGGGTATCAGACGTACAGCAGCAAGCAAAGTCCAAGAAGATAGCATCCGGCCTATTCTTCCCCAACTCCAGAAGATCAGGATACGCGGGCAGACGTGAAATCTTGAGCCTGAACACCGAGTTATGTTTATCATTTGAGTAGAATATAACAGGCGCAAGACAAAGCACCTCGTAAATCCGAACGACTGTATACACTTGTAGTTAAAGACCTATAGAAACGACTCTTGAGCATATCCTGCTCTTCTTAATAAGAATACGCATATAGTCTCCAGGTACTTACGCTCCATGCTTCCGTCTGAACAGCTATAACATGCTGTTTGAGCTCTTCTTCATCTTCTATCTTTGTCTGGTTCTTCAAGAAGACGAGCTCCTCTTCAGACGGATTATACAAGCTCGGATCCAGTTTGATATTTGGAAGTCGCGCTGAGACGACACCATTCGTTGGAGTCTCTATTTCTGACATGTTGGTAGATTAGAGAGAAGTCAGGGGTCACTTTCAGACCAGAGCGACGATAAGATTCACGAGCTTTCACGTACTAAGTAAATATACTGCAGAAATGAGTTGCGCGACTGACGTATATTCAGATATCGGCACTGCCGGCACGAGCCCTGAAGAAAGGTATGAGTTAAGTTTAGAAATACTATTACTGGCTGATCCGTAGATGCAAATTACTGCCGAGGGTCACGTGGATTGAAGGCTTCAAGATTTTCGCTTCGCGGCAAGGAATATTTTGTTGTGGCCACTAAGACAAGATATGACAAGAAGACAAACAAAAAGTTCTATGTCAAAGCCTTCTTCTTTCTGCTGCAGTTATGCATAAATATGGTCTCATACTAGCACTTATATTTATAATTACTATCGGTTTGTTCAAATTCTCGTCACGGACCACACCATCGCACGTCTAACCTCCTTTTTTACCCCGCCAAGGTGGACTCTTGATAAGCTCTGCCCCTGTACGGACGCTCCACTTCACTATACGGTCATTGGTTGAAATGTTGTATTAAATCGGCTCTTCCATGCGCACAAAGACCGGAATTGAATGTTATGAATTTTTTTCTTCTTAGGGCACCCCTTCCTCGATTGGATGAATGGTAAAAGTTATTGCATAGTTCCTACAAAGCAACCTTGCATAGGCTTTACTAGAGTTGCTTCAACGCAGGATTGTTACGATTCGTATCGTCAATTTCTACCACTTTAGCTAACAAAATTTCCTATTCATAGATCTCGCAATTAACCTGGTCAGATTCTCTTCACGCTCCAGACCATTCCACGTCTCTTCGTCTCTTCCGTAATATTATCATACTCCTTTCCACGCCATACTGCGTTGTCAATCAGCCTTGCCTCGACAGAAACGCTGCCCTTCCTAAATATGTTTCCATCCCAAAGAGCACACCAGTCTTCGGGGTTGAAGTTGTAAACGGTATCTCCACTAACAGGGCGTTTAATTTCCTCTGAGACGGCCCTTGACGAGTGCGTACCGAAGATCATCGATCCTGGGAGGGGGGAGAGTAACGAGGCAAGTGCTTGAGCTGCAATGATCTGTTCTTCTTTTCTGAAGAGATGGAAGAACAGTGATACGTGAATGGCCGATACGTGTCCTTGGAGTGAGTTGAGTAACGTGAGAGTGGAAAGGTCCGGCCGAGGGGTTGATGGTGGAGAGTAGTGAGGTGGCGTAGGTGCTATGTGATTTGGATCGAATACGCTGCCTTGGATGAAATGAACAGGAAACGTTTCTGGAGTCGACCTGAATAGTTTGTGACCTGCCTCCCAGAACCCTGTATAAAGCGATACGAGTAAGCTCAAAGTCTCTCTTCAATAAAGATGGTTACGGTGTACCTGCTTGTAGGTCTGAAGCGATTACGTTTTCCATTGGATAACCATCTGCGATTGCCTTTCTGGCATCATTTCCGACTGGGATGGAGAATAAGAGCGGAGATAAACAGTGACACATATCAGACATACAGCAGCAAGCAAAGTCCAGGAAGATAGCATCCGGCCTATTATTCCCCAACTCCAGAAGATCAGGATACGCGGGTAAACGCGAGATCTTGAGCCTGACCACCGTGTTGTGTTAATTATTCGAATGATATTTAACAGACGAAAGGCGAGGTAAACCTTGTAAACCCGAACGACTGAATACACTTATAATGAAAGACCTATGTATACAAGTCCCGAGTAAGCCATTTTTTAACGAGTACGGGCATGTGCTCTAATACTTACGTTCCATGCTTCCGTCTGAACAGCTATAACATGCTGTTTGAGCTCTTCCTCATCTTCAATCTTCGTCTGGTCCTTCAAGAAGTCAAGTTCCTCTCCAGAAGGGTTATACAAGGTGGGATCTAGTTTGATACCTGGAAGTCGTGCTGAGACGACACCATTCGTTGGAGTCTCCGGTTCTGACATGTTGGTAGACGAGAGAGGATTCAGGGGTCACTTTCGGACTAGGGCATCGGGGACAACGATAAGACACACGAGCTCACGGCCTTTCACTCATTGAGTAAATATACTGCAGAGATGAGTTGCAACCGAAGTATATTCAGATATCGGCACTGTCGGCACGAGTCCTACAGAAAGTCATGGGTTAAAATTGGAGTACTATTACCAGGCCGATCCGTGTATGAGTATCACTATTGAGACTCGGAGCCACGTGGATCGAATACTTCAAGATTTACAGGACAAGGACCAGGAATATTTTGTTGTGGTCTTTAAGATAATATGTGACAAGAAGACAAATAAAGAGTTTTATGTCAAAACGTTCCTCTTTCTGCCATAGTTATGCATAAACATGGTCTCAGTATCTCTTAAGATTGTGATTACTATCAGTTTGTTCAAATCCTTGTCACAGACCACACCATCGCACTCCTTGCCTCCTTTTCCAGATCCTTGCCTCGCCAGGGTGGGCTATGAATAAGCTCTGCTTCTGCACGGACGCTCCCCTTCCTGAAAATCTCACCGTCCCAAAGAGCACACCAATCCTCCGGGCTGAAACAATATAAGTGGAAGTTACCCATCGGATGTTTCATCTCGCTCGAGACAGGTAAAGAAGAATGGGTGCCGAAAATCATTGAGCCAGGTAGCGGTGACAGCAAGGATGCGAGTTGGCGTACTGCTTGTATCTGGTCATCCTTCCTGAAGAGGTGGAAGAAGTCTGAAACGTGGATGGCAGATGCATGCCCCTGAAGTGGCGTGAGCGAGGTCAGCTCAGAAAGAACTGGACGGGGGCTAGTCGGCAAGTCATAAAGAGCCGGAGCCGGAGATATATGTTTCTCGTCAAGGACGTTTCCTTGAATGAACGGGACAGGGAATGTCTCTGGCGTTGATCTAAATAATTTGTGACCAATATTCCAGAATTCTATCAAGTAGATGTTAATACGCAGCCCAGAGACCTCTGCATGAGGCCCACTTGCCTCCCTGTAAATCGGAGGCAATTGCATTTTCTACTGGGAATCCATCCGCAATCGCCTTCCGTACATCATTTCCGACTAAAGAAATATATGAGATTGTGTTGGCTGCGTGGTGTAAACAAGACTTACAGCAGCAGGCAAAATCCAGATAAATTGCACCAGATCTTTCTTTTCCAAGCTGCAGAAACGCGGGATATATCGGCTGGTGAGAGATCTTCAGGCTATTGGCAACTTTTCTGAGTGTAGTACATCAAAATTGTGCTGCGGTTCGTACGTTATAAATCCAAAGTTTTGAATGCATCTATAGTTTACGACCTAATTATTATTTCCATCAGTATACAAACATTCGTCAAGAGGCTGTGAGAAGACGTACATCCCAGGCCTCCTTCTGGACTGTTATGACATGTTGCTTGAGTTCCTCGTCGCTTTCGATCTTTGTTTGACTCTTCAGAAAGTCAGCCTCCTCTCGAGTAGGCCCGTATAAGTTTGGATCAAGTTTGAGAAAAGGGAGTCGCGACGAGGTACTGTTTCCCGAAGTACTGCCTGGCATTTATGTCGGTTCTTCCTAGCGGTTGTCGTTGAGAGCTGGTGGGTAAACCGGTGTGCATTTTGTTACGAACAGACGTACTTGAAGTCCACCTATTTGATTCTCGGCAGTATCCAAGTAGATGGTAATTCGCATCGGCCGATAAGAGTCAGGAACCTGGGAAGTCAAGCTACAGGAGTCGCAAGGTTATCCCTTTATCAGCGCTCACACGCCGAAGTAGGAATTCCTCTTTGTCAAATTTATTGTAGACGGAGTAATAATTTTCGAGAATAGGAACTTGCATGTCTAGAACCAGGGTCTTTCCTAGATTGGTGCAAGAACGGGAATCCAGAATCGACTTTGACCAGAGAAATGAGTAAACATCGGAGAATTTACACAAGTGTTTCCAAGTTTAAGACAGTCTTTCCCATCCTTTCCATACAGATGTGAAGAAGAATCTCGGAACCGTCGCGGTGTTATAAATGAAGATGTTATTCTTAGTTCGGCATGCGGTATCGCAGTAAAGGTCGCGACAGTATCCCCGTGTCAAGAGAATTGATTGCGCTGTATTCGTGAGAGGCCGCGGCCTTACCGTATATAATGATATTAAGGGCTCGGAAAGCATGTCAATAAGCAGGGCTAGGAGTACAGTCCAGAGTTATACAGGTAGATGCTGGCCATGCACATTGATGAGGGAGAAGTCAGTGAGAAAAAGTATAGACACGTTTCACGATCCTTAAACCTGGACATTACGTAACGTACATCAGAGTCCATTCACCACTCAGGACAATGCTTGTGAGAAAGTAATCTAAATTGGTCCTGGACCTCAGCTAATGGACCTGGTTAACTTTAGGGTAAATTAATTTTTACCCCCACTCTCCCTAAATAAATTTTATATTAGCAAACCAAATTTTTATTTAAAAGAGCTACAAAAGTTAAAACCGACACTCGTGTAAAGTGTATTCTGGGATGATGTGCCACTGAAAGTCCGATCCTTAGATCCTCGTCACGGACCATACCATCGAGCGTCTCTTATACCAGTCCTCATCCTTCTCAAAACCTTTCCCCCGCCATGCATCGTCCTCAGGGATAGCTGCCTCGGCACGAACAGTTCCCTTTTCGAAAATGACCCCCTCCCAAAGTGCACGCCAATCTTCAGGATTGAAACAATAAATATGTATCTTTCGAGCAACGAGTGTGCTGCTTCCTGAGACAGGAAGAGTCGTATGTGTACCGAAGAGCATCGATCCGGGTAACGGAGACAATAGAGAGGCAAGTAAACGGCCTATTTGGATTTGTCGTTCCTTATCGAAGAGGTGGAAGAATGCGGATACGTGGATGGCTGACACATGTCCCTGGAGCGGCGTAAGTGAAGTGAGCTTTGAGAGTGTCGGGCGTGGTGTGGTAGGTGTTGAATAATGAGGTGGAGCAGGTGCCAGATGATTAGGGTCAAATATGTCTCCTTGTATGCACGGGACCGGGAATGATCCTGGGTCCGACTTGAATAACTTATGTCCAATTTCCCAAAATTCTGCCCGGTCGTGTTAATGCGATTCCTCACATTAGTATAAACAAGGCTTGCCTTTCTTTAAATCAGAAGCAATGACATTTTCCACTGGATAGCCATCAGCAATCACTTTGCGCGTATCGTTACCAACTAATGGACTTGGATTATTGTAAGGTCGAGCCACAACATCTGAGTCACCTACAACAACAGGCGAAATCCAGAAAGATTGCGCCCTGTCTCTGCTTTCCTAACCTCAGAAGGTCCTGATATGCCGGAAGATGCGATATCTTCAGCCTATATGCTTGATTGATAAGCATACCTCAACTCAACTAATTTGAAGGCTACGCACGTTATGAATCCGAAGGATTGAATACACCTATAATTGACGATCTGTCGCAAAGCTGTGAATTATGCTGCATATACGAGGCGCAGACTTCAATACTCACTGACCAGGCTTCCTTCTGGACATCGAGGACATGCTGCTTGAGCTCATCTTCGTCTTCGATCTTTGTTTGGCTCTTGAGGAAGTCGATTTCCTCTCGCGAAGGGTCATACAAATCCGGGTCGAGCTCGATCCCAGGTATGTCTTTATTATTACTAGCACCGTCCGACATTGGCATGTATTGTGGAGCCTTGACCGTTGAGGGAGTTCAAATTGAAAAGCAAAACGAGTGTTAAGACTGATTCCTTATATAGACTGATATTTATGGCAACGGATGACCGCGTGCTTTGTATGTGCCGAAGAGATACTACAACATGCCGTCTGTAGAACTCACGCAGGGGTTATTCGAAATCTCCCACTCCCGGTCCAGACTTACGAGTCGAGTTCATTTGAAACGTGGTGTCCACAAGCTTCAGGTCTCGCTTGTCACAAGTAACTCTTACACAATCATAGAATCATTGGCCAATATTAAAATAAGACGTCTCCGTTAAGTATGCATGAAAGAAATCACCCTGGTATTCGTTATCTCAAGGGCAGGCAAAGTATGTCTCGCCAATTGCTTGCCGTTTGGACTGTCTGCCAGAATCATAGCGAGGTCTCAGCGCATCACGATGAGGTGGTAATTATCACACCAATAATTAATCCACCATGCTGAACAGAATATAAAATATCTTGCGATCGAAAAGTCGGAACAAAAAACAGTAGCACAATGAGAATAATCAAGAGAAAAGTTTGTTGACCGATGTGTTCCCTTCCTGATTCTTCTTCAGGACCTTAGCGATGGCAAATTCAAAGTCTTCTTGCGTAACGTGTTGTCGTCGTTCCCGAAGAGCGTACATACCTAAGCGGTACCAAGTTTAAAATACGGGAGTCACAGGAAGAAGATGATACTCTCACCTGCTTCGGTGCAGATACCACGAACTTCAGCACCAGAACATTGTCCCATTTTCTCGGCAAGAACACGGAGGTTGATACCACGTTGAAGTGACATCTGACAAGAAAGGATTTATAAGAGGTGAAACGAGGAAAGCGGGCAACGAGATTTCATCAACGTACTTTGCGTGAATGAATGCGGAGAATGCTGACACGCGCCTCCGGGCCCGGTGGTGGGAATTCTATTTTCCGGTCAATACGACCAGGTCTTAGCAGTGCAGAGTCCAGAATATCTGCAAAGCATATAAGATTGATATCCCGGCGTAGAAATGTTGGTGCTCACCTATTCGATTAGTCGCCATAATGACCTTGATGTTTTTCGTCGACTCGAAACCGTCGAGCTGGTTCAACAGCTCCAGCATAGTCCGTTGTACTTCCGAATCACCACTGCCACTGCCACCTTCCCCACGCGAGCTACCGATAGAATCGATTTCATCCATAAAGATAATACTTGGAGCGTGTTCGCGGGCCATGACGAACAGTTCTCGAACCATACGTGAACCCTCTCCGATATATTTCTGCACGAGCTCCGACCCAGACACACGGATAAATTGGCAGTCCGTATGATGTGCGACTGCACGTGCAAGGAGCGTTTTGCCTGTGCCAGGAGGACCGTACAGCAGGACACCCTTAGGCTGGGCAATGCCAAGAGCTTCAAAGAGTTCCGGATGTTTGACCGGTAGTTCAATGACTTCTTTAATCTCCTTTATCTGCTTGTCTAGACCTCCGACCATTTCGTACGTGCTATCTGGGACCTTCTCGACCATCATCAGCGATACAAGGGGATCCACTTTGTTGGGTAGGACTTTATGGACTGTGTATGAATCGGATCGAAGGGCAATTCGTAGAGACGGCTTGAGGGTGGCGACATCGATATCCTGGTCACAGTCAACGACTATTCCAGGTGGTCAGTGTCTGTAAGAAGCCAACTAGATGAATGGACGTACTGTATTTCCCCTCAGGTTGTACCTTCACAAGAACCTTGTTCTTGCCCATGACTTTCACCACTTCACCAACATAACTGCCAGGTTCATGTAAAAGTTGCAGTTCCTCTCGCAATAAGCGAACTATTTTGTTCAAAGTCAGTACAAGGAGGCGGCAGGACGACACTGGGCACACCTCTAGCATTCAGAGCATTCCGTTGAGCTTCAAGTCGTCGCAGATTCTGTGTCTTGTGATTGATAGTAAGTTCAGCAGCTTCAATCTTTGCCTGATAGTAGGACTTGATTCCTCCTGGAGGAGTCGGTGCTTTGACGGGGACGGGCATGGTGGCGAGAGCAGAGTTCGGTGTGGACTTGACCTGCAGTTTGAGTGGACGCGTCATGTAGGTACGCATGACTAAACATTTCCATATCCGGACCACGCGTTTTCGAGGCGCCTCCAGTTGCTTTACCACTCAGTTTACTACATACACTACTGGTAGCGCATTTAGCAGTAATACTAATAGTACGCCCTCACGACGATCGTGTTGCGTATCTAACAGATGATGACACCAAAAGCTGTACATAAATCATGGCACTTCTCTCAATAGCGTATGTACTATTCGTGACTCACTATTCACCAAGCACTCACGATACTCTCTAGAATGATTTCTGACTTCTTTCACCCGAATGTCGGAGGCGTAGAGAATCACATTTATATGCTCAGCGTGGAACTCCTCCGAAAGGGACACAAAGTCATCGTGATAACGCACTCGCACCCGCCGGATCGCGTTGGCATTCGATGGCTGCTTCCTGGAATCAAAGTCTATTATATTCCTTTCACAACCATCGCATCCTCCGCTACTCTACCGAACTTTTTCACGTTCCTTCCGTATTTCAGGAGCATCATTCTGCGTGAACGCATTAACATCGTGCACGCACATGCTTCGCTTTCGTCCCTGGGCCACGAAGGGATCTTGCATGCTCACCATCTTGGCGTGCGGACTGTCTTCACGGACCATTCGCTCTTTGGGTTTGCAGACGCAGCAAGTATTCTTACAAACAAACTACTTGAAGCAACTCTCGCAAATGTTGACGGTGTCATTTGCGTATCTCACACCGGGTGAGGATCACTGGAGCATCACTATCTATTTTACTTATGCGTTATAGACGCGAGAATACAGTACTCCGATCATGCATTCCGCCATCAATCGCCCATGTCATACCAAATGCACTTGTAGTAGATCAATTCAAGCCTTCTGACAAGCTCGTCTCTGGCGCTACAAGTATGTTGAGTATTATTCCAAGGACGTCCGCATAGTAATATTTTCTCTTTTCGTCCAGTTAACATTATTGTCATTTCACGTCTTGCATACCGAAAGGGCATTGACCTTTTGGTTGCCACTGCTCCAAGAATCTGTGCACTGTTCCCGAACGTTAAATTTATAGTAGGTGAGCACGAGAGTAGCAGAAGATATAATTGTCACTAATGTTCATGGCAGGCGGTGATGGTCCCAAATTGATCGACCTCCTCCAGATGCGCGAAAGGCATCTGCTACAGGATCGTATCATCTTGCGTGGCTCTGTACAACATAGTGACGTTCGCGAAGTGCGCACGCTGTATTTACTCGTCTCTGCTTATTGATAATCAATACATGACAGCTTTTGAATGAAGGTTCTATATTTCTAAACACGTCATTAACGGAGTCATTTGGCATAGCTATCCTAGAAGCTGCATGTGCAGGGCTATACGTCGTGTCCACGCGTGTAGGTGGTGTACCCGAAGTGCTTCCACAGGACATGATATCTTTACCGCTACCTGAGGAAGATGGTGCGGCACTTTATTCCTAAACAACTTGACTCATTATTTAACTTTACCACGACAGATATTGTACGCGCGATGTCTGAGGCCATACGTAAAGTAGCTGCGGGACTTCATGACCCACACGCAGCTCATGCGCGGATACGCAAGTTCTATAACTGGAAAGATGTCACTGAACGAACGGAACGTGTATACGCATTCGCGTTAGCTAGACCAGAGCGCGATTTATGGACTAGGATCAAGCAGTAAGGAGATCACCTCGGCTTGTGTCCCGCTATTAACCGGTTGTATTTCGTCGGGCTGTCTTCTAGAACTCATAATCTTGGTCGATGTGTTGGGCCGATCTACGTCGTTATTCTAATTGTGGATATATTTTTCTTCGCGATATTGGAATTCCTCAGCCCTCGACGGGATATCGACTACGTGCCAGAGGCATGCGATTGGGTACAGAAGCGGTACGAAGAGTATACCAAGGTGCGTAATTATGCTATGACCGATCATTATTCTTGTGTTTTAATGCTCCAATGCTCCAGTATTCATTTGCAGAGTGCTGGACGCTCCCAAGATAACCTTGGATCATAGATGGTCTCTATTACAGGACTCCTGTGTTGGGGACGATACATGCATCAATTACTTCCCTGCAAGCCATGTTCAGTTAACTATGAATTCCTATTTGCATCGTAATCAGTCAATACCTTGCTAGATAGCCTATTATCGTCATATACCTTAACTGATGTAATCAAGTATTGTCATACAAGTGTTGTACTAAGAGGGTGAATTAGGTTTGCATCTACATAGTGATTAGGTTCACATTGATCACGTGCCACCTCGCGACTTTTAAGCGGACGCGTCTCGGCGGCCTGAATGGTCTGAATTGGGTCGCTCCGGCGTTCCTATTGTTCACTTGCCTCGTCGCGTTTGTGCTGCACCTTCTCTTGCAGCAACCTCCAGTACTGTTATCATGAAACTACCAGGCATGAAGCTTGCTCTGCTCATCCCAGCAGTGATAAGCATTCCATCGGTCGTGGCGTGGGGTGCAGCAGGTCATGAAATCGTCGCGACGATTGCACAAATTCACCTACATCCAACTACCATCGAACAACTTTGCGATATCCTTCCTGAGTACGCTGACTGCCATCTCGCTCCTATTGCTGCCTGGGCAGACAAAGTACGCATGTATATGCGCTGGTCGTCCTCCTTACACTACGTGAACGGCCATGGCGATCATCCTGCGCAGCACTGCGTTTTCGGTCAAGAAGGCTGGGCTGGTGCTCCAGGGCACAATGTACTTGGTGGAATACGGAACACTACGATGTGGTTGGAGAAAGGCTATCCTGGTGCAGAAGAAGCACTCAAGTTCCTTGTGCATTTTATGGGCGATTTACATCAACCTCTTCACCTCACTGGACGTGATAAGGGAGGAAATGGCGTCAAAGTACGCTTTGACGGTCGCGTCACTAGTTAGTCTCCGTCTCCATTCGACTAATTACCCATTGACTAAAGCAACCAATTATTGCATTAACAGACCTTCATTCCGTATGGGATTCGCGTTTGATAGCTAAGACCCTACGAACGATCCCGAAGAACTACACGCGCCCACTCCCGTCACAACGCATCGAGAACGCGCTGCGCGGTACAATCTATGATCCCTACGTTCGACAAATCATGTTTGAAGGTGTCCTCGGGCGTTTCGAATCGCAAATCGACGATTGGCTGACCTGTCCGCCGCTCGATGAATCCTCATCTCGTCCGTATCCGCCAGCAGAGAAACTGCAGCAGCTACCGCTCAACCGGAAGATTAAGTCGACAGGAGCTAGAAAGGGTAGAACTCCGCCCCCTGATTTACCGCCAACGGATGACGATGTCTTGTGTCCTTACGCATGGGCTGCACCTTTACACGACCTAAACTGCGAGATCATCTGGCCTCTTGAGCTGGACGAGTTGCAACTGCAATCGAACTTTTCTGGCGTGGAAACCGATCTGAATTCTTATCTCGAGCTCGACACGCCGAAATATGCAGGTGCCATCAAAGAGGCATGGCTAGTCGAAAGGTTGCTCGCAATGGGAGGTATCCGACTGGCTGCGGTTCTCAATTATCTATTTGCGGTAGATGGTGCCAATGCTGGTCCATTGGCTCTGGTTGATTAGGCTAACGTTGGCTTACCGGATTGGCAAATTTTCTTTACGTCTTGCTTTCTGCACATCCGCTCTCGCATACCGATTTTGTATATAATGTATTTCTAACCAAGATCCTGACAGCATCGAATGCATTTTGTTTACATGCCTATGAAATAGATGTAGATAATTCAAGATTTATTGCAAAAATTTCTCATTGTCACATATGCCTTGTTCGTGTTCTATCGCAGTCATGATGAATATGCAAAAGCGAGGGAAAGAAAAAACTAAATCATAAAAGCCATACGGGAGAACATGCATAGTGAAGAAAAGGAAAGGAAGGAAACAAAACCAAGAAATAAAAGAACAAATTGTTGATGAGGTGTCGCAAGAGGTGTCGCGTCGGAGCCCACATTCATACATATCCAATTCACTTTTGTCGGGGCACACTTAGACTTCAGCTTCGCTTTCTTCGTCATCCGCAGCTGCAAGGTCACGCAATGTGGCTCGTGAGGCAACCTTTGCTCGTCGCGAGGGTCTAGCGGCTGGTCTTTCATCGCCGATTTCACGACTCTCGTCAGGGTCTGGAAGCCGCGCCACTCGTGTAACACGTTTCCGCGGTACTTCGTTGTGGTTTGCTGTCACATTCTGACGTTCATCTGCATCAGAGTCTCGTGATTCAGAAAGACCGCGTTTCCGCAGGACGCGGCGGGGAGCACTTGCGTTACTGTCGAAGGTCTCGTCGGCATCCGGCAGACAGGTCTTAAGTGATGTTCGTCCGCGTCCTGCCCGCTGAGGAACAAGACCATCTGGATGGTACGCGCCAACTTCGCAACTCTCCTCTGGATCCGGTAAACAAGGTTCACGATAGGCGGTTTTGCTGAGTCCTTGGGGCGGATTTACACCAACTTCAACACTTTCTTCAGGATCGGGAAGGTTTGAGGATACACGTTTGCGCGGTGCAAGCCGGGCAGCCTTACGATCCGCGCCTATTTCACAACTTTCCTCAGGGTCAGGTAAATGTGAACTTGCTGGTTCACGGCCTTTCACTGGCGACAACTGATCCTCATCAGGGGAGCCTTCGCCGTCTTCTTTGCTGTTATCCGGGTCCGGTAAACGTACGACTAGCGAGACTGAACCTTTGCTGTTCTCCTTTGTCAGATCGTTGACCGAGGTGGCTTTCGTAAGCATTTGGATCTTTGAAGGCACGTCTTCCTCAACATCGTCATGCTCATCTTCATCTACTGGGAGGCGTCTAGGCAGAGGTGCAGACATTCGTTTCTTGACTCGGGCTTGTTCTTCGGCGAGACGAATGCTATCTGGGCACTGATTGACGATCTATTGAGTTACGTACAGGGTAGAATTTGTGACAGCACTCACGCCATCATCTTGTTCCTCGTTGGTGTCTTCTTGACTGAGAATGAAGTTCTCGAACGCATGCGGCTCGTTAAACTGCTGCAAATCGAGAGGAAAATCTTCGTCATCATCATCGTCATTCGCAAGCCCAGAACCGAGCACCACTGTCGGTACGTTGCTTGACTCGTCCGTGTCTGGTAACAATGCCTTGATCTTGTCAGAGTCACTGTAAAGTGAAATATATAAGGCCTCCTTATGAACAGAAAACACATCATATTCCTAAGAAAAAAAGTTAAGAGAAGGCATTTCCACCACGAATTAGTGTTCTTACATAGATAACCGCGCGACCCACGTCAATATTACTGCCTGGCCGGTGCCAGAGGTGTTCAAGTGTGTAATGCTCTTCGCGTTCCCAAGGTACATCGTCCTTGCATTTTGGTCTGATCTCTTCAAGGTTTCCGGTAACATGCAACACCGATTTCCCATTCTTAAATAAACCTGCGTGCTTTGCAGATGCGTAGAATACTACTCGCTTCTGCACTGTGAAGATGTGCTCCGCACGACGCTCGATGCGTATTGTCCTATTATGCGGACTTTTCTCCTTCCGAATGTCCTTCCAACCAAAGAGAAACTGCGAAAGCCGATGCAGATGCCAGAAGGTATAGTTTGCTGGCACAGTCACAATACGAAAAACGCTATGTGATTGATGGCCAAGCTGGAAACGAAGTACGAGATGGTCGGCTACGGGAGTCGGACGAGGAAGATCACGAGGAACAAAAGGTTTGATGCGACCGAAAGGATTCGAGGGTGAGTCAGACGGGAGGTGGAACATGGATGCGTCTGAAAATGCGTCGGAATCAAGGTGGTGGAAGCGCTTCGCAGGTGGTTGTGGGGGAGTTGACGATGCAGGAGAGGAGTCAAAGGCGTCCCGCGGACGTTTCATCACTGTACGAGGCATTGATGTAGAGCGGTGGATAAATAAAAGCGAATAGAGATGAATCTGGAGAAGGGAAAAGAAAGGCTTGCAGGCGCTAGACCGTGGACGCTGAGTTTTAATCGCGCAGTATAACAATCTCATCAATGTCATGTGATCGCGCGTCGCGACGCGTCAAATATAACACACTTAGTTCAGCTGGAAGGTAGAACTCATCAAGCCAAATGACAATACACAAGAACTATTTGCTATGTACATTCAGATAGCTACATTCTCTCTTAGTAGTAAAGGTAAAATTTGCTGACCAAATTGTAAATTTTAAAATAATAGACAATATGTTAAAAATATAGTAATTTGTAATCTTTTCAAAAATATTTAAGCTACTACTAGTACTAGTAGTACTATCTAGAAAACATTTTAAGGCAGAAAGTCTCTGACACTGAGAACCTGTTCTTATTGTACACAATAGACCTTCCTTTTTTATTCAGTAGAACTTAATTTAAACCTTTTAAATTGCTCTGAAGGACTAATTCCAACTCATACTAGATCAGTTGCATTTAAATAATAAAATATAAAGCTAGCAAAATCACAGTTTGTCTACTATAATAACTCTTAGTCTATCTAAATAAATATTATGCATAGAATATTAGAAGAAAAAATATAACTTTGTGAGAAGTATCATCATTCTTCTCGAACACTGTACATATCAATGTCTGTCACTCTAAATAGCAGACCCCATGCCTTGCGTGAGATGGGCTTTCAATTATCAGTCAGACATACTCGTTAGTTTTGTCGACGATTTCCCATTGCGCGAATCTGATACAAGAGGTCCAGTTCGAGAGTGATTTTGTAGGTTTGAGTGATTTCGACCCACGGTCACGAGGGCGTCGATCAATTCATCAGCCACCGCGTTTCGCTCACTCAGGCTCAAACTCACTCTCCCCCATACTCCGGTTCCATTGTCTTCAGCACTCTAGTGTCAATGGAAATTGATACATCAAACCCCAACGTTGCCCAGGAGGATGGAAATACTGACCCGGAACAACGAGTTAAGGAGCTCGCAGCTGCAGTTGAGCGGCGCACAATACCACGAGAACCAACGGCTGCCCTGGAGGAGTCGGCCTCCATTGACGAGAAAACAGCACCAAGCGAACCGCGGCCAGATACTGCAACAGCAACTGACGAAAATGATACGGCTCAGGCTCCTGAGAGGATAGAAAGACCAGGTGCGAATTTAGCGATGGACATCGACCTCGTGCCAGCGGAGCGGCCAGATGAAGTTGTTATCAAGAGCTCACCTGTAGATGATACATGGCCAGATAGGTCTGATTGGGGTCAGGATACTGCAGCGCAAGCGCCGCTTCAAGAGACATCGACTATCTCTGAAAGGCCGCTCAATGTCGGCGACGCATTATTTTATCTAGATTCCGTCAAGAAGCAGTTCGCAGATAGCCCAGGCGTTTATAACAAATTCTTGGATATTATGAAAGATTTCAAGAATCAGTCGTAAGTATTATCGTAATATATCGCTTCTTGCTTACTCATAACACTTTGTCTGCAGCATTGATACACCGGGAGTGATTCAACGAGTCTCAACGCTCTTTGCTGGTTACCCACAGCTCATTGAGGGATTTAATACCTTCTTGCCCGCTGGTTATCGCATTGAATGCACTTTCGACGGTAATGATACCAATGTTATCACTGTCACGACACCTGGTGGCACAACAACTCAGAGTCAAAGTGCCGATGGTGTGTGCTTCAGTCTTGTATCTACCTACTAAATTTTGATGGTTATTTGCGACACAGCTGGTTCTGCCTCTGCCTCTGCCGTTGTTGGCGATAATTTGCCATACACACACGAGCAGATTTTTCCAGCGATGGAGTACGTGACAAAAATAAAACAGCGGTTTGCTGGTCGCGAAGAACTCTACCAGGAATTCATCGATATTCTGAACTCATATAAGCGCTCGCCAGTGGATCAGGTAAGCAGAGAACTTTCTTGTCTTTGCTGCGTTGACTCACGTTTTGGTTTTACTGCGCCTTTCTCAATTAGGACCAGTTGGCGCAGAGGATAGCCGACCTTTTCCAAAACTCTCCGGATCTTTTATCTGGTCTGCAGAACTTCGTTCCTCGCGAAATGTTCAACGCCCTTGACGCTATGTCGGTGGAGAAGGATGTGAAGACGGCTAAACAAGTAAAGAAGGCACCGGGTGACTCCAGTTCTTTAGCTAGTACCGCTCCAAGTACTCAGAAACGAAAGAGGAAGGTCCCGGTTCGTGATAAAGAGAAAGAGAAGGAACGTGAAAGGGATCAGGATTTCGATGTTTCATCCAGAGCAGCTCAAAGCAGGGTATGTCTTGTCCGTGATTATGTAGCAATAAGTTTTGACTTTGTTCGCTCTGCTGTTGCTCTAGACAAAACGGACAAAATACCCTTTGACAGGGGGTCAAGACGGACTATACGACGAGACACCCCATTCGCCCCATCATATTCATGAACGCCCAGCACCACCTCAACCGCGTCCTGGCCCGAGCACGTACGACGAACAACCGGTCCCTATCATGGCTGCTCCTTCCCAGAACGAAATGCATTTCTTCGATCGCGTTCGAATTGCAATCGACAACCGGGATGTGTACAACGAGTTTCTTAAGCTCATAAATCTCTTCACTCAGGAAATTATCGACATGAGGCGTCTTGTTGAGCAGAGTCGCACATTTCTGGTGAGCGAGGAACTTTGGGCGCAATTCAAAGAGATCCTCGGGTGGGACTCGAGTTGGGAGGCTATGAGCGGCATTTCTGGTGCTTCTGCATCAGTGAACGGTGAAGGTTTGGAACGCCTGTCGAAAGAACAGCTCAGCATCCGCTGTGGTCCTAGTTATAGACGATTACCACCAAGCGTGAGTCTGAGCATCCTCTCTATAAAGAAGCTTGTCTGATTGCAGGGTTAGGAGGCGAACGTGCCATGCTCTGGAAGAGATGAGATGTGCAAAAGCGTTCTCAATGACGAATGGGTGACCCATCCAACCTGGGCTAGTGAAGACTCCGGGTTTTACACTCATAAGAAGAATGCGTATGAAGAAGCACTACATCGTAGCGAAGAGGAGCGTCACGAGTACGACTTTCACATTGAGGCCATCAGTCGCACGATTGCAACGCTTGAACCATTCCATTTGAAGATCATGCAGCTTTCACCAGAGGAGCGAGCTACGTCCAAGCAGAAGATGCCTCTATCTGGTGTAAACAAGGCAATTCACCAGCGTATAATCAAGAAGATTTACGGGCGTGAAGCGGGCCTCGAGGTTATTCAAGCTATGCATGATTCGCCAGCCATTGCCATTCCGATAGTGTTCGCCAGGCTCAAACAGAAGGAAGAAGAATGGAAGAAAGCACAACGAGAATGGAACAAGGTCTGGAGAGAAATTGATAGTAGGAACTATCAAAAATCTTTAGACCACCAGGGCATAATCTTCAAGGCGAGCGACAAGAAGGCTATCACGGCGAAGACTTTCTTGAACCAGATTGAGTCTGCTCGGGAAGAACAGATGTCGAGGCGCGCTTCTCTGATTGATCCACTTTTCGCGCGTACTCGACCACGATACCACATGGCGTTTGTCATTGAGGACACAGATGTTCTCTCGGATCTCTTCAAACTTACGTTTTCTCTGCTCGATCGAATGCAACATCATATCAGCGTCGCTGATCGAAGACGTATTGAAGGATTTCTCCGATCTTTCGTACCTATGTTCTTCATGCTTGATCCAGCGACTTTTGATTCGGCGTTTCGATTGAGGAATCAACAAGTTGATCAGCAGTACTTCTTGACCGACGACTTCTCAAATTTCATTGATGAAGCAGATGATAACGCTTCGGTCGTAAGCAGCTCTAGGAGTGGGAGGAACGGCAGGCGCGCGGCCGGAAGCGATCTCAGGAAAAAACTATTAAAAACGAATGCGCAGGATAAGAGCCGAAGAGCTGTTCAGAATGCACAGTCGAATCCTGTTTCCCGCTTAGCTTCACCAGTCTCGGCAAATTTGACTCTCGTCGACGAGAATGTATCGTCTGAACCAAACGAAGGTGGCTATGAAGCGCAATCGCAGGACATTCCTACTGGGTCTGTCCGATCGCTCCAAAACCGCCGAGGGTCTTTCTTCACAAATGCAACGTTCTACACCTTGCTGCGATTAATTGAGGTGAGCAATGTTAGCCAACAAATTCATTGATAATCGCTAAGTTTTACTGTAGCTCCTCTACTCTCGTTTACTCTCGTGCAAGGACTTGGCCAATAGGCTTGCAAACGATCCATCTTCACCTTATCGTATGAACCCGCTTGCTTCGGACCTTGGTCTCTTAAATACGGAGCCGCCAGACCAACAACTGGCTGAGATTCAAAAGCTCCCTTTGCCAGCAGTTCATTTTTATCCGTTCCTACTTGAAACATGCGAACGACTGTTTGACAACGTCGTTGATCCGCAGATGTTTGAAGATATTACACGCTATATGTTCGGCACAAAGGTCCGTGCGATTGTATTGTTATAACATAGCATTCACTCACGTTTAGGTCAGGCGTACATCACATTTACGATAGACAAGGTCATTGGGGCCATTATTAAGCAGGTAAGGTCTACTCAAAGTGTAGCTCGTGTGCTGGTCCTAATGTACTATTAGGTTCAAAACATTATCGCGGACAGCAAGTCTCTGGTCATCCTTGAAGGACTAAAGAGGGAGCGGGAGATGTCTTCCCCTTCAAGTCTTGATTTGGACGAAATTCGAGGGACCACTGAAAAGGTTCTCGCTTCAGAGGAAAATCTCTTCCGGCTAGACTGGGTGAGCTTTCATATAAGTACTCATGTCTGAACGGAAGTATTGATTTAATTTGATAGACGCCAGATTCACATACCTTGACCATTCAACTTCTCGGCAAAGATGATGCTACATTTGATGACTATGATGTTTATTCTGGTCGTTGGCAAGCCTATATTGACTCGTTCGTTTCGGTATGTTCTTCTAAGAATGCGTGTCGAAGTACAGCTAATAAATCCTTCATAGGATGAGACAACGAGAGGATTCGCAGAAGAGAAATTAAAGCCGCCTTTCCTGACGCGGTATGTAATCCAACATGTAGTCGCTAATCGTATTTCCTTACGATGTTTCAACAGCAATTATCGACTTGTCAAGAAAACTCCCCTGACGGGCTCCTCAGTTGGTCAAAGTGGGCTAGAGATCAAAGTGTGCGTGCAGACGTATCGGATGTTCTTCGTTTCTGAGACGGAAGATTTTTTCTGGCGATCATGGAGTGCTGAGGAGGTAGAGCAGTGTGAGAGGCGATCGAGCAATCGGAGCTCGAGGAGTAAGCGATGGTTGCGGCGCTTTGATGATGAAGGCGGTCTTCCTCGATAGCAGCTTTGTTATGTTATGTTTCTTGATCATGCCTTGGTGGATTGCTGTTTTGTATTGATATGTATGAATGACTCAATATTTCGTACGTGTTCTCCCACCCGCGCAAGTCGTATTGTAAGTGCCTGTGAATCTGGCTTAGTGATTATCGCCCCCAGGGCTGAGGGAACAGTGATGGTCCGCCTTATGCATCATTCCTTTTGCCGCTGACAACCATGTCTCACTATCACTATATAATCCCATGTACTTCATTCAGTATTCAATGTATTCGGTTGCCCCACATCTCCCATGGCTCTCCCAGAAGTCCCGCTCTGGATTAACGGCGAACGTAGGTCAGCTAGTGACCATGGCACGTTTGACGTGCGTAATCCTCTGACCAAGGAGGTTGTCGTCAAATCGGCTTCAGCTACTTCTCAAGACTGCAAGGTGAGCATGTCCTCAGCTATGTTGTCTCAGTAATGACAAAACAAAACAAAACCAATGTTCGGTCTGAAGGCCGCCGTCGAGGCAGCACAAAAAGCCTTGGACTCATGGGAACATACCCACGGGGTCAAGAAACGTGCCGTCTTCATCAAAGGTACTTACTATTGTCTCGATAATTTAATCACCTGTCGGTTAATAAAGCAACTTTGTTTATCTACAGCTGCCGAGCTCCTCCAAACCGACAAGTATAAACAGAAAATTGCCAAGCTATTACGTGAAGAGACAGCTGCCGCAGATTCATGGGTGACTGTCAGCATTACGGGCTCGTACACTTGGATATTGGAAACAGCCGGATTGTGCACGCAGATAAAGGGAGAGACCTACCCATCTGTTACGGGTCCAGGCGGACATGTTCTCGTGCAGAGAAGAGCACATGGCGTGATGTGAGTATTTGTTATTCCTCGTCAATTTGATTGGGGAATTTCGTTAACTGAGGACTCGCGCTCACGGTATCAATACTCCCAATTACAGACTTTCTATCGCCCCATGGAATGCGCCCATCAATCTGAGCTTCAGGGCTATCCTCATTCCGCTTGCATGCGGGAATACAGTGGTCCTCAAGTCATCCGAGTTTAGTCCGGCATCTCAGGAAATCGTGGTTGAGTTGATGCATGAGGCAAGCATCATTTTATTTATAAAAAAATCAAGACTATCAGTCCCGCTAATGCTGTGTGCAAAAAGGCTGGTTTACCACCTGGTGTTTTGAATTATGTTTCTATGTCAAGAGAGACATCACCTGCTCTTACAACAGAGTTGATTGGACACCCATTCGTTAGACACGTGAACGTGAGTTGGAGCCTTTCTACAAGAATTATCGTGTACGGTATCCTGAGAGCTCGGAATTCCGTAAAATAGTTCACCGGAAGCGACCGAGTCGGCAGGCTCATCGCACAAGAGGCAGCCAAGTACCTCAAGCCATGTGTATTCGAATTAGGAGGGAAAGCTCCAGCAGTTGTAAGTCCCAGTTACTATACACTCAATATTTTGAGTAGTTGCCAATGAATACATACAGGTCCTTGAGGATGCAGACATCGAAGCAGCTGCTCGATGCATCGCAGACGGCGCACTCGCAAACTCCGGACAAGTCTGCATGTCAACCGAACGTGTCATCGTCCAACGCGGCGCCGTCTCTTCACTCCTCCCGGCTCTCCAAAAACACTTCCAACGCATTCGCGCAGGTGATACCTATGCACAGAGTGGTGGCGGCGCGAGGATCCCACCGTTGATTAACGAAGGTTCTGCAGAGAGCGTGTTGAATTTGTTGCGTGAGGCGCAAGGAGAGGGAGCAGAGATCCTTGTTGGTGATTTAAAGAGAGACGGCGCGGTTCTGAATCCGCATATCGTTTCTGGTATACGGCCTGGTATGAGGGCGTTTGATCGGGAAAGCTTTGGTCCAGGCATGCTATAAACTTCACTTCTCTGGATTTGTTTAAACGCTGATTTCCTTTTTCAGTTGTGGGCGTTACTACAGTTGATACTGTAGAAGAAGCAGTTGAACTGGCGAACACGACGGATTATTCGTTGACAGCATCGGTCTGGACCCGCGATATTGTTCGTGGATTAGAGGTGGCACCACGTATTCGTGCAGGTCAGCCATATAATCGCACATATATGCCATCTTCCGAGCAAGGTAATTCACATACGTTTATTAGGACTGGTCTCAATCAATGGATCTACGTACCACGGCGAGCCAGGATGGGTGCACGCTGGCCTTGGGTACGTTCTTCTCTATACAGCTAATTTGGCTGTTAATACTACTTCTATCGTGCTCATGCTACCCACTCGACTTTCCTTTTGCAGAGGAGCAACAGGATACGGAAAGTTCGATATCGAGAACTTTACATACAAACGCGCGATAGTCGTCCATCCTGCACAGGGGACATATCCGCTTGTGGATAACCCTTAGCTGTCTGCCATAACTTCAGGTAAAATATGAAGGGTGATAGTCGCGGAATGTACACATATGTAAGGAAATCTAAGGGGACATGTAGTGTAAACATGTCATTGGTAAAAGCAGAACTTGTGCAGCTTTCCAATATATAGTATCCAATTTGTAGTGGGTCTCCTTTCGGTTGCTTTGAATGGCGCATATAGCAGCTAAAGGGAAGTGTTCTGCGCCATTGGGGCAACTTGTATAAAAGTACAATGCTTTTCATTTTCCCCGCAAGTTGTGCAGTCTATACAGCACTCAGAGCAAGTGACAGTCGTTACACATTAATAAATGCAAAGCGGTCCATCGATCACATCCTACAATCTTCCCCACATTACATGTCGTACTTGCACCAGATACGTCAGCGCCTCGCCCTCCATCCAGAACCAACAGTGCTGAATCCACTAAAAGCTCCTCCTGGACCCGCACTAGTCGGAGTCTCACCAGGCGCGAATGTCGGGCTGTTCGCGTGACCTTGGCTGAATGATGAGCGGAACGAAGACTGTGGGAAAGTAGAGTGGACTGAGAGGAATTTATTGGGTGGAGGACGATCTTCGCTGTTATACTGGAACAAAATGAATCAAAATGATGGAGAACAGCTTATGTCGGCGCATATACACACCTGAAATTCAAGACCAATCCCATCAGCTTCAGAAACGTCCAGCAGCTTCACAAGTTTCCTCCCAATACCATTCACCCGCTCCACGTCGTCCTTACTGCGTATCCAAAGTTGTATACGGTCGACCTTGCTCCGCAGACTGACGACGGCACCGCATAAATCCTCGCCATAATCATCGAATTCCTCACCGATCATCGCCATTGCGAGCCAACTCCAGCAGCGATCAAGCAAAGCCGGGTTATTCTTCATTGTTAATACCCACTTGCCACCCTCTGCATTTGCTGGGTCCTCCCACATTGGCTTGATACCGGTTTTGAAAAGATGATAATTTGAATTGCGTTCGAGCTTTGAGGGTGGCTTCAGCCAGTTGAAATATCGACAGAAGGATTCGACAGTGTCAAAATCGCCAATGACGGTTAATCCTGCCTCGTAATCGCCTGTTTCAGTAGGTGCGGGATGCGCGGCTGCGCTGTCTCCGGTTGGGGGAGGCCTAGATTTTGAATCATGGTAGATTGTCCTGTCATGATTCATGTTGTTAGACGCCCAAGCTAAAATAAGTGTGCATAAGAGGCATTTCTCACCACTTGTTCTGAAGTGGATGTTCGGGAACCTTCTGTGGAATTCCAGGCGTAGCCGGGTCCTCATACGTTTCTGGTTCTGGGGGCTTGGTCGTCCCATCGACACTGAGGGAGCGTGTCATTTGCATCCGCGCAGTGATCGCGTCGAGACTGGGGATGTTCTTGTAGCCAACTGGAGCCTTCTTCTCAGTCTCCACATTAAGTTTCTCGACCCTCTCTGTAGTGAGCGGATCGCCGCCTGAGGGGACAGTGGAAAGTGGAGAAGACGTCCCACTGGAACCAGCAGGTGATACTGAGCGAGTAGTGGGTGGATTGACTGTTGTGGAGTCTGCATTTGACGCAATTGTACTTGTAAGTGAGATTTGAGAACCTGTTCTGAGCAGTTGGGCGGCGAGTCGCGGGCGGGCAGAGGAAGACTGAGTAGATGGAGGAGCAGCGTTGCCTGATGCAGTGATGCGCGCTGCGAGCTTGTCGAGGGAGGGAGGCATGCGTGCTGTAGAGGAAACCTTGGGCGCTGTGCCACCTTCAGACGGAGGCAAAGACGATGCCACTGCGGGCGGCGTGGTGGAGGGAGAGTCTTGCTGAACGGTGGTCATCGTCGAGGACAACGGCAACGCGAGGCTCAATCCACTGCACCCGAGGCTCAGGCATAAGTACATGTATATCGTCAGGCACGTGACACTCTTGCTCTTCTTTCAGTACTTCTTGTTGTCCTCACCTAATCAACTACCTTTGATCCAGCTAAGTAACGAACTTGAAAGTCACTCAGGCTGTAGATTGCTACAATGTCGCATCTGTTAGCGAACAAGACTAAAACAGTCAGCCGCTCATGGCGCTGGTCATGGTATGAATGCACGCATGCGATTCTGTCGGTCCTTGCTAGCCTCCCTGTGCGACTCGTATAATCCACTCAATATGGCGGACTCCGCTCATGAGGCCCAAGCAAGTAAGCTCCCTCTCTTTTCATGAAATTAACAGACGATTTCACTTCACTCTGTCTCCCTTAGCAATCGTAGTTCTCGTCGAATTCGTTGCTGTCATCGCTATAATCGCCTTTCTCATATTTTTATATACACAGAGAAAGATATTCAGCGGCTTCTGGCATTTTATATGCCAGTCCTTTCGGAGGAAACCGACGTCGCCGTCAAGTAAATCAGATGGCCCTACTCAGCTTACCAGTCGCGATCTTGAAAAAGGTGTCGCCGCCGGGCAACCTGGCATAACGATGGCCTCCGGTTCTCTAACACGCGTCCTTGCCTACATACAAGGCTTGCCCCGCGAATCCGATGATTATTTCACTATGCACGAAATATCAATCACTGCCTCGGCCCGCTCGCGCGAAGTGACAGAATCAGTCCGCGCACTCACTGAAAGATCTGACGAAGGCAGTGAAGAGTCGCTAGAGTCAAACTGGATAGAGATTATCCAGAATTTCCCCGTCCCTCCTGACTCTGCGGTTCTCAGACGCATGCTAGAAGGAGGATTCAGCCATGACCTGGGTCTCGAGCTTAACTCTGGTCTCGAGCAGACTCCTGCTGGTAATAGCCAAACACAAGTCGAAGAAGTGACCTCAGCTTCTAATGTCCCAAGTCAGGACGACGATAAGGACAAAACACCAGTCTTAGCCAATGATTCTTCTCGTGTGCCACCTGCCTCTCCGCCATTGAGCAGCACTGCGATTGACTTGACAACCTCATCTTCCAAACTATGTACTTGGTTATCACATGCCGATAATGCAACCCATCCCCCTCCTGCTCCTTAAATCCTTACACAAGAAGGCCGCCTACGTTTAATGTTCACTTTTGGTACCCATTCGCCTTCGTCATTGAGACTCTTGAACGCGCCTCGTTTGCTCTCTTTGGTTCGCTATCTTGACTTGTTTCGCATCTGGTGGGCCATAATCTGTTATGTTGTCTTGATTCATACTGTACATATTGGACTTCGTGATCTTGCCATTGTATTCGTCTTCAATGCTTCTGTAATCAACTTACTGATCTTCAAGTGTACGAGATTATTCTTGAAGCTCCATTCATGAAATTTGATTCTTTGGCGCTTAGGTTTCTGTACTTGAATACGCATTGTTTGAGCACTGATGGGCCACCCTTGCATGCCCATTTGATTCTATAGCGATATTGCAAGTGTGATCCGGCCACAGACTCGGCCACACGCAAAAAGCCACAAAGGATATACATAAATATAGTGCTCAAGCTTCCCTCTCTTCAGGATTACTATCTCGCTGTCCTCTCTCCGCATTTTGGCTTGAACCTCAATCAAACATGTCAATCCGACTTGTGACTTCTCAACACGTGAGCTCAGAACTTCGCAATCCACCCTACAAAGCGTATATTGCCACTATGCGCGACAGGATCGAGTATGAATCTGCCATGTTCTTGTAGTATGTCTTTTCGCTTCTCAACCACAGGCAGAACTCCAATCTCATTTGTTATTTGCGGCTTTGTACAGTACCCATCGAGAGCGAGTCTTGGGAGAAGAAGATGAATTGAGAAGCAAAAACAAATTCACTACGTCTATAAAGCAGTTGTATCGGAACAGGATGCTCAGAACTCGACTGGAGCAGCTGGAGCGGACATATAATGCGCGCGTTAATGAGCTATTGACGATTTCTGCGCGGGTACAGCATTTACGACGATCGTTGGGTGCGGTACATGAGTATCGGGCAAAGTCAAAGTGCAGATTAGGGTGGAACAGACACTTCGTGGAGATTAAAGGTGAACTCGAATGCAGAGAAGCAGAGGAGAAGGAGATACTTGAGAGCATATACGAAGTTGCAGTAGAGATTGCAGAGTTGGGTTGTGCATAAGCCACTCCGTGACCAATTTTACATAATCAAAGCCGTTTTACTGTGTGACATGTGACGTATTATTTACGCCTGTTTTGGCCGTTCAACCATTTCGCGCTAAGGCCGTCGCGACGCAAGACACGACGCCTTCAGCAGCCACATTCACTCCCTTCGCCCCTTCCTTTCCTCTCAACCTCCAACATGCCGCACGCAGTCCGTGATTCATCATCACCCTCTCGTATACACGACGGACTGCCCTCTCCGTCTCGACCAAAACGACCCTTGAAGCGTACCGCGTCAGAAGCTTTACCTCCCACTCCGCCACGCACAGTCAAGCGCGAAAGGAAACGACGTGTCGGAAAACGCTCTATCAGTCGAACGTCAAAGTCACGCTCGCAGTCACGAGCTTCAAAACACGATAGCGAGCATGACGTATCAGATAATAAGGAAGAACAGCACTCACTGGGCGAGGGTATAGGACGGCGATTAGATTTTGGACCACTCGCAAAGAGACGTCGTTTGGAGGATCTGGACGCTAGGTTAGAGACGTTACTCGAAGCACCTGATGATGAAGAGAATCCGTTTTGGGATGGACCTTCAAAGCCCAAACCCGGTGTTACTGGAATAACGGAGACGACTGACAAGGGTGACGCGAAGGAAAGTTTAGAGAAGACCAAAAATACGGAAAAGGGTGTGCGTATACGCTCACCAACGCCACCATTGGTTTCGTTCCATGGCAAAGCACTTGCTTCTCCGCCTCCTTCAAACAGGCGGAAGAAGGGTGCTAAAGGAAAGGCGTCGGTGTCTACGGTGGAGGCGAAACCCGAGTCAGGGGTTGAGCCTTCGGCTGAAGCATCATTAGAGCTGTTGGCCAGTGCAGCAGCAGGATCATCGGCAAACGTGGAAGATGAAGTACCTCTAGAGAAGGCAGAGGAGTCGTCAACCACGGCAGTGGACAAATCGGATGAGACCGAAGAGCCTCTTCCAACCGTAGAGCTGCCTCTACCGAGTACACCAAAGAAGGGTAAAGCACGACTCGTGGATTCTCCGGTTCGAGACTCGCCGAACAATCCTTTCTTGGATGATTCGCCTCCTTCGGTATCTGGGGAACCCGCCGAGCCACGTACTACCACCACGCGTCCTGAAAAGCCTACGATTACATATATCTTGTAAGTTTGTTTGAACGATTGGCAGAGGCAGAGTTATTGACTTATTATCTCTGTAGCCGAGGGGTGCGAGCTGAGTTTGCCAATCCGATGTACAATCTCCCACCAGAGGTGCATGAGCGATCCCTTCTTCCCATTGAGCATCCAGACTTTTCTCCCGACCCTGCATGCCCGCCCAAGCTCCTTTTCACAAAGCCTCGCAGACGTGTAGCATCACCATCACCCACGCGAAAGGGCAAGTCCAAAGGCGAAGCACGTTCTAAGTCTGCAGCACCTTCCGGTAGTCGTCCTGATAATGAATGGGACGACAGTGATGACGAAGCTGAACTGCACATTACTCCGCCGAAGAGGCTTTTCCATTAGTCGCGACGCGTTGATCGTTCTTCCTTATTGTCGATATATGCCCTGTTCATCTACTTTTCGATGATGCCCAACGGTGATTCCAGATCGTTTGCCCCTTTCATAATGATTATCCGCGACGCATCCCGGACCATCAGCGCTCCATTAGCATCCCACGTCGATAAATCCGTCATGTAACCAAGTCCACGCATTCTTTCCTGCATCTCATTGTCTACCTTACGATCCGCGCGATACCTCTACTCCTCCTCTCCCTCTATGCTTTAACATACACCGAACGCACCAATAACCACGCTTCTCGCTTTGGCCATGACCTTTTGCTTTGTTTATAGGCCTTTTCGTAGTACAATATTTGACTTGAAATTCTTGCTTGAAACCCGTATTGGCGTACCATTTTCTTTACATTAGTTCATGATCTTTTTACATGTTGAGATGGCCCTTTCCTTCCTGTCATCTACTTTCCATAAAGCGTTTGATTGTATTAGATATATGCTGGCTCTTTCTCTTGCAAATGTCAGAATTCTTGCATACGGTGGGGGAAAATGTCACGGTTGGACGAGACAATTATAATCCATAGCAATTTATTTAGTCTCTGTACCAGCAGAAGATCTGGTACAATACGTACGTACATACTGTATAACGGTTGAGAATAATGAATGGAGAACTGGAAGCTAAACAGGGTAACCGACCTCTCGGGTGGGGAGACAATAAGTGTAGTTACGAATGTAAGGACGAATATTGTACAATATCAAGTGATTGTAGTAGTGTAAGTTACAAGCCAATTTCATCCACGGAACAAAATTAGTCCAAAAGGAGAGCATAGATGACTAGTGATAGTATTGTAAAACATAATTGAAGAAGACGGGTGGTGAAAAGTTAATGCAAAGTACAGCATAGCATATAGGACGGTAAGATGGAAACAAGTGAACCGAAAACTGGAAAGGAATAATGATTAAGACTTAACTTCATCTAAATACGGAAATGACGGAAACGACGAGACCTGGAGCAGTTAGGCCTCCGCTGACATGGCCTCTTGTCCAGTCCCAATAATCGGATGCATCTCCAAGTGCTCCGAGGGCAGTGACTCCGAGGGCACAGACATTTCCTTGTTTGTGACTCCCGCGGTCGGTGGTGGCGACATGATGTCCTTTTGCACCGTTGGCGTATCTTGCTTCGTCGAGGATTCGGGTGCAAGTTGCAGTACGCCTGGACCCACCGGCCCGTAACTCGATTTTCGCGGGGCAGACTTTCCAGATGCCGCAGGAGGGCTAAGAGGAGACTTGTCAAGTGCAGCAGCGTCACTTGCTATCGTAGGCTGCTCCAGGACCGATCTAACAGGCGTCGGAACTGCCACGCCGCTAGCCTCCCTAGGTACTTGAGCCGACTGAGGAGGATTTGCAGATGCAGGACTTGCAGCACCATTGGTCATAGGCGCGGTCGGTGGGGGCGTCAGCATTGGAGTATTGGTTTTTGCGATCCCTACCGGAGGGGGTAAGGGAGGAGTAGCAGGCAAACGGAACGGGGAAGGAATCGCAGATCTTTGTCCAGCTGCGTGAGAAATCGGCACTAATACAGGTCGAGGGAGAAGGTGCGGAACAACGAAAGGTACTGGTCTTTGCGCACCCCCACCGTTATGTGGAGATGCGCCCTTTACTGGTATGCCGTCCTTACTGGAGTTATACCCGTGTTGAACAACATGCTGAGGATAAGTAGGTCGATAGAATGATAGCGGAACAGTAGTAAAAGGCCCGACCATCGGCGGCGAGCTCGACGGCGGGATTCGTACTCCTGGCGAAGTTGACGATGAAGTCGACAGTATCTTGGTTTCAGCTTTGCTGGTTCGTAAGGAAGTCAGTGGGGTCGGTATAACTAGTCTCTGGGACGGACTCTCTGGTCCTGTCGTTGTACTCGCTGGGGTCTTGACGGATAAAATGTTATGTTTAGATGAAGGAAGAGTGTCTGCAGAGAGACCAACATCCGCCATTGTACTTTCGTCATCGTCATCGTCATCAGAACCGACGATCTGATCCCAGTCAACTGGTTTTAGGGCCGGTGGTGCATCCAATGCCGAGCGCTCCTTAGCTCGTACTCGAGCGTTGTACGGAACGGGGTCCTCTGAAGGCTCCCTAGTGACCGGCATGGAAGGACTCTCATTATTTTCTGGTTTCCCAGCTTTGTTTCTTTTCAGCCATCTGCAGAAGCATCATGACATAAGCAATCAGAGTGACTTAGCAATGTAGAGCACTTGCACACACCCTGTTCTTTGCTCGCAGATTCCTGCGTGCTTTAACCAGTTCTGCGGGCTATAAGAAACATCCCGGCGCATTTGAATCCAGCGGTCACACATTGCACAAAGAATCTTATCCGGTTGAACTATCTTCGTACGATCATCGTTCTCGAGTTCCAGTTTTCGCGACTCTTCCGAACGATGCATGCGCTTGCCAGTGTCGGACACCTTTGGCTCACTGGTACTTTGAGGAAGCGGCACAGACCCATTTCGGGTCGGGGTGTTCGTCCTGGCACGGAGATTTGGCATGCTCCATGTGGGTTGCTGCTTTAGTACTGGTACGGCTTTCGTCTCTGGAGGCTTTCCGTAGTCTATTGATGAGATTGTCGGTTCAAACTTGCCAATGAGACGGCCTAATTCGATGTATCCGAAATGGCCATGTCCTAATGTTTCAGAATCGTCAAGGTCAATGATCTCGACAGGTCTGAGTTCAGGTGGCCCTTCCTGAGCTTCAGGTGCTTTCCCTTCCCAGCTGAGCGCCATAAGTCAGGTCAGCAGAAAAAACGCTTTTCATGAAGAGTACGTACTGCGACTTTCCTTTGCATCTCTCCGCGTGTCGCAGCCAGTTACCACGAAGAAATCCGGTAGCCATGTTTAGCCTAATCCAACTGTTGCACATCTTGCAGAAGACGCGTCCGGGCTCGACGTCCCCGAGTCTCGGGTCAGCGCGTAGCTGAGCTTCCCGTTCTTCGTCTGTCATTTTGCGTATATCATTACTATAGAGCGACATGTCGATAGAACTGGGTTCCTTTTTTACAACATCTTTAATCGGAGTGGTTACGGGTGCTTTGTCCTCGTTTCCTGTAATCGACAACGTCGGAGTCTGGGGCAGTCTTTGAAAATACATCAGATAAAAGAATTGGTGAGCATTGACACAAATGCTCCATACCCGTTCCTTCTTTCGCACTTTCGCTTATGCTTGAACCAGTTATACGGAACGTACTCTTTTCCGTCGCGAAGCTTGATCCACTGTTGGCAAATTCCGCACAAGACTCGGTGTGGTTCTACAGCTGCGGAGCGGCTATCGTTAAGCAGAAGACTGCGCCTATCGACAATCCCAGACCTCTCGACGACAAAGGATGGAGTGTCTGAGTCGCCATTGACAGTAGGCGATGTTTCATACATTCCTGGAGTGTCAGCAACAATAGGTGCCGTTAGCTCCGGTGCACTAAAATACAGTTAGACAGTTCAAACATAAGAGCAGCTGAAGAAGGGCAAGACGAACCCAGATCTTAATGCACATTTCTTGACGTGCGCAAACCAATTATGGGGATCGTACTCAGTTTTGTTTTGAAGCTTTACCCATCTATCGCATAGGCCGCATCGAGCACGGTGTTTTTCAATCGTCTTTATCCTCGGATCCGCCTGCATTCGCGCGAGACGTTCTGCAGCAGTCGACCGTTTGCGGACACCCGGTTCAGCGGAATCTGTAGTCTCGGGCACAGTTACCACCTCCAAGTTTGAATGTTCCTCCTCTTTAACCACGATCGGTGCTTCCGTTGACGCTTGATTGTTCAAGCTGGAATCCGAATAAAATCAATAAATGTGCAGAATGCTTCCTTGGTGTACGCGTACCTTTTCCTCATTTCACATCGTCCGATGTGCTTGTACCAATTATAGGGTGCATATTCCATGAACTCATTGAGCTTCAACCAGTGCTGACATAACTTGCATTGTATGCGATTTGGTTCAAGGGCACCGACCCGTGGGTCCCCGAGAAGTTTTGCTCTCCTATCTTCGGCCGTGCTTTTAACCATCTTGGACATATTAATGTGCGATGGGGCTGACACAACTGAGTCAATCGCAGCATCAGGTGTCATTGACGTAAAATTGGCCGTGATAGACCCGGGCTGGCTTGGGACACTAACGGGAACCGTGTAGATCGAGGTTGAGGCGTCACTGGGAACAATGGGAGGGCGAGACGCTCCAATTGCGCTCAGAGGCGTCCTGATCGGTGGCTTCATTGGCCTATTTAATGATCAGTTTAGACCATATAAAAACTGGTGGCTCTGGTCTTACTTATCAATCTTTTTACCGCAACTCGATATATGTCTGTACCAATTGGAGAGCGAATAATCCTTCTTTACGTGCAAACCAACGGTGCGATTACACAACTTGCAAGTAACGTGCTGTGGCTCAACGTTTTCACACCGGCCATCACGTTCAAGTTCTGCCCGCCGTTCCTCTGAAGTGCTCTCATCCTTGAGTTTAGCGGAGGACGTAAGTTTCGGAGGGGCTGTCAAATGGATGACCAGGGCTGGTGCCGAAGAAGGCCCGGCTTGTGGTTGCTCCGGCTCGACATTCAGTGACGATCGGTCTGCTTCGATTTGGAGAGTTGCAGTCGCACGGAGATCCGACGGTAATGTCGAATTATCCTCGAGAATCCCACTGTAAGTTAAGACCATCTAAAGTCAGTACTTGCTAGAATTTATAGAAAAGTTCACGCACGTGCTACGCTGTTGACAGAGTGAGATGTGCTTACGCCAATTCCAGACATCGTATTCCTTGTAAGACTGAAGTTTGATCCACTGATCGCAGACGCCGCAGAGGACTTGATGTGGCTCAATAGCTGTAATGCGAGAATCTGCACGAAGTTCCTCTTGGCGTTGATCCGTCCCTTTTGTGCCTCTCCTCGCATCCCTCGCGCCCCGACCTCCAGTCTTATCTGAGATACTCAGTGTGGTTCTAGGAGATACAAGCCGTCTGCATCATAAAGCTTAAGTTGCAACTCACAAACGAGATAAAAATAATGCATTGGACGCACTGCTTAGCAGCTTGACGGGCACTACAGCGTTCTGCATGTCGAATCCAATTCGATTCCACATAGTCAACTTCCTTGTATAGCTTAATCCATTTATTGCACATTTTACAAAACACTTCGTTCGGAAGGACATCACCAGTTCGAGGATCGTTCACGAGGGCTTGTTTACGTTCCTCTGCGTTGCGGCCTTTCCTCCGTTTCGTACCAGCGGAGAAACTGCCAGAAGCTGAGAAGGAGTTAGACAGACCGCCTTCTGTAGGTCCTAGTTCTGGATCAGGGTAAAACAAATCGCAAACGTCTTGCGGTTCGTATTTAACAACCTGATCAAGGGCGCTAGACAAACTGGATATTCAGGACAAGACATCATTGAGCATATAGCCATACTCACATTTCCGGCACGCTACCGTCAGTATCCGCGGAGTTTAGCTGGTCCCCGAGCAAATTTGTGCCCAATGCTCTTTGATCAGTCTGACCCTCTCTTATTCCCAATTCTGAGGGCGCATGCAAATCTCCCGGTTTGTCTAACGAAGAAATAGGTGTAAAAGCCAGTTCCACACTTTGCAAGCCACTGTCCGCAGGCTGGAACGTATCGCTTCCCCGATGCTGGGTGAGACTCAAGCCTGTATTTAATCGGGTATCAGACGGGCTGGGTGGATCTTTCGAAAGTGACCGATCTGAAGCCAGAATACTAGCATGTCTGGAGCCATGATTCGCTGAGGCATCCATACTGGTAGTTTGAGTAGTGGAAACATCTAAACCTTTCTCTACATGTTGTGGAGACGGCTGAACCACAATCGTTTCGGACGCCACAGGAGCAGATACCGAACTTAAGAAACAGTTACCCTCCAATCGGCCTGCCCCAGAGACAGGTGCAAGAGTCTGCAGTGCTGCTGAATTGGACAGTACCCATCCATTCTTTACTTCGCATTTCTCCGCATGTCGGAGCCAATTCCACAGGTCGTATTCCCTCGTGTTATGAAGTTTAACCCACTGGCCGCACATTTTACAGAGCACGACATGTGCTCCGGGCTCCTTACAACGTGGATCGTTCTCAAGTGCACTCTGCCGCTCTACGGTTGTTTTTGTCGGCCGTCGATGTGTAGGTTTCTCTCCAGGTCCGGGGTTGAGGAGTTCCTTCAGTTGTGGACTGAAAACGGGACTGCTAGTTGCGTTTGGAAGTTTGGATATCGGCGAAGTCGAGGGAGGCGGAAGCGGCGGGGATGAGATGGATGTGAGTGCTTCCGGCGGTACGAGCATTGCGGGAGTAAGCGAAGGGATTGTCAGAGTGAATGCATCCCCCGGCTCTGCTTGAACACGAGCTTTCCAACTGCACCACGGTAACGCAATACAACATTTACTTTTGAGTAACAACCATAAATCTGAAAATTTTACACGCACGCTGTACGAGGTTCGCATTTCTCCGCATGAGTTCTCCAATTCGCTGGTGAGTAGTCGGTATGTTTAAATAGTTTCACCCAGTGACCGCACATCCTGCAAAGTACCTGCTGTGGTTCCACGGCACTTATACGATCGTCATTGAGAAGAATAAGCGCCCGCTCCTCCAGGGTAGACTTAGGTAATTTTCTTTGCCCGCCTTTTCCGAGTCTCTTCTTTGATAGTAATGCGGCATCTGTGGTTGAACTAGGATAATGAGATGATTCAAGGAAAACGCATACATGCCGTCAGTAAAATAGTGATACTCACTCTTCCTCTAATTTAATCCTCTTTGGGGGTGGTGGCTGCACACTACCATCCACGTCGTCAAGCCCGTTTTTCATCACTGATGCCGGAGTGTCGCACAAGTATCAAACGAGATTTACCGGGAGCCTCTTGGATAAGTTGGTGGCAAAAAATGCCACAGATAGCGGGAGAAAAGGGCTTACGCTGTCGGTGTAGAAGATAATGCCTGAGATGAAGAGAGAGGGGGATAGATGAATCAACCTAGGCTTGATGCGGACCTGCTCAAACTTCCAACGGGGCGTGACGTGGTCTCCGTGACTGACGGTGATGATTTCATCAGAAATTAGAGTGTGACTTTGTTATTGTTTGTCATATCGCCGACATCTTCCGAACAGTTTGAACTTTGGTATCAAACTGTGCTAAAATTAAATACTTGCATTATTAGTAGTCAAAACACGACATTGCAATGATGTAAATTTTCCTGCTCAATTTCAAGTCAGTATGAACATGCCCGAATACCTTATTCAATAGTGCATAGCGTAATATTAGTCCTACTACCGTCTTCTTACTAGTGATAATCTACAACACTCAAAGCGACCTTAGCCTTGTAACATATTGCGTTGGCGACTTACCAATGTATTTTTGTGCGTAGATTACATCATAGATATCATCTGAACGCTGTGAATATTTATATTATACTGCCGTTATCAGTGCCCCTGTTAGCAGTAGTGACATTGGTCGACAATGGTAATACCTTTAACTAAGGTGTCAAAAAATAACATGCTGTGAGACACTGCTATCGAGACCATCCTACAGAGACCCAGAATCAAATAATTTAAGCATTGCTTGTGGGCCCGAACTATTGAAACCAGTCGGACATACAGGTGCATACTCACACATCATCACGAATAGGATCAATCCAGGGGGTTTCGATATTAGGGGATGAGTGCATTCGTAGAAGCAATCATATGCTACATTTTCTCTACTTTCAAATCAAGAGATACTGGATTCCATTTACCTTGTCTAACGTGACAGTCGAAGTTTTTTCTTTCTGATATTTCAGATGGATATATGCTGAAAAAACAACCCAACAATATTCGGCTTGGCTCATATCATAGACGTGCCTGCAGAGTACTAGTATAGGTCAGCAGCACTGTAGTATAGCGTTCAGAATAAATTAGGCTGTGTAACTCTAGCTGCTAAGTGATGCTGGATGCCTTCCGATTCAGCGAAAGGCAATATCAGACTGTGAACGGCATCGTCGTTAGTCGCAGGATTTTGTGAGCAAGACTCCCCACTGAGGACATTGTAAGGTCATCATTCGCACACAGTTTCTCGTGCCGGTCGCGATCAGTCTGAATGCATAACGACAGTCTCGACGGAAAGTAGGCAAGGGAGTGAGTAGAATGTGATGAGTTACTCAACATGGTATCCGCTTCGGTTATTGCGTGGCGAACGTGGGAAATGGTGAGATCAGGCGCATTTAACCACCACCGAAAGTGACCTTGACGCAGCTCATCCGTCCACCACAACCATCTGCAATCATGCCTGGAACGCTTGCATCTGGTATAACTTCTCTGCAGCACTTACATTTCACAGGCTAATGTCGCACAACAGAATACTCTGCCTGGAAAAAGCTGCAGCAGATCTACAATGAGCAACATTCAAAACTGATCCTCAAGGAACTCTTCGCGCAGGACCCGAGCAGGTTCAAGAAATTCAGCAAGGAATACACGTCGAAAGACGATCAATCGACCACATTTCTGCTCGATTACTCAAAAAATCTCGTCACTGAGCCAATCCTGAGTGCTCTCTTTGACCTAGTTCGTGAGGCAGGTGTTGAGCAGGAGCGTGATGCAATGTTCAGTGGCAAGCATATTAACACCTCCGAGGACCGCGCAGTATTGCACGTAGCACTTCGTAACTTCAGTCAATGGAATATTCCAGAGTCTGGTACTGAGGATGTGTCCAAGGTGCTCGACCACATTCGATCCTTTACCGAGGCAGTCCGAAGCGGTACATGGAAAGGCTATACGGGAAAACCAATTAAGACAATCGTGAATATAGGAATTGGAGGATCTGATCTCGGACCCGTCATGGTTACTGAAGCACTCAAGCCATATGCGAAGCGTGATCTGGATGCTCACTTTGTATCCAACATCGACGGCACACATCTCGCGGAGACCCTGCGTTTATGCGATGCGGAGACGACGCTGTTCATAGTTGCTAGCAAGACGTTTACGACACAGGAGACGATAACCAATGCGGAGAGCGCGCGTGAGTGGTTCCTTGAGCGTGCGAAAGACAAAGCACATGTCGCGAAGCACTTTGTCGCTCTGAGCACGAACACCAAGGCCGTAACTTCATTTGGTATATCTGCGGAGAACATGTTCCAGTTCTGGGATTGGGTCGGAGGACGTTACTCTTTGTGGTCTGCCATTGGTCTGTCTATAGCACTTGTTATCGGTTATGACAACTTCGAGGCGCTTCTCAAGGGTGCACATGGCATGGACAATCATTTCCGTGAGACGCCTCTTGAAAATAACTTGCCCGTCATTCTCGCAGTCCTCGGCATCTGGTACAACGACTTCTACGGTGCACAGACGCACGTATTACTTCCGTACGACCAATATCTGCACAAATTTGCAGACTACTTCCAGCAGGGTGACATGGAATCGAACGGGAAGTTTATCACAAAGTCTGGGCAACGAGTCAACTATCAAACTGGACCGATTATTTGGGGAGCGGCTGGTACGAATGGCCAGCATTCGTTTTACCAGCTCTTGCATCAGGGAACAAAACTTGTTCCTGCGGACTTTCTTGCACCGGCAACTACGCACAATCCTATTGCGAACTCAAAGCATCACCGTATTTTGTTAAGTAACTTCTTCGCACAGCCTGAAGCACTGGCCTTTGGTAAGTCGGAGGAGCAGGTACGAGCAGAACTTGGCAGTGGTGCATCAGACACGCTCGTCAAATCGAAGGTCTTCGAAGGCAATCGTCCCAGCAACAGTATCATTTTCCCCTTACTCACGCCTTCGACACTTGGTGCCCTGATTGCACTCTACGAGCATAAGATTTTCGTCCAGGGTGTTGTCTGGGGCATCAACTCCTTCGGTGGGCGCTTAGCTCCTTCCATTATACTTGCTGAACTGATTATATGCGTCTAGACCAAATGGGTGTCGAACTTGGCAAGGTTCTCGCAAAGGCTATCCTTGCACAGCTTGATAAACCATCAGATGTTACCGGACACGACTCCTCGGTGAGTATACTCGCCCACTTCTGCATAAATATGGTTCTGATGGGTGGTTTATTCGCCAGACAACGGGCCTCATCCACTACTACCAGAAATACCGCAAAGAGTAAGATATGCGATCAAAAGAAGGCACTGTGATAGTGAAGTACAATATGATTGTAGCAAAGCAACAGACGGAATATAGACTTTGAATGGCAGGTCTCTCAAATACAGATAGAAAATTGTGTAACGAGTAAACGTTGCATTACTATACAATTCTTGGTCACCGTGCTTTGATGATGGGTAAATACACTAGTGATCTCACGAGAGCTCAGGTTCAGCCGTTGGTCGCACGCGTGGAACTACGTATTATTCGGATCCGAGTTTTATATGTATTCTGCATGAGTTCACAGTGGACAGGTTCTATGGGGACTACAATATGCTAGCTCTTTTCATATCTTCTGCGGACAATGTCATGACCCGTTGGTTACAACGTATTCGATTTAGGTTTGCCAACGAGAGAAAATCTTCTGCGCTTCTCTTTGTTCGGACTTGCAGGAGCTGTATCAGAGTAATGAATCGTAGACTAATAATCTTACTAGTGAAACTTACGCAGTACTTTATTTTTCAGGCCTTCCACAGCACCCTCAAGGCTCTCTGATGTAATTGATCTTGTTCCATTGTGCACTGTCATTCAGAATGAGCATTGCCATACACCTTCTGGGCGGTCCTGTTATCAGACTTACACTCAGCAATATATTGATTATTTTTTACCCATATATTAACGATCCCATTGTAATTATCTACAAGGATATTTGTCGGTTGACTTGCACGATACGAGGAACAATGGAGACAATCCCACCAAATATTTCCTTTAACGAGGCCTCTGTACCCTTATCGACGAAAGAATATTTCTTAAAGCTCATTCCTGTCAGTTCCGTCTTATGCCAACCATCTTCTTTAAGATCTAGATTCTCTATATCAGTACTCATCTTTTTGAGTGCGCGAAGTTGGGACAGGAGGGTAATTGCCTCTTGAATCGGGAACCGCGTCAGCTTTAAATCAGTCACAATGCAATACGATGGCGCCAATGATGATAGCACATTGCATTTGTTCCCCTCCAATGATGCTTCATTCAATTAGCGTTCATAACGCCAGAAATTTAGTTTTCCTGTACCATTTACTTACTGTATTAACTTCCAGGCCTAAACAGACGCGGAAACAATAGCTTGGCATCCGGACGCGAGCACGACGATGGCCTAACTTTGCCAATGAATCGTCGGAAACCGAAACTATAAATTCGCAATCTAATTTTGCTTCCATTAACAGTCCGTTTGATGAAGTTCGCGCAAGCTAGGGACACGCTGCTAACCAAGTGCAAATAAAATCCCGTCAGCAGGCCTTTCCGTTTATATCAGATGTAAAGGAGAGCGCAAAGTGAAGGTATAGAATCGCGGTAGTGTAAGTATCGTTGTCGATACCCAGCGGACAAGAACTGCCTGTGATGCCCAGACAGCTTACAAGAGGAAACGTCATTTTGAGAGTTATCCATGCGTGCCACAAGAGACAGAACTGGTGATGCTAGAGGAGGTAAGAAAATGACTAAATCAAGTAATGCTTTAGGTGTAGATTGCATTGTGAGTATTATTATACCAAACATGACAAGGTGCTTTATGTAAATTGCGGTGGCGACTATGGCTTAATGCCTTCTAAGCCCGAGACAAAGCTGAGTAGACCTCGCCGTTAGATAATCCTTGAAATATGCTGTGTGCGGCAAGTAGTGTACTACTAGCGGGTAGACGCTAGCGTAAGTAGGCACGACGGGAAAACGGAGGCAGACGTATCAGAACGCCATACTATCTGGACCTACACAAACGGTCAGAGTTAGCTTTCCAACTTTCCGACAGGGAAAGGTCCATTAATACTCACGACACGATACGTCGCTTTTGCATAAGCGTCGCTTCCTCTGTGGAACGAGAAGCGGACCGTTGGCGAGGTGTCTCATCGGACAACGCGAGCGGCTGCGCTTCGTTAGTATGCTGCTGAGGCGCGTCAGCCATTAGAAGTCCATCAGAGCCCCCCATACGCGATTGCATCTCTAATGCGGCAGAATGGAAGGCGTCATGTAATCCAATGGGAGACCCTGGACATAAAATGTGCGGTAGAAGTCTTGTATGAAAGACTCGTTGAGCTACAGCTCCGCCCTGAAGTAATTAAGCATCTATGTCAGCCACTTACAAGACGACAGAGAGCTACAAAGAATGCTAAAAGGAAGCAAGACTTACGAACTGATGAAATATTCCTCCCATGATGCCTTGGACCGTTGTACCAGCAACTTTATATAACCCCACCTTATATAACCCTGGGCGTTCCAAAGCAGCCGGAGTACCGTGCAGTCTTCCTCCAGCCTCGGAGAAATGGTTGTTCGCACTACCGATCGAAGGGACTGCAGGAGTCCATAACACTGCGCGAGCTAAATCCCACTGTGGTCCAACCAATTCACCTAGAAGATGTGTGCGCAATGCTCTATATGCAATGAGGTCAAAGTTGAACGTCTTGTCGGGAAAGATGGGAGGAGAGGTTGTCCGGGAGAGTTGCTGTGATGCCGAATGGAGGAATAGAAGTAGGTAGGATTCAAGAACGCGTCGGCCTTTATGCACATCGGTATAGTTGTTATCGTTGCCACAAACGCCAGAAGCAAAAATCGATATCGGAACACGAGCCGTCAAACAAACTGACCAAACAAGTACACGAATATGTAAAGAACGTACCAACAAACGCAAGCCGTGCATTATGTCCAGCCCAAGCCTCCTTCGCGCTAATGTGAGTAAGCATTTGTGTAGCAACGGTATCCGGAAACACCAGCGGCGGAAAAATTCTCTGGAGGTACTCGACAAGTGGTTTGGGGTCTGCTTTCGGTCGCTGTTTTGGGTACGGTACACTCTCCGAGCCTCTGGCATACCGCCTGTCATGGTTGTTCGCATCGTCGTCCTCCCCCTCGTCCAGATATCCCACTGCATTTTGTTGTGAGCCGCTTGAAAGATTCGCGGCTGCTGCTACTGCTGTGTATCTCCGCGCAGCAACGACTACACAGACTTCCGTTTAGCTACTTTTCGCTAAAGACAGCGCAAACACTCTCGCGGCTCACCTGTGCCGGTGCATTTTCCTATGGCTCCTTTCCGCACGTCCGATGAGTAAATGCACTTCCATCGAGACTTAAAGACATGTTTGGGTGATAGTCTTAAGGAAGGGAGAGCACACGACATCAGTTGAACGAGCTGTCCCTCGGTCGTACTTCCGCTGGGCTGAAAAAAGTCCAGTCTCTGGAGGCACGTGATATAGTCACGTGGTATCTATGACGATAATTGACGGTACACGTACAGGAGGGTTTTCATCATCTTTCCTCTGCTAGTTGTTTGACCGATAACAAAAGAAGCCCTTGTGTATCTAAGGCAAAAGGAAGGAAGGGGGAAACTGGACAGGCGGATAAAGAGTACATAAATGACGCCTGGATTGTCTATTTGCTATGTCAATTTAGAACCTGGGTAACTAAAAGGCGGATGGTATACATAGGCAAGGGAATAATAACTACAGTATAATTATGCAGCATTTTTTTCGTTGTTTCATGCGTTTGTACTCGTACTCGTAGCATTGTGGAGTACACTTTCTTACCATTATTGGTCACGTGGTCGTGGTGTCGCCGCGCGCTTAGGGCAAGTGTTGGCTGGTCGTAAGTACATATATCTACGGACTACATCCATCTAGTTAAAGGCATTCGGGTCAACGCCTCCTGTTGGGATGGTATCATGGAAAGGTGAAATTTCCCATTCTTACTACCGGAACTCCTAGGTGCTGACATTGCCTCCAGCTCAGACGACGAAAGTCCGTTATTCAAACTCGATGCGAAGCTTACACCTTTCCGCATACGAAACAATGACACTTCCAGGAGACGTCGACGCAGTTCAATGGCAAGTCTTGCGATCCTGCAGGATGAGGTAGAAGGTCCGAGTGATCGTCGACTGGCCTATAGGGGCAAGTCCCTGGTGCGCATATTCTCTTCGTCAGTCGGTCTTGCGCTGAGTAAGGATGACTAGCATGACCGCTTCGTTGCTTCGTCTTCCGGGCTTAGCATACCATTAACTGCAACCCCACGATCAAGGAGATTGGCAAAGCTACTAGGAGAAGCTGGTGATAAGCGACTATGCTTCCACGCAGTAGAGAATGTGGAACCAACGAAATACACAAGGAGCATTGTCCCATATCGTAAAGAACTCCAACGACTAACTCGTGGCCTCTACGAATCGGCCGCCCCAGTATCTGTCGCTTCCGCTTCGACTAATCTAATCACGTCTCCTGAAACGTGCCTTGGCGCACCAGGGCTTCGCGACGACTTCTACACCCGCCTGGCAGATTGGAGCAAAACTGATCTACTGGCTGTAGCGATGAACTCTTCCGTCGTATACCGTAATATGCAGACGCAAAATATTTCGCGTGTCGTCTCGCTTGATCCAGAGGAGACTGTGACATGCATAGCTTGGAGTCCCTCGTCAACAACGCTGGGCGTCGGACTTGACTGCGGTTTAGTTCGCTTGTACAATCCTGAATCACATGAATGCCTTCGCGAATACAAGGCACATCGGCAGAAAGACTTTGTTGGAGATCTCAGCTGGCAGGACTCGAACGTCTTTGCGGTTGGCTATCAGTCAGGTCAGCTTCGTCAGTTCGATGTTCGAGAACAAAGAGGAGGCAGAGTTATTCGGTCGCATCGTTCGCGGATCTGCGGTGTTGAGTGGAACTCTGACGGCCGATTTCTCGCAACAGGTGGTGGAGATGGCGTCGTTGCTTGCTGGGACGCGCGAATGGACAGGCCCAACCCCATTGCGACTGTTCACGGATACGAGCTTCCCCCTCCATCGAGCTCCGATCCTGACTTCAGCGCGAGTCCAGAAATAGGACGGAATAGTGACAGTAATCCAGAGCTAAACAACATAAGCTGTCGTTGGCGGGTGCGACGACATCTTTCGACCGTGAAGGCATTCGCATGGTGTCCCTGGGCGCCAGATATGCTTGCATCTGGCGGTGGAACAAAGGATGGGACAATCCGATTCTGGGACGTCGTACGCGGTTGTGCGCGAAGCACCGTGATACCTACTCATTCGCAAGTGACCTCGCTGCACTTTTCGCAGAGTTGTCGCGAAATCGTGTCGACACACGGATATGCCTTCGCTCCTGCAGAACCTGGCTTGGATGGTGTGTACCCGGCGCCCCGAAGGCATTCAATACTTGTACACAATTATCCGCGTGGCAATCTGGTGGGCAAGGTGTTTGACCCGGCACACGGACGTATCACGCATAGTTGCTTGAGTCCAGATGGAACTCGGATTGTAACGTGCGGATCCGACGACTCGATTCGCATGTTTAAGATTTTCGGGAAGCAGAATTCCCCTCCTCACGATGAGCACAGTCGGCTGCAGAGTATGATCCGGTAGGGTTCTCCGTACCTACTCTTTCGGCGTTTCTCGGTTATGATGCTGTTCCTGGCTTACTCTTACTGTCTTTTCACTCGAGAATTGGTGTCATTGGTGTTTGTATTCTGAGCTGAAGTAATGCGTAAACACACATGTATTCGTAGGATTAATTTCGATATTTTACTACTCGTGAGCAAGACCTAGAGCCTCCTTATGACGATACAGAATAGCATTTTGTCGCAATGCACTGTTGAGAATGAAATTACGTTAGTATTAGATGGGACCAACTACTGCACTGACACTGCGCATGAAGAAATTGTACTAGAAGTACAGTGGAACCTGTCAATAAGCATGAAATTTTGAGTCCCCCGTTGTGCTGGTAGACAGGTTTCATCGTATATGTCATTGTATAATGTTGGTATACGGCTATGCTCAATGCACTATACAATTTTGTGCATAATGGCAATGCACTTCAGCTGAGAATTTGACTCCTGGTTCAAGCAAAAGTCTATGTATTATGGTAATGCATTGCAATATTACACGATGGAGTATTTCTAATATACTGCAGTAAGTAACGGATAAACTCTAAATCTTCCAAGCTTCCTGTCACCTTTGGTGGTGCGGGTGGCTCCAGCTCCGATTTGACTGGTAAGATGCTGAAGACCGGAAATTTAGACGGACAAGCCACTAATTATTGATGTCCTCAGAGACCAGGTGATATACTCATTCAGTAAATGCTTTTCTTAAACATGGTTTCTGATATCACAACGGACCGTGGGCAAGACTTGTTCAATCCGTATTCAATAGATGACGCGTGTTCCCTCAGTCTAGAACGCTCTAACCGTGTTTACTCGGTCCGCTACATTCCGTATTGGGGCTTTTCCGGCTTCACAAAAGAACTGAAGCGTTTGTTCTGCTCCCGGAGCCTTGTTTGCGGCTGAAGCCGTGCAGCAGGTCAATTCAGATATGAACTTGTCGTATAGCAAACAGGCCCCAGTAAACTGTGACTGAATTGCCTGTCCCGAGCCGGGACGACAAAGAGGAGGAAGCGAGAGAACGAGATGGAAAGCACTGCTGCAGCTATGTGAGAAATGGCCTAGTGAAAATGCACGGTGGAACTTGGACTTGTGCTTGTGGAAGCGAAGTGTTGCCTGACCAATATCCGGGGGCCGACAGCCCTGAAATAGAAAGATACCAAGAGAGAAAAGACGATGAGTGTTCCTGTGCGTTCATGGTTGTCGTGCAGAGAGTGCCAACGATCGAGGGTTCGCTGTCTGATATGTGGGGCCAGTCAGACGGACTGGTTTTGAAATAGGAATCTGGGATGCTTTGAATACGTCATGCTTCTGTCGATCCTTCATTGTCTTTTTCCTAAAAAAAGGGTTTGTATTATGTTACGTAACCTACACTAAATTCGGGAAGGCTTATCCGGGGTCTCAGACCATTGCTCGTCCTCCAGGCATGCGGCTCCACGCTATAAATTATGCTTGTCCATCGTCATCTAACCATCCCACCTTTTCTCCCTTGTTTCTTCCTCGACCGCCAACAGCACAATGTACATTCCCGTCCTTTTTCTTCGCTTTTCCAGCTCGACTTATTTCATCTCTCTGCTACAGGTCGGAAATAAGTTCCGCAAGTGAGGCGTCGACAAAGACGTTCGAGACCGCACTATGGCTTAATGCAGCCGTGTTCGGTGCAGAACTTCTCGTCTTCACCGTCGTTCGCAAGCGGTTCAAGTCCATCTATGAACCGCGTACTTTCCTCGTTGCCGAAGCGTTTGTCTTTGTTATCTATTTCTCTATTTGCACCCATTGACAAGTATTTCATCTCCGCAGCAAACGGAGCCGCCCTCTCTCCTCATTTATCCTTGGATGGCCAATATCTGTATGGAAGGCTGACTACCAGGATATTCGCCAGTCAAATGGCATGGATGCTTACTTCTTCGTCCGATACCTCCGCATGATAGTCAAGATCCTTCTGCCAATCTGGATCATCTCTTGGATAGTCCTGTTACCTGTTACCAGCGTAAATAATAGCAATGGCAAAACTGGCCTCGATCGATTCACGTTTGGTAACATAGGCACAGATGCACAAGATCGTTATGCGGCACACATAATCCTGACCTGGTTCTTTACCTGTGGGTTTTCCGTTTCCGTCTCAGAATGTTTTTACGCGTTCGCTGAAGTATTCGGATTCAGTCTGGATCTGGTACAATATCAAAAAGGAGATGCAGAATTTCGTGACAACCCGTCAGCAGTACCTTGTTGACCCAGCGTTTGCTTGTACCGCGCAAGCAAACACTGTTTTGATCACTGGCGTACCTCCACGATACCTGTCCGAGCGTGCCATTGCAGAGGTATTTGCACATGTCCCCGGAGGCGTTAAGAAGGTTTGGATTAACCGCGACCTTGGTGACTTGCCCCCCCTGTACGATCGGCGTATGAAGGCTCTTAATAAGCTTGAGTCGGCGGAAACGCAACTTTTGAAAGCCGCGACGAAAGCACACGCAAAACAACTTAAGGCCTCGTCTAAATCCGCTGAATCTAATAGCGACGTTGAAAGCGGAAATGGAACCGCGAAGACACCTCTGACGTCAGACGCACTCGTGCCTGAGGACAAGCGCCCAAGCCATAAAGTTCCGAAGGGAAAGATTCTGCCGGCGTTCCTCGCCGGTAATAAAGTCGATACAATTCAATGGGCTCGGGAGGAAATTGCAAATACGACGGCGGAACTCGAGAGGGGACGTAAGGTTCTACGCGAGGAGGAGGCGCTCTCGCGCGACCACGGAGTGCATAAATTGAAGATTGGAGGCGTTGTGGGGTTGATGCAACGCGTTCCTTTTGGAAAAAGAGGACCTACGCCTGGTCAGGCATCTCAAGCATCACCTACATTTCCTGGAGTACCAGAAAAGCAGAATACCTCTTCTCCTACTTCTCCGACGTCCGATGGGGAGGGCGCCACCTCGAGCGGTGGCGAACCTGACTCGTCGGTCGTTGACCGTTCACGCTTGACCTACCCGCCCTTGAACAGCGCGTTCGTCCTTTTCCACAATCAAGCAGCAGCTCACATGGCAGCTCAGGTTCTTGTGCACCATGAACCATACCGCATGACGGAACGTGACATCGGTGTAGCGCCTCCAGATATCATTTGGGGCAACCTGGGATTAAATCCTTACGAGAGGAAATTGAGACTTGTTGCTAGTTACGCGGCTACAGCAGGTTTAATCATTTGCTGGGCATTCCCTGGTTAGTCCTTGCCTTCTACATCTGTCTCCGTCTAGCTGACCGATCCACCGTAACTTTAAGTGGCTTTCGTGGGGGCGGTCTCAAATGTTGCCTCGCTGTGTCGTACCTACAGCTGGCTCGCGTGGATATGCGAGCTGCCGCCCACCGTTGTCGGTATTATTCAGGGTATCCTGCCACCAGTCTTGCTTGCGGTGCTCATGATGCTGCTGCCGACCGTATTGCGTCTCCTTGCAAGGTTTGAAGGGATACCGAGGCAGAGTGGATTAGAGTTGAGCTTGATGACACGTTACTTCATCTTCCAGATCATTGTGAGTGTTTCACGCTACGTATACCTGAACAGATACTAATTAGAGTCTTCAATAGCACTCATTTTTGATCGTCACACTTGCATCGGGGATCATTGCTGCGCTTCCCCAGCTAGTAGAGAACCCAACGTCGATTCCGACTATTCTTGCACAAAACCTGCCATCAGCGTCCAACTTCTTCTTGACGTACGTATCTGCCTTTGACGAAGTCTACAAATTATTTGGGCTGACATTTTTCATTATCAGTTATGTTATTCTGCAAGGCCTTTCTGGTGCAGCTGCTGGCTTCTTACAAGCTGTCCCTCTTGCTATCTATTATGCGAAGCTATTCATCCTGGGTAGCACTCCACGATCAGTGTATAACATTCGATACACGCTTAGGAACGTGAGCTGGGGAACCCTGTTCCCTGCAACAACACTCATTGTCGTCATCAGTGCGTTACTCTCTCTCCCGCCTTGAATGCTTCCTGTTGATTACACTTCAACAGCTGTTACTTATTCGGTCATATCACCTATTATCAATGGTCTAGCATGCGCCACTTTCTTCCTCTTCTACCAACTTTACAAGTACCTCTTCTTGTATCAGTTCGACCAGCCTGCTGCGCACGATACTGGTGGTCTTTTCTTCCCGAAGGCGATTCAGCACCTCTTTGTTGGGCTGTACATTCAACAAATTTGCCTGGCTGCTTTGTTCTTCCTTGCCAGAAATTCAAGTGGTAATCCAAGTGCAATTCCGGAGGGTGCTCTAATGATTGTCTTGATCGTGTTCACAGTAAGGATCGATACCAGCTGAGTATGTGTGCGACGTTCTAATCCTTTGATTTATTAAGGCTCTTTTCAATTTGATGATCAACAATTCATATGGACCATTACTACACTACCTTCCCCTTTCGCTGGCCGACAAAGCACATGGCGTGGCGGGACATATTGACGAACTCGCGGCCGTAGGCGATGACCGCGCTTCTTCCTCAGGAGCGGCTCGCGCTGATTCAGATCCCACTGGTGATGGTGGCCCGACTGGCAAATCCAAGTCCATACCGGATTCCAGCAGAGCTGTGGAGAAAAGATCCATGGATACCACAGGTAGCAGGTCAGATATTGAGAAGACTGAGCGGACAGGGTTAGTGCGCCCGCGCGGTGACGGTCAGCCCGATCTGGAGGTAAATGACTTCTACCATCCGGCAGCGGTGGAGGCGCAACGCATCGTTTGGATACCTGCTGACCGACTTGTGTTACACAAAGCAGAAGAGAGGGGTTGCATAGAAGATGGCGTCGACGCAAGCTCGTTGAATGCTCGGATGGACGAGAAGGGTAGGGTCGAAGTGGATGGACCACCACCTGGCGAGGACTTTACATACACATGATTTCTCTTGGCCTGACGATTTTGACTCAAAGATGCAATGATGACCATTACATTTTCACCATCTGACTATCATTGTACTTCTGTTCTTCACTCATGTATTAGCACGGCATTTGTTGCTCTCTTTCTTGCAATCAATGGCACGATTAGGATTGTCGATTTCTTTCCGTATACATTACTTCGCGGGTGTACTTGTCTCACAACTGCTGCTGTGTCCAGCCTGCTCATCTTATCCCACCGTCGACATATGAGTGAGACAATATAGCGGATCATTCATGTCATGATATGTATGTTGTATAACATAATTGGATTGACTAATCAGAGATCTGCTTCAGAGTAAGTATCTTTACATGACGCAAATATCCTTGCATATTATATCTATCATAATAATGTCATCGTGGTAACGCCTTCGTAGTGAACTTTATTTTCTATTTTCTATAGTTTTAGTCTCAGTTTCCGTGCGTGCGATCATACGATATGATACTGACGTCACCGCTTAGAGGAGGCTGATCGACGTCGCTCTTTTGACCCGTCACTTTCAAGTTAACCATACCACTAGTATTGTTGTCACTCGAAGACGTACGCCTCGGGGTCGCAGTCTATGCATGATCCATATCAAGGCCGGCACATTCGCCAGAGCCGTCACTTTTGGTCACGAACGACTACTGCACAGGAGTTTGGCTCGAAGACCCATATGTGCAGACGGGTTTCGTAACTTAATATTACAACCGCGAAGGGTTTCTACTAGCCATTGGTTATCCAACAACGGTCCCAGTCGAAGTGCCGCTGGCAGGATCAGTGAATCAGACAAAAGCTGGCATCTTCCACCGCCACCAGCATCGTCTCCGATTGCCTCTGAACCGTTACAGCGATTGAAGCACCCAGCGCGGGGAGGACAGGACCTCACGCATAGATACGCACGCCTTGAACGTGCCCTGAGAGGGAAGGAAGCATACGAGCGCGATATTGAGGAGTATGAAGAGGATGAGGCGGATGCCAGCGCAGAGGCGGCTGTTGCAGGAACTGGTGGAACGCCGATCACGGTGAAGAGGAAGGGTAAAACTCCGTTCACATTTGCAGGCTTTGCCATACCTGAAAAACCGAAACCTCCGGGACCTGATGGTACGTACATTGTAAACTCTGGATCACCTGCCTTACTCATATTGGTATGCTGCAACAGAATGCTGCATGTCTGGCTGCGCGGTCTGTGTTTACGATTTGTATGATGAAGCAGAGGAGGCATATGAGAATGCTCTTGGAACTCTTCGCGCTGCCCTATTCAAGAAAAGCATTCCAGAGAATACTTGGCCAGCACAAATCCGTCGTGGCAGGCAGGGTGCTTCAGATCGCAACCTCGCTGTACATGACCCTGCAAAAGCGAGACAGGTGACGCTAAGTGCGTTCGAGCAGCTCGAATTACAGCTTGCATCTCGACGAATACAAGATCAGAAGCAGAACGAAGGAAGATCGTCTCCAGGTTTAAGTCAAGCCACGGAGAATAGTTCAGGTGATGCTGGGTCATACAATCGGGAGTCGGGTAGGTAGCTTCGCCACTTTGTCATATCCTACGTGCCTTTTTTCGGCGCAATGATCCGCAATCAGTCTCAACTCAAATGTACCACTAATTCCTAATACATTAAATTCCCGATACCTTCGTACCGCTTAGTACACGACGAATTGGCAATGCTCCATTTCGATCCCAATGACGACGTGACTCATCGTTCGAAGCGGAAGTCGACGTCAATTCGAGGCAGTTCCCGAAGTTCGATTATAGATGGGAAGGCAATAATAGAGGCGCTTTCATGGATGCTGTTTAGTCGAAGATGAGAGAGGTCATAGAGCTACACATGGACTTCAGCTATAGTTCGTTTTGCAATCTATTCGAACGAGTATAGCCTGTCGCATCATTAGACGATTATTTACGTTTATCACGACGCTCAAAAGCCAGGTAATCATACAAATAGTAATGCCAACCAAATAAAGTGTGGGTAGGTCAAAGATTGCACGCCCGCTTTACATTCCGGCGGCGCGTCTGTATTCACGGTGGGCAATTAGAATGGACTGTCTTATTACCAAATGGGAAATATTGTCATCTAATGACAGTTCTACAAAATTTCGTTCGGTTACACATTGATCCGCAGACGGCAGCAGTGTAAGAGTGAAATGTGAAAGGCGTGTTTGGCAACTTATGAATACATTTAAATGCACAGCGAATATACCACAGTGTAAAATGTTCATGCTCTAGAAGACATTCGACGACTCTAGGAGTTCGTTATTCTTTTCACATGTATTTTCATTCCTTTCTTAAATCTTACAGTTGTTTTCATAAATATAGTCACACATGAAAATCACATGATTTTTGTCACATCAAGTACCAAAACACAAAAAAACTCATATCTCAGCCAAAACTCAACGAAAATGTGTGGAATAAGTTGCTAAATTCATTATTTTAGAATATATTTCATATACCAAAAAGAATGAAGAAAATTGAGTAAAAATTGAGTGAGATACAGTACAAAATATGGATTTTCTTTGTATCTCTCATTTTAATTTTTTCCTTACCTCAAAACCAGACATTTAAGTTTGGAGAACTGTTTATTACAGTTGGATATACTAATACTTAATTTATATACTAGCTTTTCTGTAAATTAACCATTCATTCTACTTTATTGAGAGAGGGGTAAAATGTGTAAAACTAACTATTTTTCCCTAGTCCTCCCTATACTCAATAAATCCTATTAATGCTCAAAATATATTCTTAAATTAAATATAAATGTATTAGAGTATTTTACAACAAGT